CCCCAAGAAGAAGTGGGAAGAGTACCAAGCCGAACTGTGGGACGCGCAGACGCAACGGGACGACGCCACCGAAGTGTCAGGATACAGCTATGGCACCAAGTCATATCACCCTGCGGGTTCGGTCTACGGAGGTGCCAACACGGGCTACTACGAGAGCACCGCGCACCTCATGGCGCCTTCCCGATCTGTCTCGCAGCTCGACGTGCATCCACCAATGTACGATCGGGGTTATAGCCAGTCGAGGATGTCCCTGGCGCCGTCTGACATGATGGCGGGCGGGATGATGGTTGGTGGTCAGTCCGTGGCCGACATGGACATGTCGGACTTGACTGGACTGCCCACTGACGACATGATCTTGAACGAGATCCGCGACATCTTGAAGACGGCCGATTTAATGACCGTGACGAAGAAAGGTATCAAACAGGAGCTAGAGCGGCGGTTCAACGTCAACCTAGACGTGAAGAGGGCGTACATTGGAAGTGGTAAGTTGTCGCACTCATTTGAACGCTCTCTCAGGCTAACCCATCGCGCAGCGACCGAGGCCATCCTTTCCGGCCAATTGTGATTTGCAGGCATATTCTGGCATTGATTGATGGGTAGCGGGTGGTAACTGGAAAGCATACTGAGAGTTTTGGGATGGAAGGTCAAAATGGGCGGCAAGGCATTGTACAATGGGATGATTTCTCCGCTTCTCTTAATCGTCAGATCGGGGGATCCAATCGGGAAGTTCTCCACAAGAGATAGTCAAGGGTAATAGAAGGAGGAGCGAGAAGAAGCCGGCATATGTCTTCCGTCGCGGCTGCCTTGCAGAAGCATTCGCATCACGCAAATCAATGCTGCACACCAGAGGCGACTTTGCGAACATGTCGCTGCAATAAATCCCGGCCGTTCTCGTAACTTGAGCGTGTAGACTGTCATTCCTCAGGGTGAACGGGGCACGTGACGAACCACTAACCGACGGGACTTAGGGCGTGCTTGAGCCCTACTGTTTGTACTGTGCAGAGTCCGATGACTCCGTCCACAACATTCGTAATTAGTTGTGCTCTGGGAGGTTAGGCTTCAGCAGGCCCGAAACAAGCTTTGTCAAGCTTTTAGGGGACCCCGCCACCCCGCGAACCTGGATTGGACGGAATTCGCGGTGCAATGCCGTCATCGCCGCCCCCAATGAGACGCGATGAGTGCCTAATGTACCTAAAGATGCGAGCGTGAGATCAGCCAGCGCACGCGACGCAACACCATTCTCTCGGAATGGCCCGCAATGAGAAACCAATCGCCAGTGTGCGGATGGAAGCAGGTTTTCGAGCATCTGAACCCTTGATTGCGCGGCCTTGACTCGAACCGCTTCTTCCCACCGCTGGAGGACAAGAGATGATAAGCGGCATGAGATCTCACCTGGTTCCAGCTGGCCCAGACTTGCCACGACGCCCAGCATCGCCATTGCATCACCCTGCATTTGGCCGCCAACTGCGCAGGTCCGACGCCCGCAAGTGCACGCGACGCTGTCAAGCTGCTGAATCATTGAAGACATCTCGGCGGTCGTGATGCGATAACCACCATCGCAAAGACACCGCGGAGATTCTCGGTCCCAGCATGATCCCGAAAAACGTCTACGAGCTCTGCCAGAACGGCCGTTCGATAAGTTCCGAATTGGCCAACAACCCATCATTGTGTCCTCATGACGCGGCGAAAAAGCTCTTCGGCGTCGGCGCCGACGATGAGATCGTCACCAAGAAGCTGAAGCTAGGCGAGGAAACGCCGCGTGATCTTCAGGAGGCTCGAGAATGTGGGAATTGGGGACCATCGAATCCGAGTGATTTGTTCTTGAGGGTACGAGTTGCGGCAGTGACGACCCATGGCCTCTATGCCAATGCTGACGCCGTGTCTAGATCTATCATGATGTTTTGTGTACGCTGGAGAGGAATCCGCTGGTGGGCGTTTGCTCGCCTTCCCTCATGGGGTCCAACGGAGTGTGCCCGCTTACCATTATGGCAATGGTCCCTGATATCTGTCGGCACATGTCAAATGTAATAGCTAGGGCGGAGCACGAAGTATTCCTAGCGACCAACTTCTGGATGTATTCAGAACCAACCAGGCTGATTACCAATGTAAGATGATCTCCGGAGAAGACAGACCCTGCGGCGATGCCGGTCTTGTCCTGCCTGTGCATCGACCTGGCAATCCTCATAGTAGTGAGAGCGCACCGGGGCTGAGACTGACACTCGTACAGGGATTACGAGAACTCTCGAAAAAGGCAGTCTTGAACGACCGCAAAGTGGTCGTCAAGATCATCTATGACCGCGGCAGTACGAAGCAGGTAGGTTCCGCCCGACAGGCTGCTGCTGGTTGTATCTGACCTCAGCAGGTCTTCAACAACCACCTTACCGTCAAGGCTGAAGAGTTTGCCGACCCCAACGGCAAAATCAGGATTCCGCATCCCGACGAACTCCCCAACGTCGATATCGAGGTCGTGAACTTTCATCGACCCATCTTCGGCACCTTTCATGCCAAGTACATGGTCGTCGACAGACGGATTGCCATTGTGCAGAGCAACAATATCCAAGACATTGACAATATGGAAATGATGACGCAGTTCGAGGGGCCGATTGTCGACTCTTTCTACGAGGTCGCTCTCATATCCTGGCACAATGCTCTCAAGCCGCCGTTACCGCTGCTGGACCGGCCAGCGGCTGCTTGTCCGACGCCAACTTTCGACGAGGCCGAGAGTCATGCCACGATGTTCGATGAGCACGGAAAGTTGAGGACGGTCTACCATGCGTAGGGTTCCCCGTAGATCGACTGGGAAGTGGTCGCTGACCGTTCTTAGCACAAGCTCTGTTCCTGAGGGGGCCGACAGCTTGAGAGAGATAGCCGAGGAAGGTGCACAGATAGACCTACCTCAGCATACCTCCCAGGACCCCCATTACGACCCGGACCTCAAATCGGAGGTCCTGCGTGCAGTAGCAGCCTTGAACCCTCGAAAGGGCGAGACGCGCATCAATGCAATCACCCGTCTCCTCAACACCACCATCCAACCGCACACAAAGGGGAATGCCCCCGAGATCGAACCAGCTGATTCAATGACCCCTCTGATCCCTATTCCCCGGCACGATCCATTCCCCATCGCCATGGTCTGTCGGCAACCCTGGGGCGCGCCGAACAAGCACAGCCTGTACACCCCGCAAAACCAAGCGTTCCTGTCCGCTCTCCGACACGCCGCGCGATCGGTGTTCATCCAAACCCCGGATCTGAACGCCGAAGCTCTACTGCCTGAGATCGTGAAGGCGTGCAAACGCGGCGTCAAGGTAACGTACTACTATTGTCTGGGCTACAACGACGCCGGCGAGCTTTTGCCCATGCAAGGCGGACACAACGAGATGATCGCGCACAGTCTCTACCGCGACATTGGGCCGGAACACCGGCGCAACCTGGAGGTGTACGCCTACGTGGCCAAGGATCAAATGCGACCGATCCACAACAAATTCAAGCAACGGTCCTGTCACATCAAGATCATGATCGTCGACGACCACATCGGCATCCAGGGGAACGGCAACCAAGACACGCAGTCGTGGTACCACAGCCAAGAAGTCAACGTCATGATCGACAGTCCGCTGGTCGTGGGGAAGTGGATCGAGGGGATCAAGCAGAATCAGAACACGCACCTGTACGGCAAGGTGGAGAGTCAGGGGGACGACGCCGGGTGTTGGAAGGATCCCGAGACGGGCGAGCAGGCCGAGGGGGCCATCGGCGTAGACCCTGGGCGCTTCGCTTGGGCAAGAGGTGTTGTCGGCGCCGTGCAGAGGGTGAGAGGTATGGGCGGGTTCTGAAGCAGGGTGTGAGGAGAGCCGCTCGCATGATTGCGGAAAGCGACATGCGAATCTCAAGCCATGAGGTCACTCGGGATGTAATGTTGGACGGGAAGTGTCTATATTGGAGCCATCACGGCGCGCACACACAGTATAACGGGACAACGAGGCCAGAGTGAGAGGTGTGCAGATGCTCGAGGTCAACGAGGCTACGGAAGCAGGAAAGGGAGGCTATATCGAGTTGTGTGTCACAAGGGAGATGGCACGCATGCATGGCTGGAGAAATGCGGCCTCTCTGCTTGCCGCATACGGAACACCCCGAACTCCTACGAGGCCACCAGGCGTGGGTGAATGAAGGGGGGCCCATCCGGTAAGGGCACCAGTATCAATAATCTTGGAGAAGGACAGGGCTTAGTGTGATCTGGTGCATAGCAAATTGATCAGCTTTTTTCAGTCTTCTGCCGGCAGATGATTTCGGCTTCAATTCCGCACCGGAAGTTTACACAGTGCAGGACGGAGGACAGTGTGAGATGCATCAATCGTGCACCAAAAGATAAACGAGTGCATGCCCTCTCGAACATACCTGGTACCTCGGACCCGGGTCTCATCCCCCAAGCTCGATATTTGAAATACTTGCCAGCGGTCAGGGTTTGTGCCTGCGCCTGCGCCTGCGCCTATGCCCTTGACCGTGACCATGACGCCGGGGAAGAAGCGATACCGGGACCAACAACCAAACAACCAACAACAAGGAAACGCCAGAAAAACCCCACACGCCACAAGCTCGCAGGGCTGCCCCCACAATGATCGGCTTCTTCGAGCTTTCCCATCTGGTTATTCGTTCGTCTCTCTCGACCACCGACTGCCCGTAGCAGAAGCCGCCCACCATGATGCGTCAAAACACGGCTGTGGGTGGTGATCCGGCGCCCAGCAGTGGCCAGCAGCGGGACACGGGAATTCTGCCGGCTGTTGGTTTACCTCGTACTCAGGCCGGCCAGGACAACCGCGGGGGTGGTTGATATTAATCTGTGGCTGGACGCTCTCATACTCCAACTCTGCTGAAGGTCCGTATTGCAGGTACGGTAGAATCTGTACAGAGGCAGTGCCGGTCCTGTCCCTCAGTCTTGCCTGACGAAGCACGACTCACCCGCAGACTCTCTGAGCTCGAAAGCTCGAGCCGGCTTCTTGACCCAGTACAAGATGGGGTCCATTGCAAAATCGTATGCCCCCCCGGGTCGTGCCCTCGAGGGAGAACATGGAGGCTGACCTGCTCATCTAGCGACTACACCGCCTCATATGCCTTCTTTGAGGCGATCTGGGAGGTGAGAACCTCGCACGGCGTCTCGAGCCCTCTCGACAGCATCTGACTGACACACACGTGCTCAGGCCGGGATCACCCATGTCTTTGTCAACCTTGGGTCCGATCACCCTTCCATCATGGAAGCGATTACCAAGGGTCAGAGAGAAAAGAAAGACGACTTCCCCAGGATCATCACATGTCCCAATGAGGTACGAGCAGAAGAGTCTGAGGCCGTCGAACAACCACGAAGAACCAAGACTGACCAATGCCGCAGATGGTCGCCCTGTCCATGGCAGACGGCATGGCGCGACTGACCAACAAGCCTCAATGCGTGATCATACACGTCGACGTCGGAACCCAGGGTCTCGCAGCCGCCGTACACAATGCCTCGTGCGGACGAGCTCCCGTCCTCATCTTCGCCGGCCTGTCTCCCTACACGATCGAAGGCGAATACCGTGGGTCAAGAACAGAGTACATACACTGGATCCAAGACGTGCCGGATCAGAAACAGATCGTGTCGCAATACTGCAGATATACCGGGGAGATCAAGGGTGGCAGGAACGTCAAGCAGATGGTCAATCGAGCCCTGCAGTTCGCCACCAGCCATCCCCAGGGACCCGTCTATCTGTGTGGCGCGCGAGAGGCGATGGAAGAGGATATCGAGCCCTATCACCTCGACCAAGAGCAGTGGAAGGCTGTTGCGCCGGCCGCTCTGCCACAAGATGCCGTCAAGATGATCGCGGAAGAACTCGTCAAGGCCCAGGAGCCGCTGCTGGTCGTGGGCTATACTGGCCGCAACGAAGATTCGGTCACCGCAGCTGTCGCTCTGGCCGACAAGATCCCCGGCCTGCGTGTGTTGGATACTGGTGGCTCGGACATGTGCTTCCCGACGGATCATCCAGCATCGTTGGGCATGCGGTATGGGTCAGACCCGGCAGTCACGACCGCCGACTTCATCCTCGTGGTCGACTGCGACGTCCCCTGGATCCCCACCCAATGCAAGCCCAAGGCGGATGCAAGGATTGTGCACATCGACGTCGACGTCTTGAAGCGCCAGATGCCAGTCTTCTACATCCCGGCGTACGCTCGCTTCAGCGCCGACTCGGCAACCTCATTCACACAGCTGAACGACTTCCTCGCGTCCGACGCACAACTGTCAGCGACGCTGTCAGACGAAGCCCACGCCGCAGCGGCGAAGAAGCGGCAAGAAGCCTACACCGCCCGCTGGAGTCGACCCAAAGAGCTCGCCAAACTGCCCGAGAACCCACAGCAGAGCCCCATCGACCCACACGTCCTCGGCGGCCAGATCAAAGCAGCCGTGCCAAAGGACACCATCTTCGCCGTCGAAGCCGTCACACTGACCATCTTCGTCGCCGAACAATTAGCGCCCGTTCTCCCAAAGTCCTGGATCAACTGCGGTGGCGGCGGGCTAGGCTGGTCCGGTGGCGGTGCGCTCGGCGTCAAGCTTGCGTCCGATTTCCAGCACCGAGACGCCGCGTCGGGCGACCGTGTCGGCAGCAACAAGGGCAAATTCGTGTGCCAGGTCGTCGGGGACGGGACGTACATGTTCTCGGTGCCGTCCTCGGTCTACTGGATCGCCCAGCGATATCAGATCCCGATCATGACCATCGTGCTGAACAACAAGGGTTGGAACGCACCGAGACGTTCCATGCTGCTGGTTCATCCGGACGGCCACGGCAGCAAAGTGGACAACAAGGAGCTCAACATCAGCTTCGACCCCACGCCGGACTATGCGGGCATCGCAAAGGCCGCGACGGGCGGTCACGCTTGGGCAGGCACCGTCAGCACCGTCGCGGAACTGCTGGAGCAGTTGCCGCAAGCCGTCGAGGCCGTCAAGTCTGGACGATGTGCCGTGCTTGAAGTCAAGATTGCGGCGGATCTGGGCACAAAGGCCGGCGACGTCAAGCAGGAGGAGGTCGCGCAGACCAGTGGGTAGGTTTGTCAGTCTACAGTTTGCAGTTTACGTATACAGGGTATGAGTATGAGTATGAGGATGAGGGTGAGGGTGAGCGATCGAGGAGCACGAGAGTGAAGAGAAGGCTACTGTGTATATTGTATGTACAGAGCTGTATGCGGCTGCTGCTGTGGCTGCGGCTGCGGCTGTGTAGATGGGAAATAACGACCTACAGTCAGGACAAGCAAGGCAAGCAAGGGCTAGGTCAAGGCAGGTAAAAAAAATGAAGATGAATATATCATGCGTACACTGCACTGCACTGCACGACACTGATACCAAATGGTACAACTCAACCCAGGCAGGCTTAGGATCAGATCGAGAGTGATTCATTCGACGGTCTCAGAAATCTCACTACTATCCCCTGGTATGCACTCGACATCGCCGTCGACATGGATATCGGCAGTGGACATTCGACACCTCCAAAGCCATTCCACGCATCCAACGTCCAACTGTTAATTAGCACTCGCAACCTGCCACTGCACTCATACCGGAAATGTGTGGCGGCCCTGGTCCTACGATTCCTCGTTACTTTCGTAGCCGATCGATCGAGACGCGAGATGCAAGACGCGAGTTGCGAGACGCGAGGCGTGAGACACGAGATATCCGATGCCTGATACAGTACCTGTATTTCGGCGTAGTGTACGGGGTAGCTCTGATGTAGCTCTGATGTAGCTCTGATGTAGATCCGCCGTGAACAATGTGAGGGCTGTGAACAATGTGATATCATGGTGCTATAGGAGTTTCAGGTACGTGACCCAGTTGGGTGGGTACGCAGGGTGTCTGCGAGGACGACTACGACTACTGTACCTACGGAGCGTAGCGTAGTAGATCTACCATGTACATAAGTACCTATAGGATATAAATACCCATAGTATGCAAGCACAGTAGTACTGCAGTACTGTCGGTAGATAGATATTGATGCGTACCACAGTGCGAGTAGGGGAGGTATAACTGTACCTAGGTGTATACTCATACGGAGTACTCCGTACTCCGTACAGCAAATGGGAACAGCCAGTGAGCCACTGAGACTCACAGCTCGACGAATACATAACTCCTACCTAGGACGCATAATGTACACAATATCTGTTCTGCTCTGTTCGCTCGTTCTGTACTCCGTACCCGCGGAATGAGTGTGAGTAGAGTAGGGACGGAGGTACGAACGAATTCATAATTATCCTTATCATCTAGAGACACGGCGCACGGCGCCCGAATTCATGCTCGTGGTCGACGTGGTGGCTTGAAATGGTGTCGGGCGGCAAGGTGAATGAATGCTTCTTCTGTGTACGACTATGAATTGGTTGGTAGGTTGAGGCAATGAAACATGTGTGCTGACTGACTCGACTCTAATGCTGCTGACATGTGGCACTGCGTGTCGTCTCTGCCAGACACGCAGCATCAGAACTGTGCCTGCGCTTAACCCTTGTATGGTCTTTGACGCCAACGCACTACTCGTCTTACAGCAGCTCATGCACAGTACCGGTGACACTACTTGCTCTCGGAAACCCGACTACACAATTTGAATGCCTTTGTATTGGTAGACCTGCTGTTCAGCTACAGTGAACGTCATGTACAACAAAGAATGAGGCACAGACGTGGTTCTGCTGGTGATGAGGATCTGGAATATGCAAGCAATCAACACTCACTCCCAATGAGCCTCAAGTCGGTTCTTCCGACTTTCCAGCCCTGTTGGTACTGTTTCCCACGCCGATATCTGCCAACCATGGCCGACAAATTAGACCTTGTTATTGGGGGCACCTCGACCAGTGGTGGAATCTGCGTTCTTATCCTAAAAGACGGATCCCTTTCGCTCCACATCCGCGACAATCTCCTTGTTGAGGACACCGCCTTCGCTGCCCATCTGCTCTGCAAAGGTCTTGGTGGGCCTCCATTTGGCAGAGGTGCGGGGGCTGGACTCTTCCATCATCTTGTCAATCTGTTCCAGAGTAAGGCCCTTGGTCTCGGGGACAAGGAGGACGGAGTAGACGAAGGCGCAGGTGCAAAGACCACCCCAGATAAAGAAGACCGAGGACTTCAGGTTGCCGCGGTCCTCATTGACCATGTAGGGGGTAATGACGGCGATGATCTATAGCCGCGACGTTAGCTGTGAGTACTCGGCAAGGGGGAAGGATTGGTGGGTGCTTACGGTGTTCCAGAGCCAGTTGGAGGCAGTGGAGAGACCCACACCTCGGGATCGGATGGGGAGAGGGAAGATCTCGCCGATCAAGATCCAGGCACCAGGTCCCCAGGTCGAGGCGAAGAAAAAGATGAAAATGGCGATAAAAGCGATCTGGGCGTTGACGGCGGAGATGTTGTTCGCGATGCTGTCTCCGGCGGCGTTCAAGTGGGTGTGGTTGAAACCGACACTGACACCGATGATAGCCACCAAGAACTGGCAGATGAGCATACCGAGAGCGCCGTAGATGAGCAGAGGGCGACGACCAAACTTCTCAACCGTGTAAAAGGAGATAGGAGTGGAGCACACATTGACCAGGGTGAAGATCAGGGAGATCAAGAACGTGTTGCTGATGGCTCCGGTCGATTGCAGGAAAGGGGTCGAGTAGTAGAAAATGAAGTTGACACCGGTCCTAGATCGATTCTGTCAGCCGCTGTCGCCACGGGAAGCCGCAGACCACGCAGGAGAACGTACCATTGTTGCATCATCTGCAGCGAGGTACCGAGGATGGTACGACGGAGATTGGACTTTTGGTGCCGGAGGCCTCCCTTGAAGCAGTTGGCCCAGCTGGAGAACCAGCCACTAGATGGAATCATCTCACGCTCATACTCATCGTTGGCAATGATCTCGGCAATTTCGACCTGGATGTACTCGGACTCTTGTGGCTGACCACGGAGCCGGGAGAGGGCTTGCATCGCTTTCTCGACTCGGCCTCGCTTGACAAAGTAGCGGGGAGAATCAGGAAGGAAGAGCAGGCCACCGCCGAGGATGAGACCCCACGCAAACTGGATGGCGATCGGGATGCGGTAGGAGCCCGTGTCGGGTCGATCTTGGGTGGCATAGTCGACGCACGAGGCGAGCAGGATGCCGATGGTGATGCAGAACTGGTAGCCGGCAACCAGGGCGCCACGGACTTTGCGAGGGCACTACAGAAGGACGCGTTAGCTCGATCGGCACAGGGACAGCCGCGGGAATCTTACGATTTCGCTCATGTAGAGAATCACCACGGCGCTCTCAAACCCAACACCGAGACCGGCAATCAAGCGACCAGCGACGATGACACCAAGACCATGGCCAGGACCGGTGATCATCTGAATAACGACACCGAGCATGTAGATGACGCAGCCAGCAATGACAGTCCATTTGCGGCCAATGATATCGGCGACATCACCGGCAATCAAGGCGCCAAAGAAGGTACCGCAGGAGAGGATAGACACGATCAGAGACTGGTGAGGCGACGAGAGAGAGTCGGCGTTGGGACCCTCGATGATGCGGATGAACTCTTTGCTGCCATTGACGCCGTTGATGTACCCAGAGTCGTAGCCGAAGAAGATACCGCCGAAGGAGGCAAAGGCACAGATGAGGTAGGCTTTCCACGTCACCGGAGCCTCGATCCGATTGACGTCCGTGGTGGTGGAGAGGGCGCGAACTTCGCCAGGCATGATGGCGGCTTGGGTGGACGCGATGGATGAGAGAGATGTGACACAGGTCAAGGAGGAACAAGAGGACCAAGCTTCATAGACGAGCAGGAGCGGGCTCTTTAAAGAAAGCTTGCGTGAGGAAGGCGAAAACAAGGTGTGCGGCCGTTCAAGGCGAGGCTAAGGGCAAAAGGCAAGGGCAACAACAAGGGCAGTGACGCTCCACCACGCGATGAAACTGCGCAAAAACTGCAATGGCACGGTAATTCACACCCCTTGACAGACCCATGGTGGCTTGCTACTGGTCACACGCGTATTGTGTGGAGTGAATTGGCCATATGGTGACTGGACCGACTTCTGCATGTGATTCTATCCATTGATATCACCAATTCCTGAAATTGAATAGCGAGAGGGTGCATTGGGGATCTCCAAGCGGCCCCCGTCACTGGCTCCGCATCCGAGGCTCGCATGCTTTGGCGGGCGAAAGTGGGTTAGCCGTGCTGCCAGCGTGCCATCGCCAGTTTTTCGCCGCCCCGTGATATGCTGGCTTTATTTTGCAGCTGCGTGCCTATTGGGCGACGGGCTGCTGATTCCCTGCAAAACGCGGAGTCGCGGACAAGATCAGCTTTTCCCAGGTGACCGGCAGCCCCGCACAAAGCCAACGAGGCTCTCCGGACCGACCTAGTCGTCAGGTTCGACAGGCTCTCTCAGGGTGATGTTCGGCGACCTACCCAGATCCGGACTGGAGCGGCTGATTGACAGCCTTCCCGGCCACGCCCAGCACTGCGATGACAATCTTGAAGTGACCGATCGATTGGTCCAGAGCGCGTGCCACATACTACAACGAATGTTGACGTCGGGTCGGCTGCTCCTTTGCGTCTGCTCAAGCCCTCGATCGGTGGTGTCTAGCCAGAGCTTGTGCGCATCGGTGCAGCTTGGTAAGTCTTTGCCTTCTTCTCTGGCATTGGCTTTTATTGGCACCCCCTCACCATGGAATCTCCCCGTGGGGCAAAATCTGCAACCAAGATGCTGCTAGTCGTGTGTTAGCGCCTGTAACCTTGACCAGGGATCTCGTTGTCCGCAAGACTGCACCAGCCTTCACGAACGACCAAAGCACACAACAGGACACAGCGAGGCGGCTACGCCGAGATTAGATTTCGGAACCCACGCGAGCGGGGAGCTGACATGGTTGCATTATACTCGTACAGTTGCCTTCCAGACTCCATCCGTTCAACGACAAGATGGTCAGAGTATCGGGGCTCGAAAAGGAGGGCATTCTCTTCCATGTTGACATTGTGCGAGCGTGAGTGTTCGCAGAGGCGAAAAGAACTAACTGCTCGCAAATCCAATCGAGATGTCTGTCACTGCATCGACGATGTGCATGGTGGTGACAGCAGATGTTGACGAGCGTCAAGCCACTTACAGCGTCAGGGCAATTTCCTCGGCCTGATCAACCGGAAATTTCGTCCTTGGAGGTAACTCGTACCAACTCGGTGAATGACGAGTGTGTCTTTGCTACCTGTCTGAGTAGTCCGTACGTACTGCGTAGGGTCTGAAGCCGTCCATTGATCGTTGGACTGGACCGCTTACTCGCCCGAGTTGGGCATGATGCTGCGCTGGAATTTTTCGCTCCGTCAAGATCCCAATTCAGAATGTCGTCACCTCACGCTCATTGCTCACTCACCCACGTTTCAGTCGCCTCTTCAACGCCGTTGCACTACGTGTCGGCGGCCGCAAATTTTTCTGGTCAACTCCACCCCATCGTCGCATGACTCTCCCGCGTCTGGCTGACGAACCCTTCTAGAATGTTTTTTTTGCATCCCGCACAGCTTTTGTGATTTGGTATAGACCGCCGCGCCACCCAGCCAGCCCACACAAGATGGCTAGCGTTGCCCGGTCCTGGATCCCGCTACTGCAGGTGGAGTAGCGAAGATTTACCGATGTCACCTCACCACAGTCGCCTCTCCAGCACATGGACTTCGCGTGGTATTGTCTTGCTTGCATGTTTCTCACCGGCCGCTCCAGCAGAGACTTGCGTCGTAGCAGTCACCACTGTGTACTGGGGAGGTATGCAACCCTCACGGAACCCTTTCGGCCATGCTCCATGGGAGCCCCATTTGGCCCCGGAGGTTGACATCTTGCCAGATGGGGTTGAAGCTTTCCTCACTCGTGCCGTTCTGTTCCACGGTACTCCGTACCTAGGGAGGACCAGCACTACCTACCTCTGTTACGGACTCCATCCATCGTATCCGGTAGGACTGTAACCCGCGGCTATCGCAGTTCTCTCGATGCAGGCGCCAATGTGCATGAACTGCTCCCTTGATGACCAGAAGCTTTCGAATGTGTGTACAACCAGGCATGCAGTAAGGCAGGGAGACACGACTACCACACCACAACCCGCTGCACCGCGCCACACCACGCTATGGCAGCGAAGTTCCGGAAATGAAATGGACTCCTCCCACCAAAGATGAGTTGATGTCGAGCCAGCCAGTGCCGACACCGCGGAGCAACTCATTCTCATCAATGCGGCAATGCGTCAAATGCACAAGTTGCTTACTCAACAGAAGAGTATCTTGCTGGAGGGAAGATACGTTATCCCACAGCACATGTGAGTGTCGCGCGATCGGACGGGAGGTGCTTGGTGTGGTTGATAGTGTGCCGTACGTGCCTGACCGAAAAGGTTGGCTCGAGACCTCCGCGCTCCTTTTCAACATCCGACGTGGCGCACCAGGCCATTGGCAATATGCGCTGTCTGTCTTTGGTCTTTCTTTCCATACTAAGAACACGGTAGAAGTCCATGGGACATCTTCGCGCAGCATATCTCCTACTACTGCACCGTCCATGTTGTCTTTGATCCGGTACTCACCTTCAACTGACTGCACTGCGCCGTGCTATACACTGCACGGCCTAGGGGGTCAGTGTGTCCAGTGTGACTCACTCGTGAGTAGGACATGTCAGAGCGAAGTATACAGACCAGACCAGACAAGCCAATGCCTCCAATCACACCTCCTTTCGAGGTAAGCAATGATAATGACCTTTGTGAGTCGACTCTAGCAATTCATCTTTGACATATACTCCATAGTCGACGGCACGAGTCAACAGCAAGTCCAAGCAAGACTCAAGCTTAACGTCCTCAGGACCGTCCGACTCTGTGTATATATGTACAAAAGATGCGCACCACGTATCCGTGTCCCCAGAATATAGCCTAAATGCCACTTAAGAGACGTACTCCATACTGTGTACACCGAATGGCGAGCACGTCCCCAAGCCCGCAAAATACAGTGCCCTGACTAGTGACTACTTCAGTGCTGGACCATGGACTGTCGTTTTGATCCTCCTGCACGATCACCGAACCCAGCTGTCAACTTATTGTACGAGCAGATAGAATGGCTTGTCACACGCGCAAAACAAATACACAGTACTCGAGACGCACGGATGATCAGTGCCGACAGTCGGAGAATACATTCTTCCATCTGGTCCCTAAGTCTGCATATTCAGGAGACTGGCACGACGGGACACGGTAGTTCAAACACACATCAGCTTGAGTGATTGTTGAATACTTGTTTCATGTCGCACTGATGGATTGGAACGTTTGGAAGGGAGCAACGGCGTTTGGTGAGCTGGGGAGGCGACTCCGCCAGGCACGCGTAAATTGACTTGGCTGCGCGGTCAACCTATTTTGGGTTCAAGAGACACATGTTTGCCATCGTTGATTGCCTTCACCACCGGAGTCACGACTGAAAGGTTGGCGAGGTTCAGCAATCCAAGATGACGGACGACCTCCTGGGTATCGTCTCAGCAGCAGGGTGTATATCGGCAGATGCAAAGGCATTCCATACCTCAAAGGTTGGTAAGGCCTGCTTTGTGTTTGATCTGGTGCAAACGACGTTCGCACTGCAGCAGATCAAGAGGACAGAAACCTTTTGTATTGCATGCGCTTCAACATGTTCTGTTCATTGCTAATTCCTGCCAGTCGCCAGCACACGGTGTGATTGCTTTCAATATGCACTTCTCATAGCTAATGTCGTTGGACAACTTGCCAGCGTTCTCGAGGATATGGAGAAAGCCCCATGCAGAGTCGTGCTGCACTGGTGTCGGTTCGGGCTGAGGCAAACGAGGAGAGTGAGAAGGGAAGGTCAAAGGCGATTCAGATCGAGGGCATCCGGTCAAATGACTTGGAGAGCTTCCACTGACCGTTCGAGACGGCAGGGTTGGGGCAGGATGTCCAGTCACACGACTGTATTCGCATCTCCTCTGCCCAAACAGGTCAACAGGCGTCGCTCATGAAAAGGCAGACATATCCCTTTGCCCTCGCCCTATCAGATTGTCAACAGGAAAGTTGGGGGACTTCCTAAAGGGATTGAACGTTGAGATGAGATTAACAGAATCAACTTTGAGAGTCAGGTCTTGCGGGTCACAGACACTCCCCGAATGACTGGGTACTTGAGAAGTGCATAGGCTGACACTCAGGCTGCGAATCGCACCACGAGTTCCATTAGCTCAGCCATCAGTGGTTTCGTCTGACAAGATGTGCGAATCCACAGAATCACAGTCCAAATACGGATTAATGGAGACCGAGGGGACGGATTCCAACGCCCACGACATGATGCAGGCCAAGTGATACGGAAGATAGCAATGGAGTGATCAGATTGGAATTTGCCGAGCACAGATTCTAGTACGGATGCATAGAATTCATTTGATTGACCGTACTAAAGTGCTCTTACGGGGAAGCAGAGGTACGTGTCTTTGACGCGTCGAAGCGCGACTCACTCCTCTCTCCTCGCCGTGCCCCTTCAACCGCTTCTTCACATTATCCCAACTCGAAATTGCCGACGACCTGTACAAAATGTCGCTCAGCACTAATCAGCTTCGAGACGAAGCCGTCCGGGACAGGATCAGACATGCGACCGAGTTCCTCGACCCCACCGACGATGAAGCCCGATCCTACCGTGCAGATATTGTGTTGATGCTGAACCGCGGTCTGCGACGACTTGTGGTCAGCATTGATGATATCCGAGCCCATTCACGAGAACTAGCAGATGGCATTCTGTTCCAACCGTTCGACTATTCCCTTGCCTTTGACGCCGCTCTCAAAAACATCATTGCGACGATACCCAACCGCGCGGCGTTCGAACACGATGAAGACCGACTTTACTATGTCGCATACTCAGGCTCATTTGGAGAAAATACCTGCAACCCAAGAACATTAGGAAGCTCGCTCTTGAACCGGATGGTCTGTCTCGAGGGTATTGTGACCAAATGCAGTCTCGTCAGGCCAAAGGTTGTCAAGAGCGTGCACTGGAATGAAAAGAAAGGTACATTCATGTTCAGGGAATACAGAGATCAGACTATGAGTGCCAACGCCCCGGCGAGTCTGAGCGTATATCCGCAGGAAGACCGAGAGGGAAATCCGGTACGTGTGAAATACAACTCTTAAACAGTCACAGTCCTAACAGCCTCTCAAGTTGGTTACCGAGTACGGCTATTGTACCTACCGGGATCACCAGACGATCAGCATCCAAGAAATGCCGGAAAGAGCACCGGCAGGGCAACTTCCCCGTAGTGTCGATGTCCTCATGGATGATGACATGGTCGATCGTGTTAAGCCTGGCGACCGCATTCAGCTGGTCGGTATTTTCAGGTCCCTCGGTAACAGAAATGCTGGCTCCGGGTCATCCATCTTCAGGACGCTGATATTGGCCAACAATGCTGTACTCTTGTCTTCTAAAGCTGGGGGCGGTATTGCTCAAGCCACCATCACGGATCAGGATGTGAGGAACATCAACAAAATGTCAAGGAAGACGGAAGTCTTCGACCTGTTGTCCCAGAGTCTGGCACCCAGTATCTATGGCCACGACTACATCAAGAAGGCAATCTTGCTTATGCTGCTGGGCGGCATGGAGAAGAATCTGCCGAACGGGACCCACTTACGAGGTGACATCAACATCCTCATGGTGGGTGATCCGTCGACCGCGAAATCGCAGCTCCTAAGGTTTGTGCTTAACACGGCCCCCCTGGCAATTGCTACGACGGGTCGTGGCTCCTCTGGAGTCGGTCTCACAGCCGCCGTTACGTCCGACAAAGAGACGGGTGAAAGAAGACTTGAAGCCGGTGCCATGGTGTTGGGTGACCGTGGAGTGGTCTGTATTGATGAGTTCGACAAGATGAGCGACGTTGATCGTGTGGCCATCCACGAAGTCATGGAACAGCAGACCGTCACTATTGCAAAAGCCGGTATTCATACCTCTCTCAATGCCAGATGCAGTGTCATCGCTGCAGCAAACCCGATCTTTGGGCAATACGACAGCAACAAGGATCCACACAAGAACATCGCATTGCCGGACTCTCTTCTCTCCCGTTTCGATCTGTTATTCATTGTCACCGATGATGTCAACGACACGAGAGATCGAGACATATCCGAGCACGTCCTGCGAATGCATCAGTATCGTCCCCCTGGGACTGAAGAAGGCGCGCCCATCCGAGATCAAGCCAACCAGATGCTTGGGGTTGGTGTCCAAGAGGACCAGAATGTTGACCGGGGAACATCGACAGTCTACGAGAAATACAATGTTGTCTTGCATGCCGGATTTTCCTTTCAGAGGAGCAGCAAAAGAGGTCGCAAGAAGCAAGAACACCCCGTCAGCATGGCTTTTCTGAAGAAATACATTCAGTACGCAAAGAGCAGATGCAAGCCCGTCCTGACAAAAGAAGCAAGCGACTACGTCGTCAACGCGTACGCAAGCCTTCGAAATGACGAGATGAAGGCCAATGAACGCCGAACCAGCCCCATGACTGCCAGAACGCTGGAAACGCTGATCCGTCTATCAACCGCTCACGCCAAGGCTCGACTATCAAGTAGAGTCGAGGAGGACGACGCCATTGCGGCCGAGGAGATTCTCAAATTTGCTCTTTTCAGAGTCGTCCCAACGAAGGCGGGCAGAGGGAACAAGAGACGCAAGACCGAAGACGCCAATCTGGACAGCTCGGACGAAGAAGACGAATCTGACAGCGACGACAGCAATGGCGGTGATGCACCATATCGAGGCACGAAGCCATCCGGAAGCCGTGCGACGAAGCCCGCGACGAGGAGTCAGCGCTCGGCTCGCTCGAACGCCACTCCTAACGGCGCACCGAACGGGACGAGGACCAACGGCAACGCGAATGCAGCCGACACAGGTGACGTTTCAGACGATGATGACGACGATATCCAGCCCAGCTCATCCCGGCGCTCCCGCCAGACTGGCGCAGAGTCTCAAATGTCTCGCATGAGCATTGCCAGCTCGATACCCAGTTCCCAACTCCCCTCCACACAGGCAGACTCGCAGTCCCAGTCGCGCAGAACACAGTCCCAATCTCAGTCGCAGACCGGGCCGGAAGATTCTGGACCTACTATTTCCCAACCCCGGCTGGCCACTTTCCGCGCGGCGCTAGGTCGACTTACTCACACGACCTTATTCCACAACGACATGGCGACGGTGACAGACGTGACTTCGGCTGTCAACCATCGCGTGTCGGAGAGCAACGGGCAGGAATTTACAGCCGATGAAGTTACAGCCGCGCTGAGGGCCATGAATGAGGCCAACCAGATCATGTTCTTGGAGGACAATGGTGAGGTTTATACTTTGTAGATACGTAGATGTGCGAGTGTATGCCATTCGCATGCTCGGATGATGGACGACGTGGGACAAGGAAGGCTGGACTTGGCTGCCTACTGCGATATGATATGACGGGTGAAGGCGTGCGCCTGTGACGCTTGTGTATGCATGGATTTCGACTAGCGAGGGACTGGTTTTCCACAGTATCCTATGATATGCCTGTTGTTTGACTTTAAGTTTGATGTGCAAGGTATTACTTGATACCTAATTACCCAGGAGACTCTTTCGGTCGTACTGTAGCTATCCACCGAGTCACTACTTCGTCCTCTCGGAGATACGAGCCGATTCGAGCACTGAAATACAGTACTGTAGATACCTACTTATGCCTTACCGATGTTGGCCAAGCACGTCATCATCTCTGTTCAGTCGTTCAGTACGGATTGTGTTGAAACGTTGCAAAGACCCAAGACAAGTAGCTTGCAGCTTATAGTAGGATGCAACCGTTGGCTCTTCATTAGTAGGAAAGATGGATATGAGAAATAACAGACGCGCTGGCTGGCCCGGCGAAACCATTTTCCGTGTCGGGTCAACTTAATTCCGAGCACCGGAGCTGTGAGTTTCACTCAACTTTGACTTTCACCTCATCGGTGCCTCACCTCATTTCATTTCCTTTCACCGCTTCGACGACGCTGGTATCGTGCAAGGCCATGTTGCGTTTCATTTCATTCCAATGACCACATATATCTCGCGAGCATGTGCACGGCATTTACACCATGATGGCACCCTCGAATGAAGCGGATGCTCTGACAGTGCCCTCAAATGCTCACACAGGTCCTTGCGGAATGGTCCTCCCTGAGAAGCATTCTCGCACGATGCGCTTGCTGGGCTCGCTTCCATGAAACAGAAGCACCGATGCTCAGCCGACCATGGACCATATCATTGTCCCAGAATACGCCAGACTGACTGATGCCACCCAGGCATTTCCTCTTGTGGCTCTACACCAATAAGCTCCCAGTATTCGCTCTCGATTTCCGCCCACAATTTCTGAACGACACCCACGTAATTTCGCACGGAATGCCATTCGGATCTGGTGCGGTACGTGATGAGAGCCTCACCTGGCTGGCGTGGATTCAGGAACTCCCAGCTGAGACGTTGCATCTCCAACGCGTCCAGGTTCCTCGTTGGCAAGGGACCGCAGCGTCTCTGGTAATCTTCAGAGCACCACAGGAAGCGCTGAGCGTGGCGTTGTTTATAGAGACGGCGCACACTGGACTCGTCGTCTGCACCGTACTTCACCGACATCAAGCACCGCTGGGCATGAAGCGCCCACTGCTTGTATGTCCTCGCCACCACTTCAAGCTGGAGGATGGTGAAAGTGTCCTCGTTGGACCAGTCAAGGCCCACGAGCACTTCGTGGTCGCCAATGAATCCAGTCTCGTCACGGACCATGATAGGCTCATCGAACATGTTAACGTCGTCGATCATGTTGCTGTCCCTGAGGAGTAGCGCGGCGCCCACCTCTGGAGCTGGAGTCGGAGTTCTGGCCTTCTTCAACGGGACACGTCGAACACCGGTGTCCTCCTGCATCATCGTGTCCACCTCACGACCCATCGCCGCCTGGAGATAGTTCCAGGGCCGGTTGGTCGAGTTGTTGCGCATGTTTGGAGGAAGCATTTCCCAGATGCGACGAGCATCCCACTGCTCCGAGAGGAAGATACGAAGCATATCACCCCAGACGTGCCTCGGGAAGTGTTGGCAGACTTGTCGAAGAGAGGTGCCGGCAGGAATGACGTCGTTTGCGGTGGGATATGGCGTGTTGATTTGTTGGTTGATCGGGTCTCTCTTGCATCGTGCAATGAGTAGGGGTGCCCGCAAAACCGGTTCTGGGGTGCCGACCCGAATCACTAGCCAGTTCCGACCTGATCCGAGTCCTTCGCCAATCTGTTCTGCCACCTGCGGGAACAGATGGTTGGCTGGGACTCTCATGAGCGGATCAGAAGTTGGAACAGGAGCGCGAGCACGTGGTGGTCGGAGCGCATTGTTGCCACCTCGACTCGCCTGCACGCGGGTAGTCTGAGAGCTGTTTTGTCCTGGTGCAGCTCTTGTCAGCATGGCTGGTGGAATGGCAGGGGTCGCGGCTGTCATTGGGAGATTCCTGGCGCCATATGGTAGGTTGTGGGGCGCGGGATTGTTCCATTGACTGCGCATGTAATCACCAACTGTTGGCTGCTGCTGCTGCTGCGGGCCTAGGTAAGGCACCCATATGCTGGAGACTGGTGGCGGATTCTGGTGGAACTGGCTACTTTGTTGATTTATACCGCCGTTGTTCTGGTTACCATCTTGATTGTTGCTGTCCTGCCCCTGAGGGCACTGGAATGCTGGTCTATTGTTCATATTGAGAAGACGACAAATGTCTGTGCGAATCCTGTGTTTGTTTGGCTTGGTCGATGACACGATGTGGCAAATGCTGGATAAGCCTTGCTGTTGTTTGTGCTGGTCGTGAAGCTTGGTGCCGCCGTCTGAATATGTGGAGACAATCTGACGCAGAGCTCGAGGATTCACTTGTGACGGCAAGAGGGGGCGAAGTCGTGAGGATGTACGCGGGCTTGCTTGCACCAACGGCTATAGAAAGAATCAGTCAGCCGCGCGAAGATGTTGATCACTGGAAAACCTACTACTTTGTTTGGCTCGCGCGGAAACCTGTGTCGCGGTCTGGACCGTTGGGGAGATCTAACGTGGTACTGAAGCCTTCTAGCTGGGAGGACGCAAGTCGCAAAGGTGGAAAGTTGTAAAGTCGCCGGTTTGTGAACACTGACCGGCTTGTCTGGTACCCACCAAAATAATGAGCTAAGTTTGCAGATATGTTGAACACTGGAAGGATGCTGACTGCTTTAGGTGCCGCGCACTGAGATCGGTAGGACTTACTGTCGATGTTGGATTTTCACTCTGCCATTCGCAGAAATCGGTGGATGTCGATAGTGGGTTTCGGTACTGTGTTCTTGTCGCTATGCGCACCGAATGAGCAAACTTATTGCTAGTGCTGGGCTCTCCTCTCTGTGATCGCGGAAAGAGGTCCCTGGACTGGTGAGTCGGTGATTGTGGAACCGAGAGTCTCTGGCGCTTCTAAGTTAGTGATCGCGGAAAAGGAAGCGTAAGTCTCACGGTGTCAGTGGTAAGCTGGTGACGCGAGGCTTGCAACTCTCGAAGTGGTGCTGGTCATAGCAAGAAGTGTCTTGCTTTTCGAACTGTTCGAAGAGTGTGGTGATCAAGAAAGATTGTCGAGGAGTGAGGTGCAAGACGAGATACTTATACCCGTGAGAGGATGCGCATACCTTATATACCCATGCCTCACTGGTTTGTGTCACTTGTATCTTCACTGTCGTAGGCAGTGAGCAGCGTGGAATTGTCTGTTCTAGCCAATGGAGGTATGGTAAACGGAGCACGATCTTGGATGGTGAAGTCTATTCATGTGGTGATGGGCCGACAAACCATACAATGTCACTGACATTATCACGAAGCAGGCATCACATCAGGAAGTGACAATGGACGCTGCTCGTCCTCATGACCAATATCGGACCTCTATTGATCACGCTGGATTGGAAACAGTTGATTGCTTCAGCTGCGTGGTTTGAAGTCCACCGACTTGATGAGTGAATGAGCGGGTGAACTGGTCATCACCGCTCATACGATAGCGAACAAAGACTCTCCACGTCTACATCTACGTTCGGCTGTAACATCACAGCAACGATTGTGATTCCCACGGCTACCAAGATCCGGAGTGAGATCGACGGCCTGCAACACCCTATGCTCGACAGACCGACAGCGAGCAGTCTCTTTAACGGTTGCAACTGAGTACCCGCTCAGTCTGGCTGGTATCTACCTATTTGATCATGAACTTGTTGTGAACGAGCCCTAGTTATACTCGATGCTTTTTCTACTTCTACTCTTAGAGATCAAACGAATCGGAGATTTATTTAATCGGATACCTGGACGACTGCTGCCATCCTCTCCGAAAGGCGCATGCACGACCAGGACATCTGGTGTCCGAGAAAGAGTCAAATGGCCATGTCCTTGATACCTTGGTAGCTAAACAGCCTAGCCGATACGAGCATCAATTATCCAAATGTGAGCAGAGATCCGTAACTTGACAGATCCTTTCTCCCGATGAATGCAGGCCGCAGTCCTGGGTTGGTTCGCTTCTTCTTTCTTTTCCCTTGTCAAGCTACTGGCAACCCGGGTCCTGTCCGTATCGATATGCACAGTAGAAGTGGGCATAAGTAGAGTCGCTCATGAGAAGAACAATGTGCCAGCCAGTGTATGGGAGAGCGTACTGCCAGTGGATGGGACTGGATGGAGATGCTATTTACTTGTTTCATATTGTAGTATGGAAATGGATTGCTGAGCAGAATCGGGGACGTGCATTGGATGTTAGGTGGATGTGAAGGGTGGTGAGGGATTGACTTTGATTACCTCAGCACCAGCCGTGGGTCTCGGCGTCGGTCTCGGCACGGAGTCGGCGTCGATGTCGCCGTTAGCGGCATTCCAACTTCAACGACATCGTTAACTCACAAGCAACAAACAACAGCAAAGAAATGCGGGTAATTTCACTATGATTCTCTGCCTGTCTGTCTCTCTAGCAAGCATTGGACGATTCTTGTCACTCAACGAGCAAAACTCAACTGCCTCAAGCACGTACTGTGCTGTTTGTCTCAGTCTCAGTCTTCCTGATGGACCAAAACCAACAACCAAAACCAGGACCGGGACCAGGAGCAGCACCGCCTCGGACGATGCGCACGTCAACGTTTCATCTCCAGCACCGACTCTACCTCGACCATCTCCATGACTTCTCGCATCGGGGTGTTGGTATCACCGCCGCGGGTCTCAACCATCGCGACATGGACGGTCTCTGTTCATGACGAACAGATCTCACTCAAGCGTCGTCCAGATCTGGGAGCCCCAATGCCACCGCATTCTCAATCGCCTCATTCAACCAGTCCTCGTCGTTGTTGATCATGTGTGGCAGGTCCAAAGTCGCAGAGTAGCTGCTGTTGCCACCAGGACCAACGTCGCCGCCTGCCCCGTCATGGTCGCCTGTACCGACACTGTCCACGTCCGTGACCGCGCCGGCAGTCGCACCAGCTCGCGTCACCGTCTCGCTCGCGACCGTGTTTGGCTCTTCAACACCTGAAACATCTCCTGTGACATTTCCGATGCCGAAATCTCTTAGGACCTCCTCAAGTGGCGTTTCACGGGTAAAGACAACATCACCAGCGGAGCAGGTGAAGCCTGCTTGAGACACACCAGACGCCTGATCTGGCAATACAGTATCTCCTCCTACGTCCAACTCTTCTTGTTGTGGCACAATTTGAGGAACAGCGCCAGTTGGCACCGAAGAGCGCCAAGTTGTTGCAGAGGTGCTTACCGCACTGCCCAACCGCCCGTTGTTCATCAGCAGGCCATCAGGGAACATGGACTCAGCGGCTCCAGCGGCAGCGGTGGTGACCACATCTTCGTCATGATTGGACGAAGTGTCGGCAAACGGACTCGCCTCAAAGAGAAACTCCTCATCCGCGATGCTTGGCTGTGCGCGTCTCGCTCGTTTGGGGGATCTGATCTGCTGGGTTGGCTCCTCGCTTGCTCGCTTCGGAGGAATTTGGGAAGGCATGGGTCGAGGCATCCCTGCCGCTGAGTCCACATCCATCAAAACCGGGTCGGCAAAGAGCTCGCCGGGACCAGTTGCATATTCCTGGGTCGTCGCAGTATTGCCATCGAAGGGGTTTTTCAGCGAGTGCGTTGCGTCCGTTGCGAAAGCAGCCTCTGGAACAACGTCTTCATTCCAGGACAGGACGTGGTCGACGACGCCCTGCACGAAGCCCTCGGCCGGCAATGTCGCAACGAGGTTGTTCAACCTCTCAAGTCTGGCTGCATAAGCTGCGATGACATAGTCGACCGCCGATTGTCGGGCGGCAGCCACTTGTTGATCGTCGGTAAGGTCAGCCATCGGACCAGAGCTGAGTCTATTGGCGACGCCCGTCGCGACCATGTCGTTGATGGCGGTGATGAAGGTGGGACAGTCTTCAACGCGTTGAAAACTGAAGAGGGTCTCGGTCGATGAATTGGTCGCCCAGTTGGTCATTTGGAGGATCAAGTGTCTTCGTTCCCGACCAACACTCACGCCATGCACTTCATCGGCGTTGATGATCTCCTCTGCGCAGCGGCGCTGTCGGTCCCATTGTGCGGCAACCCCTCTGCTAAACGTCTCCAGTTCGGCCGCGGACGCCCAAAGGCCATATTCCTCACCATTGAGCGTCACAGTTTTCTCCGCTGCCGCTGCCGCGGCGGCCGAAGCCCGCCCCTTGCGTGCTCTGTGTTGGCGATGGCGGTACTTCCGAACCAATCCAGCCTTCTCGTTGAGGACCTTACCCTCCATTTTGCATCTGCCAGGGTCCTCCCCGCCGTTCACCAGGCAGCCCCGAAGCTTGGGCGCATTGCACAAGGCGTCCAGTTGTTCGGCGGAGAAACGAGCCATACGCGCACTGAGTCTCTTGATCAGGAAGTTTGCCCGGTTGTTGACCGACTTGGAGCTCGAAATGCCGGTGCTCTTGAATTCTTCGACCGCTCTGTCAGTCAAGCGGTTATAAATTTGGTTGCCTGTCCACTTCCACTGGATGAAGGCGTCGAGATAGCTCCCGCGGAGGTGGTTCGGGTACCTGATGCAGATGTCTTCGATGGTTGCCTCATCGGGGATAGGGTCCTCGAAAGGAGGAAAAGATGGCAGCTGGGGATACACTGCGGACGAGCTACGTCTTGATCTGGAGGATGCCGGTGACAAGGAACGTGAGGGAGACTGCTGCGGAGGGGCGGAGTGATATTGGTACTCCCCTTGCGATGTCGCGCCTGGACCTGGTTGATCCGCAGGCTCGAGGTCGGGGTACTGGGACACAGCGTCATCGGGCTGGCCTGGATCCTGTGATGGGAACTGTCCAAGGTTATTGGCCGCGCCCGTGGTGTTGGAAAGGAGATATACCTGGTACTCGGCCGCAGCCTCAAGGCCGCCCAGCTCCGCCCACCCGTCCATGCTCTTGGATTGAGAGGTGGCTTGACGTCGTCGTGGCACCAGGGTCGTCCAACGAACCGAGCCTTGCGGCCAAGGAGTGTCGGGTCTCGAGATTGCCGAATGCAGCAGTGTCTTTCTGATGGCGTTCTCGGCGAGGAATGGAAGTATGGGATGCTCGAGCCAGGTGAAGTCTCAGCCTGTGAGTGCGTACGACGCTTGAGCAGTCGAGGTACCTGGAAGAAAAATACCAATCGAGAAAGAAAAAGAGCCAGGGAAGTTGTTTTGACCCAGCCGGTGCGCAGTGAATGATGGACTTCAGCACGCAGTGCGAAGCCCGCGGTCGAACTGCCTTCAACTCGACTCGAAACAACGGACGACGTAACTGCTTCGACACCCACGCACTTTCAACAAAGAGCATTTGTGCAGGCAGGAGAAAGGGAGCCGGTCTCTTGAACCATTGCTCCCTTCTTTACAGAATCTACGAGTATGCAAATGGCACGACGAAGCGAGGTGTCGGCATTGAGACTTGTTGTTGCTTCATGGGATCAGATCAGGGGTGCATTGTGTCTATGTCAACTTGATGCCTCAATATCTCGGCGCCTGGTAAGACCATATCGAAATCCTCCTTGTGTCTCGACTCCTGAAAGACACATTGTGATCTCAAATGCCTTCAAGGACCCGACTCATTGTACGATTGTCTATCGCCGACCAGGGAACAAAGAGAACAAAGCTGAACAAAGTGCAATGTCACCCGATATCTCTGTGTGCCATCACATCCATTGGGCTCGACAAGATCTACAGTTCCCTCACAGTCCTTCCATTCACATGTATGGACTTGCAATACGATGCCGCTCACCGGCCTCGCGAGACTGGCCGTAGCAGACAATTCAGTCTTCTCTCCCTCGTGCTGCGTTCCAACTCTTGTGCCAATCTCCGCTAAACCTCCAATGTCACTTCTCGCGTTGATGCAGTGGATGCAGTGTTCGAAACCAATTTCTCTACTTCACCCGCAGCAGCCCGTTGCAGCCGAGGCCTCTTCCTCCTCGTCTTGGATGGATCCTCCTGGACATGCTGCGCTTCGGATTCTGGCATGAAGAGAAGGGTATTGATTGATTTATCGCAGCTGTTGCACTCGTTCATTTAGAGATCGGTCACAGTGCTGATACTTGGTTCCAGTTGCCCATGGTAATCGCGAACTTGCTTGACAAAAGCTGGCGTCGGGGGTAATGATGTATCGACTCTATGAAGCAGCGACGACGCGTGAACATTGGTGACAGGGACGACTAGATATGAAGACTGATTCGGTAGAGGCAGTTGACCACGCCGGACCTGAGCCGTTCTTCGCGGTACGAGTAACTTTGAACGGTCAGCCCGAGGTGGAAAAGATGCTGGAAACTATGGTGCTGGAGACTGAATATCTGCACGATTGTTTCTGGCAGATGAACCCGTGTGAAAGGAGTTTATGACGTGGGCTTCGAGCGTCCCAAGCAGACCTCTGGGATCGAGCCGTGGGTCAATCCACACACCAGACTGTCTTCGGTAAGAGTAGGCGGGACGGAGAAAGTGTGAGGGTATTATCAAACCGGTGCCTTCGGTTGCAAGCATGTGTTATCAGTTCTTCCCCATGGCTAGTGAGGGATTGTTGAAGGACCACTGGACAAATGGTGACGGCGAGAGCAGCGCTGTGGAAGAATGGCTTTTCATCTGGACGCTGGACTAAGGGTCTTGCCTCGTTGCTGCCGTTATACCCTACATGGACGAGAGTGCTGCTCCCTCTCCCAGGCAACCGACGGCGACGCCACGCTTTCCGGAGAAACGTTGTCTCTGTTGCGTGTTACCACGCGTCCACCACGAGTCCTCCATGTCCTCAGCGACAGCCATCTACTGTGGTGATTGACGGCACGACTCTGATTTGGATCTTACGTCAAAGGTTTGAACCGAGTCACGAAGGAATGCTTTCTGCTGTCCATGATGCTGCCTTTCCCGCGCCAGCATCCAGAGCGAGATTCACGTCTCCCAGCGATGAGATGCCCTTTCGCCATCACTACTGCCTTGGCGCGAAAACATTGACTGCTTCCCGAACCGGTTTTAATGCACCTCTGTTATTCGATTCGGTGTCTGCCCATCTCTTCGGGCTCTCCCCGCCCTCAATATCGACATGCCACTAACGTGCCTGGTCAATGGATAGGGGACCGATCACAGACTTCTCTACACCTCGGAATCGACGGTGACGACGTGTGAAGGATACCTGCATGTCTCATGATGGCGTAAGAACTACAATCCTCTCTCCGCCGATTGCTCCTGGCTTGAGACCGTTGCATCACATTGCTCAGTCCAACAAAGACACGCAGCATCTCAGCTCGTGGAAAAAAGATTTGAAAGCCCTGCAACGTCCTCAACACCGACTCCTCTCCGCCATTCCGTTGCCCAGAGCGGCCTTTTCCAGAATACGGCCCGTATACGGAGGGCAATTCTCTCGAAGGCGGCCAAAGTGTCCAATTGACGCTGCTGGGGTAGTTCAGGGCGTCCAAAAGAGAGAGAGAGAGAGATAGCAATATATAGAGATGACGCATCCCCTATCATCGAGGAGATGGACGAAACGATAGTACCTTGAATGCACGAGGAGATACCTGGCTGTGCGAACTTGGACGAGATGCTATCCAGGCGCCATCGTGCGCGTCGCCGCAAGCATGGCCAATAGGGCATTGCAAGACTTCCCGACGTCGAGCCCCTGCATCCTGCCCACAAGCGTGGGAAAAGTAACCAAAATGGGATGCTCGGACTTGACGGAGACTGGCGGAAGGACGGCAGAAGAAGCAGGAGGACACGGTCCGGAACTGCTGTACTGCTGATCCTATGGATGACGACTCAACGCTTCGAGAAGGAGGACCGTTCCCTACATGATTCGGGTGGGAGGAAGCTCTTGCGCCCCTCTTATTTTGTGTGGCACGTAAGTCAAGGCGTGAGGAAATCGTGATCGACTGTAGTCCTCACGCCCATTTGGCTATCCTCAGTTCCCCGAAGAACAAGCAGCGCTGCTTGCACACGGGCTCTTTTCGACCGTCACATGCATGTTGGCACCCCAGCTTTGTCTCGCATCGGCTGGTCTTTGCATGCATCTGTGCTGAAAGAAGGCCGGATCCGGCCACCACCATTGGCACCGTGCGCTTTGTTCTAGGGTCCCGGTCTCAATTTCGTTACCGGAGAACCCAGGGCACCGGAGGTTGGAATGTGGGTTGTGCTCCCTTGCTCCACGCCAAACTTATCTTGTTCAAGGTGCCCGGTCCTCCTTCTTTTTGTGCTCGAGGAGCCGAGGGCGCCTTGCGCTGACTCCTTCTTGAGGCTTCCGTCTTCGGCGATTTGGCCAAGTCGATTTCCTTTTGAGAACAGCATCCCGTACCGGCCGGCTGCGTTCGACCATGGGTCTCGGGATTATTAATGAGTCCTCGCCTCGATCATCCTTCTAGCATCTGCGCCAGCTCCTCCCTCCCCACTCAGACCTCGCCTTTGTTCGAGCCAACCAACCAGAAGCACGCAAAAGAGCCAGCCAGCACGGCAGAAGAGACATGGCGACACGCCCAACTCTCCCCTACTTTGCGCCACCAGACCTGCTCCCGGCCCCACTGCCCACCGTCGCCGAGATCCTCGCCTCGACGCAATTCATGAAGATGGTCGCAACCGCCCTTCCACACCCACATGTCGTCCGCGTCGGGGAGCACTTCCTTGTCAAATTCGGGCCACACGTCCGCCTCCAGGAGGGTGAAAATATGCTCTTCGTCAAGCAGGCGGCGGGCCTGGCCGTTCCGACCGTGTATGCCCTTTTCCACGATGAAGCGACTGGCCAAAACTTCATCGTTCAGGAATACATCCAAGGTCAGGGCTTGGACGAGTATTGGCAAACCGCTACTCCAGACGGCAAGGAGGCGGTAGTCGTCCAACTGCGTCAATACTTGGACAAACTTCGCAGCATTCCAGCACCTGGCTATTACGGTGGCGTCTAGCGACAGTCTATCCTCGAAACCTATGCGACAGGTGGCCGTGAAGCGCTCCAGAAGGGTGACGTTCCGGCGTGCGATACAGAAGAGCAATGGGTCGAGACTGTGATTCGAAACGCCGAAGCCGGCTACCCCACGAAACAGCCCGCCCTGCTCGAGTTTTGCAAGCGTATGCTCCACTCGGTCTATCGAGGCCACGACCCTGTCTTCACACACGGGGATCTTCATGTGTCCAACATCCGCCTGCGCGAGGACAACACGGTGGTGCTGATCGACTGGGAGTGTGCGGGCTGGTATCCGAGCCATGTCGAATACTGCAACGCCACCGTCGGCTTGCACTTCGACACCGATTGGGTCCTGTGGATTCCCCGATTTCTCAATGAATATACACATGAGTTGGCCTGGATGTACCAGGTCCGTGCGTGGATCTTTTGGGGTGGCAATATTGAATTGTAAGACGGACCAAGCGATGCGCGAGGGAAGTGGGATGGTGACACAACAGCATTGACGGGCTGAAGAGTTCTCTGTTTACCTCAAGGATATGTACTGTGAGATACCCAGATGGCTCTTTTCTCTTGAAGAGACCGTTCACACACCCTTCTTCGCACCCCCCATCTTTCCTGCGCGGTTAACCAGGGGGCGTCCATTAAGCACGCGATGGCTTCATGCCACTGACAATACACACGAATGAATCACATTCCAACGGCACCATGGGTCCTCACAAATGGGGTTGACCCACTGTTTTGAGTGCAGGCCGCCGCGGGTACATGATGCGTGCGTCACGAGGATAGGAACACAAAGCGGAACGGATGGCCCGTTGAGCGATCCATTCTCGGTTCTAAAACTCTGAAACAGAGACATGGAGATCGACAACCGTCGACCCTGCCACGTCTGTCTCTCGTGGCCCGCCTCGCCGGACGAGGTACAAGCTCCGGCAACAACATCTGCCCCCTGCCCCCTTGCCAACGACCCAACATGACACACACTACACGCACGAGGGTCGCCGAATGCTTCCGACCTTGACCTCTATGTTCGATAGATGACATCTTCACTGTCGTCCGGTCCCAGCGGTTCGAGGACGCCATTGTCACGCAGGATCTCTACGGCTTCGGCAGCCCAGTGCTGGCAATGACGGATTTGATCTCGCGGGACCAGTAATCGGTTCAAATCATACTGTTTTGCCGGTGCCGGAACGGTCTGGCAGACCGCCTCGACCTGGGCGAACTTTTCCTCCGACACTCGTCCGACCGGTTTTATCCAGTCAAGCGGTTGCACGGAGGACAGGATGGGGTCCCTCTTTGGCCTCGAACGTCATGCCTCGTTGGAGAGAACCGACCACGTGGAAGTAGTGGCCCGCCACTCGCTCCTCGGTGTCGACGTAGATGGCGTGGTGACCACTTTTCATGTTGACGAAGCAGGTGAGATAGACGAGGTGGCTGGCTGGCGGAGTGGTCATTGTTGCATCCAGTGCTGTGAAGGCGTTTGATAGTGTTGAGAGAGGCTTGACGGTATTGAGTGATGCGTCGGTGTTATACCCATTCAATGACAGAGGAAGCCATTGTCTGGTCTACCCTCATGGATAGAGACAATGACTGCCTCGTCCTAGTGGTGTAGTTGGTCGCGCTGTGTCTGAACACAGGCTTTGTTCAGCACGAATCCTGCAAACAGTAGAGGGAGAATGTGGTCATCAGACCTCCCACTATCCGGTCTCGGGCATACCTGCGAGGTAAATGGAGAGTGAGACTCTCAGCCAGGGACAGCTTGGTCTCAAGCACAAAAGAAACCCAGTTTCCTTTGTTCCAAAAGCAGATCAGTTGCCGGCCGGTTTGGGAGAGCCAACACAACATGTCTTTATTTGTCCAGGTTGACTCAGAGTCTCTTCTGGCGATACCTGAAGGCTTGTCCTATTCTTGGAATCAATGGGAAAGCTGCCATCACGATGATCTAGTGCACGATGGATAACGGGGGCGTTCAGACGGATGCGGCCATCAACATTGGCCTGGAATCCGGGCTGCAGAGTGTTGGTTGAGGTGTTAATTATTAAGATGAAGATTGAAGAGAGACTCAGGGTGAGTGTGAAATAAACATGGAAGTGGCCATCGTATCACTGCGTCTTATGTCAAGATCGCGAGTGGGTTGCTGGATGAGCGAACACTAGATGAAACAGCAGCACAACTACAAGAAAACACGCACCAACTCTGTGCTTAGTGGAAATGAGGATCTGCAGATTGACGACCTGCCGCAAGAGCATGACATGTGGTTCGATCGGGACGCGCTGCATGAGTCCAAGTAGGGAGGGCGTATGCCGCGCGAGATGTCTCTAGGAGACGTGGCCGTGGTTGAGGCACTACAGCCTTGTGGCATACCCATGATGGCACTGGACAGCACCTTCACATGATTGACGTATATGTAAGCCTTGACGAGGTCGTAGGGCACCAGGGCTCTTACCTCAAGAAACTAGAGCTTCCTGTACCGTTCGTGGCCCTCCACCACTACTGCTTTCGTCTCGAGTCAAAGCTAGCTGCTCTTTCGCAGCAGCTCCGACCGCGAGATGAACTGTAGCACTCTATGGAAATCCCATCTCCGAGCACGGTAGCTAGAGAGGAAACCATGCTCATGTTCCGATTCCAGCTTGTTCCTGTCGCAGGCATGGACGTGTGTCTTCCATCCAAGCGAGCCTCGTCACGCCAACGCCTAGGGGAGGGAGGGATGGAGGGAGTTTAGGTTCTCGTCTCAGCCAGATGATTATAATATCGTATAACCCGTCCTGGAATACAATGTAGGGTCGAAACGAGTCTAATGCCACAACCTTGCTCAAGTACTGCTTGTGGCGTATCAAGCCTGTTGCTCGAATATCATTTCTCGGTTCTGCCAGTGCCACACCACAACACGTGATTTCACCACTTCACCACCCCACATCCACCGGTAGGGATATATTGTTCAAGTTTCCAATTCTCTCCCAACAATCCGGACAGAGACATCCGCTTCTTGGCCGTGACTTGCGATATTGCAAGTCCGCGGTTTCATAGCTAAGGGGTCTTCTGAAGGATGGATTGTCTATAGATTTAGATTTAGATTTAGAATTCGACACCTTCCGACGGGAAAAAACCGTCTCGCAAGAGAAAAGGTTTTCGTCTCACCTTCAACCCACCGCAGAGTCAAATGTGTTGGTTTGAGGGCAGAGTTTTTGCTTGCCACCAACCAACATGGACATGGATGCTGGGTGTGAAGGCAGGGGGGGTTTTGCCCTTCTCTTCCTTACTTTTCCAAGTACGATGTTTTCTCTTGGTTTTATAAGCAAGATGAGTTCATCTGATCAGCTGGGCGGTGAGCTTCCAATTCAGTATCTTATGGGGTCCATAGCGCCTGTCATTGTGATGGTCCGCCTTCTGAGGTATTTCATTTCGTTCATACTCAGGTTCACATTTCCGTGACCAACAGCTTTCACCTTGTGTGACAGAGATATCTATCCAGCCCTTAGACGTGACATCGAGACTCGTACCTCTTGCTGTGTCTGTACTTGCGTTTTGCTGGCTGAAAGATGAAGTGATACCACTCGTACCGCTCGCCGAATTAGTTTTGCTCATGAGACTAATTCACACTCCGGACCTACCAGTCCAATTTGTCTTGTATATTGACACGATTCACCGACACGGACTGCCTGTGGTCCCAATGACATTCGAGGGAATACCGCTTATGAGATGGCTAGACAGCGCCGATAAAGACGCTACGTACCTTCATCGACTAACTACTCCATACACGCACATGCGTACCAGTGCGGGTCCTTTCCGTGACGGACTTACGAGGCTCGAGCGTTCAGGGGTTTGGAGAACACTCCCCGCACGCCAAGGACGCCAAGAATACAATGCCAAGAACGTCTTGTCGAGCTTTCAAGGGTCTTGGTTGAAACGGCTCCGCGAAGATCTACAGGCGTACGGAGTACTCAAGCGTCATGGCCGCTGACATTTCGGCACAGAGTTCATTGCACTCTCAAGCTGCTTCCCCTTCATCCAGGAGCTGAAAGGTTAGCAAGCTCATGGAAGAATGTTCGCGAGCGGCGATGCCAGCCGTCTGCGCTTCGCAGAAGCCGTCACCAAGTCAACGTCTGCTTGCTCCCAGATATGAATGGTTGCAGACAGTCCATTCTTCCTCGTGCGCGAGCTTGACGTCCCGATGGATCCATCCTCGGGATGCGTGATAATTCAGTGCCTCGAGCATGACTTGCTGCAGTCGAAAAGGGAGCTTGTCGCTCGTACCTATGCCTGGGTATTGTTGAATCAAGTACCACAAGTTTCCAGGCTCAAGGCACATGCAGTTGTGTACGACTCCGGGATCCCAGCCTCGTGAGTCCGACTGTTCGACTAGATGTCTCTGTAGAAGATGTGAGAAACCATACTGTAGCAGGCGAGGTGGTCGGACCTATTTCGGACATACTGACATCCTGAACGTGACTTTGACTCAATGTGGCCTGCCAACGTGGCATAAACGGCCAGATACCTTCACGTACGCAGGACAAAGTGTACTGATCACTGCGGTCGTCCATGGGTAATGCATGCGTCTGAAATCACGCGGAGTGATGATGAATGAGAATGGACGCCCGTCGACATGCGAGTCCCTCTCCACGTGTCCTTGCACCACCGCCTACGGCAACGCGTTTTGATCCATTCAGAGGCCCAGGCTGCTGTCTTCCCCTGCAAGGGACTGTCCGTTCCTCGGTAACGGCAATGGCAACCCGCAAGCCGGAGACGCGACAGCTCGAAGATGGTAGTGGGTAGACTGTCCCAATGTCGTGAGACCAAATCAACTGATAGGATAGGCCTTCGCTTTCGACTGTCACAAGACCTTCGGATTAGCTCTCGAAGCCCACCTAGTCTGCTGCTCGAAAGCTCGTCGTTCCTCCCCACTTAGGTTTTGTAACCCCTGTTCTCTCAACTCTGCAAACAGCTCAAGCGCCTGGTCGTACGTCTCGTTCGAGGTCCATCCGTCGCGATGGACAAGGTGTTCCAGGGAGTCCCAGAAGTCGGCTTGCTCGTTCCACCCCTCTGCGTCGCGGTAGTGGGCTTCAAGTTCCTCGTCTGTGAAACTGATGGGGCAAGGGGTCTCGTTTGTGATTTCATTCCAGTGGCTGTTAAATGTTCTTGTGTCAGAAATTCGAATCTGGAACCTGAAACCCCACCGTTTATGTGCACCCAGTTTGTGCTGAGTCGCAGCAGGCACGGAGTACACATACCGGACAATACGAATCAGACACTCTCTAAACGGCACGATGTCTCGTTCCCACGTGTTGGCAGCGAAGTTAACTGCATCACGCCTCAAGTGCCATTGAGGCATGTGAAACAACTCGTGGAGGATCGGGTTGGACTTTCTGGTTTCGGACTCGTAGACCCATAGCGCAAGGGACTTCTCAACCTGTGCTCGAATGCGGGCCTTTTCTGCTTCGTCGGCCAGGCCTTCGTACTTGGGAGGCAACTTGAGCATAACCTCTCCATTGTACCTGATCAGGTGCGGATGACGGGCTTGGAGGAATAAAGGGCCAGCCCAGACATCCTGCCAGTCAATTACGCTGGTGATTTGACCGTTGCGAACGAAAAGATTAGACGCGCGGATATCCCAGTGCCAGAGTGTTGATCTGACCAGGTCGCGTTTCTTCGGTAGTAATGCATCTGCCACGCTGATGAACTTCTCATACAACGCGATGTGGCAGCTGGGAGTATTTTGCGCTGCTGAGTCGGAGAACATCCCGGGTCCGTGCTTAGGTGCGGCGTGGCAACGTAGCCATTCGATTTCGCGGAGGCCTATTGCCTTGAGATAATCCTCAGGGTGTTTCCCTCCTCGACGTTAGCACATATCCAATATCGAATCTTCAGAAAAGGTGGACTGACAGGGGCCACGGTCGATCTTCATTCCTCCTCTGCCATGGATCCAAAAATTCGTGTCGACGACCGGACCGATGGCAAATCTCCTTTCCGTCTCATCTCTCTGTGACTGCAAAGCCTCGCCATCAATCTCGGCCTTTTCGCAGCCTGGAAAGGCGTCCGCCGCGTAGTAAAGGTTGCCGTAACTATGTGCGTCAGTTGGGAGAGCCACTCTCGCTCATCAGGGTAACTGACCGCGTGAACGAGATTGACAGAAGCTTTTTCTCAAGGGCCACAATTTCATCTACTATCTTGAGCTTATCATGGAGCTCGAAACCATCCCACAGCTCGTGGAGTGGAGTCCCATTGGCTTCCTCCATCAGGATGTATTCCGACTCAACAGGGTTATTAGCATTACCACTCCAAGACAAGACCTTAGGAACCGGGACGGCAAGGATATCACGAGCCTGCCGAAGAATAAAGATGAGCATCCGCGAATAGTATTCGAAGTTGGGGGATTGTCCTCACAAAGTCTATGGTTGCAACTTCAGAAGCAGTGGTTCTGAAAGACGGCCCAGCGTTGGGATTCGGTATTCGCGCAATGACAACGTTACCATCATCCATCATAAGTCGGAAGACTTTGTTGAATCCGCCCTCGGCAAGCTTGATCATAGACACGCAAGCATGGGATCCAACCGTTTTGGCCGCGATATTTTTGAGCTCCGATATATTGAAGCGTTTGTACCGGTCCCGGAGCTGCTTTTCTTCGTCCCATAGCCAGCGTCCGCCAGAGTAGCGGAAGAATTCCTCGTTTTCCGCATCGCCAGATGAAGACATTCTTTGAGTGAAACGATGGAAAAGCTGAATGCGGTGGGGAAGAACTTGCTTTGACCGAAGGCTGTGTCCACCAAGAGCAGGGACACGGTGGCGACCAAAACAATTGAGATAGTCATACATGGCTTTCACCCAAGCCTATCCACACTCCATCGTAGTCGTATGCGCGGACTGAGCGAAGTTACAAGAGCGTGAAGGTGGGCAAGTTACCAAGTGCGTTGAACAGGTTCAGGAGCGAGTCCGAGAAGAGACAAGCTTGGTTTCCTGTCCGCCAATCACAGTCGATCGAGGACGATCCGCCGCATTGGAAGACCCACGTGACGTCTTGGCATCCTGAGCCAATGGGTGCCTGTTGACGACATTACAGGAGCTGGGCAGGGCTCAACCAGCCAGCCTGAAGCAGCTTTGTCCCTGCTGCGGACAAGATGACTTGTACAGCGTGCTTCTGCATTCTAATTGGCGTCTGTAGCCCTGCTGAGTTGTCCACAGCGAGCCACAGCAACACTGCTGCCTCGATTTGCCTGAAACCAACGCCATCATGCGGCCAAGATTCGCGCAAGGGTGTCCACCATGCAAGTGCGACGGTGATTTGGAAGACGATCGCCGAAGAGTTCCATCTGTACAGCATTGGGCTGATCTAGTAAGAAACCGTGCATTCGACCAGTGACTTCCACAAATTTCACCAGGCTTTTGTTCGGTTGGCTCGAATCCGCAGCAAGTGATGAAGTTAGCAACACCCGCCAAGGATATCACCCATGGCTTGAGGCATGCGTCAGTCCCTGTGTCGAAGTTGATATGGATGACAACGACTTGAATCAGAACGAATTCTTTCCTGGGCACAAGACTACCCTCCACGCTCCCGTTTTGCCAACTGTCTTGAAATCATCGCCGCCGACATCTTCTTCCTTGGTAAGGTTCCACACTAGTAGCCCAGCTCATTCGCCTTCCGGTCAGTCAGATGTTGGACGAGATCTGTAAGCATGTTGATGTTCACACACTCATGAATTGCACAGTAATCACGATGCCAGGTCACGGTATCTCAAACAAAACCTTGAAGACGTTCCTAGACAAAGCCCCATGGGCCAAGGTCGCTGAAAAGGCTTCTGACACCCCACAAGGGCAGCGTCTGTACCCTAGCCGGACTTCGCTCAATGATGCAAATTATAACTTCAGAATTGACAAGGGTACGAACAAGGACGGCAAAGGCCGAATTGATATTACAGGTCAACAAGAATGCGAATGACAAAAAAGTAAAGGAAGCGGCGCAGAGGAATAGTCATGCTATCTTGGCCACATCGCTCTTGGACACGACAGAGGATCAAGAAGGAAAAGAAGCGAGGAAGCAGTTCGAAGAAGACTTCAAGAAAAGACAGTGAGGACGAGCACGGCTGTCCAGTCGCAAAATGTGTAGGTTAGTTAGGTGGACCGTAGCCAACCAAAGCCACTCGTCGCTCAAAGTGTGTCATCTTCCACGACACGGCGTCCTTCGTCGAAGCTGTCCACGAGATCAAGAGCGTACAATACCTGTAGACGAGACTACGAGGCACATAGAGCCGTGCAATGGCCTGTCGTCACTAAAGCTAGTCTATATTGAGGACATCCGATATAGATGCTAAGATGCGGCTGATGATCGAGCAACCCGATGAAGCCGCCAATGGTGTCAACTCTGAGAGGTGTATTCTAGTTGAGTTGCAGAGTCCGACTCACGAGGCGTGCTTCTCTTGTACTTCCTTAAAGGATACCAGACGCATTGGAGACTCGCCATTGCTGCTCACCCAAATAAGCCGCAATTGGCGAAACTCATGCCGCCACTCCTTCCTGGAGCACCCGCCTCAACCTCACCACCAAACCACGAAAGCATTGCCATGCTCGCTCCTGAAGGGCTTGATACATTTCAGTCCTGGCAGACAGATGGTGACCCGCCCACTTTGCCTCACCAAGCTCGCCAATGTAATGGGCCATCGAAGTTTCGACAAATATCCAAAACACAATAGCCCATTTCAATACATCAGCAGCCCCACCGAACTCAGCAGAGGCCAGCAGCGGGTCTTTCGCAACACCCAGTCTCACAGCAAGTTGTTGGATAACCTCATCGAGGTCATAGTTGCAGGAAGTGGCGACGTCGGTGCAGGACTGAATGGTGTGATAGAAGTCGGTGAAGACCCCGGCCCTATGCTTGCTCTCGGCCTTGTCTGCGTCTTTCTTTCCCCTTCCAGCATGGACACAAAGGCGGGGATGCGGGTCGTAATGGGCTTGTTGCGTCGTCTCTAGAGCTTGCAGTCTCCTTGCGTAGAGCGTGCCTGATATGGTGGTGAATCTTCCACAGCTATGGGGTTCTGTTCGAGGGCAAGTGCAGCATGTTGCGTTCTCGTCTGAGTTCTTTGCTGCCGCCGCCACAGGCTCCCACGCCGCCGCAGGAAATAGCGCTTTCCTAATGTACCGCACTTCAGAAGCCGGAAGGTCGAGAATTTGTCGCTGTGTTGACACCGCTGTCGTGGGTTTCGAGACGGCTGGAGTTGACATTGACCATGTTAGAGGGGTTTCCGAGATTGGCTCCGGCAGTCTCGGCACCTCTGATTTGGCTTTTGAGACAACTGGGGGTAGATTTGGTACTGAGGGAGGCGCCAATCTTGATGTCACTGGTGCCGGGTCCGAGATTTCTGATGAGGGTAGAGATCCTGTTAGTGAAGGCCGCGATGTTGGTAGTATAGGCTTTGGTTTTGGGTCTTGCTCTGGGTCCGGCGCTGGTCCTTGGAATCTAACTCGTTTGGCCGCATTTCTTGCTGGGGCATCATCCTTTGGCATCGGGAGCTGCGAGGTATCCTCATCAAGAGGACGCTTGTTAGAAGACTTTGTTGGCTGTTGCCAACACATGCCGAGCATGCTTTTCAAACTCAAGAAATGGTCACGGTCCATTCCCAAGCCTTCCTCGAGCAGAACCATAGTAGCATTGTACTGCTTCTCCACGCCGGGAGAGGACCAAACTTCAAACAGAGCATAGTAATCGTTTGGTGCCACCGTGATCCTGCCGAGCTGATTTCTCAGGGATTCAGGGTCCTCGAGAAAGCTGAAACAGAGTTCTCCATAGTATTTGCATAGGTGATCTAGACCAAGCGTCAGTCAAATCATCTTGCGTGAGGTCAGCTTTAGCAGAGATACCTCGTTTCCTCTGCCATTTCCTTCGTTCCTCAAAGCTATCCCAATCAGACGGCTTTTCCATCCTAAAAACCAGGGTCTTGCCAATAACAACCTGCGGGGTATCGGCACCCGACTTGGATGCTGTAGACCGCTCCAAGGTGTTTTCTTCGTGCCATTCGACCTGATCTTGCCACTGATATCCCGGAGGCATTGTTTCAATGGATGATGAGGAGGGCTTCGGTGGATAGCTCTCTCGGAACCGTTGTCGATGTTTGACCATCATTGCGGAGCGGATCTGCTTGGACCCCGGTGGATGCATGAGGAGAGAAGATGGTACAAATAAAACAAAGGACTTATAGTCTGCGGTCCTTTCGCGCACTGCTTTCACAAGGTCACGTCGCACGTGACCAGGAGGGTAGTTGTCACCCGCAGGTAGTTGACCGGTATTGTGAAGAGACGTTGCCTGTCACCGCACATTGATCGAGGGTGCGACAGTCATGTGCAGGAGCTCCTCGTACGGCGACGACAAGCTGGTTGTATACACACAGATTGTGTTGCTTGACCCACGAAACGGGGCTGGTCTTGATAGTCAGCAGTGTGTTTACATGGATCCGATGTTCGCAAGGACAGATGGTAGAGGGGAGGCACATCGACCGTAAAGTGTGCTGCGATCGTCCTCGACTATCTTTCCGCTAAGTGACAAAGGTGTGAAGTCAGTGTGAGAGCGGCCAGACTCTGCGACGGTCTGATGTTTCCATGTATTCAATGGCTTGGCTCTGCTGTGTTGCTCGCACTGGCCGCGGAGGAAGGCGCCATCAGCGCGACCGGCCACCGCGATATTGGATGGCCATAATGCAGTCGTCGACCACGTCCTCTGTCTCTCAGTGCAGGCTTGGCTTTCATTATTCTGAACAAGCATTAAGAAGCGAAAAGCGTCCAATGTCCATGTCACGGGCGGTTAGCTGACCGACCGTCTCACTCTGGGCAATGTGAAGCAGCAGCCTGCCTACTAGGCTCGATAGCTAGAACGATGAGAATGAAGGATAATCATCACGCCGTTGTCCTTTCCAATGATGGCGTTCGTCGACGTCGTGCTGTCAAGTTTCAACCAAGATGAACAAAGGGCATGCCGGATATGGCATCTCCTCTGTCCGCAAGCAGCTAATGGATTTTATTGGAAATATGTGATTTCCATTGTCCAAGAGATTCATGTATCTTCTTGTAAAGTCCCTGTGTGTCTGCGTAAAGATACAAGCATTGTTTGAGAAAGGGCAAGTAAGTGTGCTTTGAGAGGCGTCTTCACGTGATCTGATCATTGCTGGATCACGTGTAGCTGGCTGGCTTGGAGTCAAGCCGACTGTCTACTGTATGCCAGCCCTGCGGATTGGAGTTCGGCAGCTCCTGCATCTACTGGACGGAGTAGCTCTGTCGGCGATAATGCTAAACCTCGGTCGTTGCTGGTTAGCTCCGACCAGCAAGATCGATACCTGCTATCACATCAAGTAATTAATCGGAAAGCCTGCTGAATGCATCCTTTTGAGGACGAAGTACGGCGGAATCGGCGCCTATCGCAGATCTGACCTTTCCACCACGTTCCCTGCTGTAGCCGCCTCATAAGTCCGGGCGTCCCGGGCAGCGGCTTGTCCTGCGGCAAGAGTGCTGATCGGGAAGTACAAATAGACGGTCGCACCTCGTACCAGCAATCGGAGCCGGTGGTTCACCGCATTCTTTACCGACCAAGAAGCAGTCCATCGAGCCCAGCCATCTCCACTGACGCATCTCGAACCAGCGAAATGGAGTACAAGAACCTCGGTAACAGCGGCTTGAAGATTTCCAAGGTCATCCTGTACGTGACACTCGCTGTGACTGGATTGTGCAACGCTGATGCACCTCAAACAGTGGCTGCATGGGCTATGGTACCCCAGAATGGCAAGGCTGGGTACTTGATGAAGAGGCCTCTCTACCGCTTCTGGAGTATGCGTATAAGATCGGCATAAGGACATGGGACACAGCGGATGCATACGCAAGTTCTCCCTCTACGCACGTTGTCATTATACATCAATCTCTGTCCAGGCTAACAAAGAGGCTATAGAGCCACGGCCGTTCGGAGGAGGTCATAGGCAAGGCAATCAAGAAATACCAGATCCCACGGGAACGACTCGTCATTCTCACCAAATGCTTCTTCGGCGTGACCCCAGACAAGATATCAAACAGTTGGGTTTACGGCAACGAAGGCGAAGAGTTGAACCAAGTTGGACTCAGTCGGAAGCACATCATTGACGCCGTCGACAAAAGTGTTGCTCGATTGGGAACTTACATCGATGTTCTCCAGATCCACAGACTCGATCGCTCGGTGCCTCGTGAGGAGATCATGAGAGCCTTGAACGATGTCGTTGAATCAGGAAAGGTGCGGTATATTGGTGCTTCTAGCATGGCAGCGTGGGAGTTCCAGGAGCTGCAAAACGTTGCAGACAAGCACGGATGGCATAAGTTCATCTCCATGCAGAACTATCACAACCTGCTTTACCGTGAAGAGGAGAACGAAATGATCCCCTATTGCAACCATACGGGTGTTGGTGTTATCCCCTGGTCTCCAGTTGCCAGAGGTGCTCTCACACGGCCCTGGAATGACCGAGCAAGTATACGGGAGGAGACCGATGGTGGGCTCAAGTCTCTTGTGCGTTCGGCAGAAGACAAGGTTGACCGTGAAATTGTCGGACGGGTGGAGGAAGTAGCCAAGAAGCTGAATAAAAGCATGGCTCAAGTCGCTATCGCTTGGAGTCTCAGTAAGGGCGTCAACCCTATCGTGGGTATGAACAAGAAGGAGCGCATGGACGAGGCTCTCGAGGCGAGCAAGATCAAGCTGAGCGAGGAGGATATCAAGTTTCTGGAAGAGCTATATCTTCCAAAGAAGAGGCAGGGCTACTGACCAGGAACACCATGAACCAGTCCATCACCGGACGGAGACAGATCCAATGCTCTCGGCCATGACAATGCAGAGCGACGGAAGAACCAAGATTGTCTCCAGCCACCACCGCTTGAAGGAAAGTCTGATAGCTTTGTGCATTTCATTCCGTGCTCCAAGTGAGTGTCAGCAATTCGGGGATCTCAGCGACTTCACAATAGCCAGATGACGCCAAAATCACTTGCACTTTCACTTTCACTTCACCTTGAGTTTCCTGTTGCTTCACCACGGCGCGGCGGCAATATTCTGCGCACAAAAGCAAACAACACCGCGCCTTGTCCTTGCTTCAGACCGTCCCCTCGACCTCTTCCTCTCCAACCTTTCAACGTCGTTTCAAGCTCCTCGTATCGTCGTTACAACTCCTTCTCTACCACTGGTTCTTCCCACTACACACGCGGCACGACTGCCGCACACAGTCATATTCACATCAGTAAGATCGCGTCCTTCCGCGGATTTTGTGCTATGCCTGACCGCATCTTAGAATCATCTCTACCGGTGCCTTTCACCTCACAGCAGACAGCAGTGCAGGTGGTAGGCCGTGATACCTCTTGTAAGCATGATCCTATGATTTCGGTCGAGATCAGTGACTGATGAGCCTCAGATTGACCTCACCTCGCACCTTCCACTTAGCCATACCGTGACTACCACGAACGCAGCGCATTAGAGCTACAGCATAATCGACCATGTTCAGTAGCACTTACTCTAACGCCAACACCAGCGACGATGACGACTTTGTCGACGGTGACTCCGCATGCAGCAGTGAAGATGCGTGGCTCGGCGCTGCGGCTCTAGGGGAATCAAGTCAGCGCAAGAAAGTCACGGATTCGTCAAGGGTAAGTTTTAACTCCCACAGATCACTTTGTAATGTACCAGTAGTACAGTCGCGACTAACAGGTTTCCCAGGGTCTCAACGCGTACCTCAGAATGCGCGACTCTGTCAAGCTTCACAATCGCAAGACTTCGAAGGTCAATGACCCACTTCCGGCCAAAGGCGCTACACGCAAGAAATCCCACACTCGCCGTGGTCGTACCTGGCCCGGAAAGACCAGGACCTTGAAGTCAGTCACGTCGAACAAAATCCATGCAGCGGTGTTCCCTAACATGCGTGTGCCTGTCTACATGCGCAAGCGACAAACCAAGAAAGGACATTCTGGCTATGCAGCCGTCATTTCCAAAGCACGTCATGAGGTTGTGCCTATCATGCACGTCCAATGTCCTATGCCCGGTGGCACTTCAGTCACGACGCAGACTGATCCAGTTGAAAAGATCACCTGGGGCCCAATCTCCCGCATTGAAGCCACTGGCCACGCGAAACACCTGGTCAAGGAACTGCGCAAGGCTGTCAAGGCTGCCAAGAAAGGCAAGGCCAGAGCGAAAGACAACAAGGACGGCGAGAGTGACACTGACGGAGAAGAGACAAGCAAACCTGCCAAGTCGCCTGAGAAGAACGGGTCGACAGGTGAGGTCAAGCAAGGAGATAAGCCTGCGATCGAAGGTGAACTCAGAGAGGATGGTCTCACACCTGAGACTGCGTCCATTGCCGGCACTGATATTACCAACAACAGCATGGCTTTTCCTGCTCGTCGTGGTTTCAGAGCCCCACCAGCCACACCCGGCGAAGATGTCGTTTCCGGATCTTCATCAACTGCAGCTGCCCTATCCATGCCCACTCTCCCCATCATGCATCACATCGCAGATACCAAGTTGGTTGAGCACTTTCGCCTGCAGCACGCCAAGGATCCTGAGGCTTTCGAGGAAGAAACTTGGGCAATCAAACAAGGGCTCATTGATGCGAAAGTCAATCGAGGCGGAATTCCCACCTTGCTGAGAGAAGAGTACACGGTCGAGTTGGCAAGCCGCGAAGGTGCAGAGATTGCCGAGAAATGGGCGAAAGGCCAGGCGAAGAGCTGGGAGCATCCCAGTCTGCGGAGCCGTGGCAACAGTCTCAAGAGCCAGCCCAGCTCTGGCAGCCTGAAGGCGCGCGGCGGTGGCGGCGATGTCGAAGGCACTGGACTCAACCCTGGCGCTGCGAAGAAAGAAAATCGTGATTGGCGGTTCGTCGTCATCAATCGCGCACCGGACCCTTCTCCAGCTTCAAGTTTGCCCGAAACAGAACACGACATGGCAGGTCCGACATCAGGACTCCCCGTTCTAGAGCATGAAAAACCCACAGACAAGCCCAGCACTGAACAGGGCGAGTCTTCGACAGTGAAGGACGACTCAAAGCCCAAGGCGACTATGAAAGCAATCAAGAAGGCATTGTCGCGCCTCAACGTCGCTGACAACATCTCCAAGATCACGACTTATGGTACTGTCCGTCACCAATCCTTTGTCAAGCGCGAAGTCAGCGACCACGGCGAGAAGCGCACCGTGAAGACATGGATTGAGGTCACCGAAGTGTATGAGGTGCCCAATCCCCAGAAACTGACTGTCAAGGACATTGCTGCAGCGGTTGAACAAGAAGACCGAGACATGCACAAGAGTAAGGGCGAATCGGAGCGTGATGACAGCGACGATGACGAGAGTGAAAGCGATGACGACCTTGGCGAGAAAGAGATCGCGAGCCTGAAGCAGACAAAGAAAGGCAAGGCGAAGAGTTCAAGCGACGAATCATCAGGCCATTCCTCGGATGCCTCCTCTTCTTCCGATAGCTCCGAGTCCGAGTCCGGGTCCGATAGTGCGTCTGACCATGATTCTGGCCATGGTGCAGGCGACCATGTCTACCACGATCCCAACGAGACCGGTGCCGCATCTGTCTTCCGCTCTCTTCAGTGCCTTGGAGAAGATCTCGACGCCGGGAATCTTTCGCGCATCTCCAATGACTTCGGTGCATTGATTGCTGGATTGCAAGGCGAGGGAAGTTTCAACGTTACTGTGGATGGTGCAGGGTTGACCGCGTGGTGAAGAGCCTCAACCCTGGAAATCTTCCGCGCATCTCCAATGACTTTGGGGCACTGATTGCTGGATTGCAAGGCGAAGGAAGTTTCAACGTTACTATGGACGGTGCAGGGACGAAGACCGCATGGTGATCGTATGGAGATGAAACAGGCGCGACGAGCAATAAGTTTGAGGTGAAGTTGAGCTGGAACACACGGCGATTGGACATGAAATGAGTACGCATGAACTGGAGATGAGAGACGCCATCAGTGCGCAAAGGGCTGTTATTAAGCGAGATCGTGCTGGCATGGGCTCAATACTCAACCAGGAGCAAGAGGCTCAGTAGCAGCTGGCTTGAAATGCATACGCGTGCGACAACGAGAATCCTTGGTCTTGAACCTGGACTACCACGCGATCTCTGCCTGCTGGAGGGATTTTTACTAGAATACACAGTCCTTGACGCCTAGCTGCCGAGCCTCGGCCGCATGTTGCTGGTCTACTCAGCTACCCACACGGCAGCCATACCCCTATTGACGAAGATGTTAGCTTAGGCTCTCTTCCTAGGGACAACAATGCATAGGGGGAATTTCACTCACATGCCAGTTCCAACACACATACTCGTGACGCCGATCTTCTTGCCCGTCCTCTTCAACTCGGTGAACAGGGTACTCACCTGCCTGGCACCGGTGCAGCCAAGAGGATGTCCAAAGGCGATGGCACCGCCCTTGGGATTGACCTTGTCGAACGGTATGCCCAGCTCCTTGACGCACCACACGCACTGGCTGGCAAACGCCTCGTTGATCTCGAAGATGTCGACGTCGTCCTTGGAGATGCCGGCCTTTTCCAGCGCGACGGGGATGGCCTTCCAGGGACCAATCCCCATGAGGAGAGGCTCGACGCCCACGACCGACGCGGCCACGAATTTGCCCAGGATCGGCTGGCCCAGCCGCTCGGCGGTGCTGCGCTTCATCAACAAGACGGCGGCCGCGCCGTCGGACACCTGGCTGGCGTTTCCGGCGTGGATGGACCCATCCTTGGCGAACGCGGGCCGGATCTTGCTCAGCGACTCGGCCGTCATGCCTGGCCGGACGCCGTCGTCTGCCTTGACCGTCACGGTCTTCTCCTCCTCGGTCTTCGGATCCGTGTACTTGACCGTGATGGGCACGATCTCCTGATCGAACAGGCCGGCCTTTTGCGCCTTCTCCGCCTTCTGGAACGAACTTGCCGCAAAGGCGTCCTGCTCCTTCCGCGACACGCTGCGGTCTTTGGCCATCTGCTCCGACAGCACGCCCATGGGGACCTTGCAGTTCGCGGCCTGCATGTGGTTCTCCAGCAGGTCGGAGAACTCAGTCACCGCCCCGGGACCGTACTGGGTGGACATGCTCTCGACGCCGCTGCCGATGCCGATCTCAATCATCCCCGCGCGGATCGCGTTGGCGATGTCCACACACGCTTGTAGCCCGGAGGAGCACTGTCTGTTCAGCGACCGGACCGCCGTGGACGTGGGGAACCCCGCGACGAGTGCCGCGGCGCGGTACTCGGTCGCTCCGCCGCCGGGGGCGAGCACGCAGCCGGTGGCGATGTCTTCGACGAGGGTAGGGTCGATCCCCGAGCGCTCGATCAGGGCCTTGAACGTGTGGGCGAGGAGGTCTGCAGCGGCGGTGTCCTTGAGCGGGCCGCGGCCGCCTTTCGTGAAGGGCGTGCGCAGGGCGCAGGTGACGACGACATCGTCGGGGGACTTGGAGAGGATGGACTGGCTCTGTTTGCTCGAGCCGATGTGGCTGGATACTTGGGAGAGGCGGGCTTGTGCTGCGAGCGAGCGAATGAGTGAGTTTCACATGTCAATCGGAGGTGGGTAAGTTGAGGGCTTCTTCTTACCTGTCGACATTATGAACGGAGAAGCTGTGATAGCACGTCACAGAAAGTCGAGGATGGAGAGTCTGGTAGATGGACAGGGAGGGAAGGAATCTGAAAGGATGGTCGCAGCGAAAGCGAAAGCAAAAGCAGGAGGAAGAAGCAACGGATTGTGGTTTACGATCACAGGTCACCTGGATTGAAAGTCAAGCTGTTATGGCAGCCATGTTTCTCATGTGCATAATCCATAAAGGACATGCGCGCGCTGCGATGCGATGCCGAGGCATGTGCAACGTTGCAGCGCAACAGGCGAATGAAGTCATTTGTCCTGTGATGTCCGCTTAATTGTCGGTCACCGTACGGTGTACTGGGTACGGGGCACGTTTTGACTTCTTACAGGCCGGGGTTGGGCGTGAGGTGAGATGTTCAGTAATCGGGAACACGAAGTACTCGTAGGACGGTCACATGTGAAGATGGAAGTTCAAGTTAATACAAATGAATGTGCAGAGTACGGAGTACAGAGTACAGAGTACCTAGTGACGCTAGCCAACCTGTACTGAGTGCTTCGTACCCAATACTCCCTACTCCGTACCGTCCTCGCATTGGTTCCGGTGTTTCACGTGCTAGACCTTGACTTCAAATGACAAGGATATCGACAGGTCCGCGGCTCAACAGCTACACAGTCACGTGAACAGTACAGTCGTTGAACGGAGAAATTATTCTTCCATTGCCGCGCGTAGACTCTGCTCTGGAGGTACCTCGTAACTCGTACCTCGTATTCCGTGCTCCGAAGTGCATTGATTTTCAGCACCGTAGCTCAAACACCACTCCCACCAGCTACAGTATACACCACCATTCATTGCACGGTCACTACGCCAACACCTTGACATGGCAGTCCCGAACAGAGCATCCCGTGCTCTTACGTTCATGCGCCACTGCCGCTGCCGCCGCTCGCCGCCCTCCCTACACCAACCCCATACCCAAACCCAACGGCATGCCTCGACCGAAGCAACACCCTCTCCTCCGTCTCTGTCGCCGTACGCACCCTCGAACTTCACCCGCCCAACGACCGCAGCAGCGCCAGCAGCACCCTCACCCGACCTCCTTGCGGACGACTCCAGTCTCTCCGCCGCCTCGACCCTTCCCACCCCACGACCCGTGTACGCACACCCGATCTCGCGGCGGCCTCCGCCTCCGCCCCCGACAGAAATCCCCGGCACGCGCCTGACGTTCACGTCATGGGCGCTCTCGCTCGTCGGCATCGCCCCAAAACCAGCCGCGACGTACACGCCCGCACCCTTCCGCGTGACCAACAACCCGTACCGCGCGCGCAAGCGGTGGCCGCCGGATTTCCGCACCCTCGACCCCAAGCAGCAGTTCCACTTTGAGAAGACGTACCGCCGGCGGGCGGCGCTCAAGTGGGCGCGCCCGCGGTGGAACAAGGGCGTCAAACTCGTGCAGCAGACGTTGATCACCTTTACGATTATCTATTTTGTCTTTATCTGCGAGCCCGGGCACGGCATGGGCACGCCGTTTGATGGGGTGAGTTTGTGCTGCCTTGCCTTGCCTTTTCTTGGTCTTTGGGTCATTTGGTCCGAGATTACCCCTGCTATTCTTCGTTCCGAGGCCTTTGCGTTTCTCATGAAGGAAAGGAGTGAATGAATGGCTGACTGTGACGCGCGTATTTTAGTTCCGGGTTTGGTTCTTCGACAAGGTGGGCAGGCTGGGACAATTGCCCGAGTCGACGAGGGAGGAGGCCGAGAAGTTGAGCGATGAGGCGAGGCAGAAGATGAGGAGACAGCAGGCGGATACCACGGCTCGGGCGGCGAACTCACCGGTTGCTGGCTCTTAAGATGCATATCTTTTGGGGGCAGTGTCAAGCTGTCCAGCTATGTACAGCAGCTGTGTACAGCAGCTGTGTACAACTGATCACCGATATTTACAGACCAGCATTTCGACCGTTTGAAGCGCCGACACGGGTTTTGATAAGCAAACCTAAACGCCCACAGTACATCCCCTCGTCGTTCCTCAATCTTCACTGCTCCTGCCCCCAGCATTCCCACCAGTCACTCAGTCCCTCCCCACTGCCAGCCGCTCAACTCACGCCTTTCCGAGGCCAACCAGGACGAGGAGGGCAACGTTCATCACGACCAGGACAAGCCAGATGGTTGTGGCAAGCGCAGTTACAAGCCACCCGTTCCGCATGTTCACCCCTCCTCCAATGTCGTTGGTTTGCACGGTCATGATGTGGCTTCGACAGGTGAACCAGAGCAGCGGGGCAGTCACAAACGGCAGAATGACGCTCAGGCAAACCTGGCTTGCGGTCAATGCTGTGTTCAAGCCTTCCTTTCCGATCGCCCCTGCGATGATGATGCTCGGGATGATGCTGATGGACCGGGTAATCAGCCTGCGTAGCCATGGCTTCAATGTCCAATGGAGCATCCCTTCCGACACCATCTGACCGGCCATGGTGCAGACGATGCCGGCTGAGGTGCCAGATAGGAGTAGAGCGAGGGCGAAAACGGTCCCGGCCGCCTTGGAGAGGTTCTCACTCAGCAGGCGGTGGATGCCAAACAGATCCGCTTCGGTAGCCTCTGTCTTGGGGTAAAGGGATGATCCGGACACAATGAGGATGGCCGAGTTGACAAACAGAGCGAAGGTGAACAGGGAGGTGGCAAGCTCAATGACCGAGTACTTGAGGCAGGCCCGGATCGCATAGATGGACGGAATATATTTCTCTTCTTCGTCGTCGGACTCTTCCCCCATGGCGATGTGGCCGTTCTGTCGGTCAAACTGTTTCAAGCGTGGCTGAACGACCCCCGAGCCAAGAAAGATGGAGTGCGGCATGACGGTCGCTCCGATAATACCGCAAGATAGGTAGATGCCGTTGCCCTTGACAATCGCGGATGAAGGAAGATAGCCCTTGAAGACCTCTCCGGCCGAGGTGTCCTTGATGTAGGAGAGCTGGATACAGAAGCAGACCATGACGCCCAGAACAAGACACATGACAAAATACTCGAAGAGTCTGAGGCGCATCATGGAGCCATTGGGACGATAGAAGAGAAGGAGGATCAGGACATCGACCAGGGTAATCGCACATCCCGCTATTAGGGGTATGTGCAGGAGTAGATTCAGAGCTATGGCCGAGCCAATGACCTACGCCTCGTTAGAGTCTGCAATGTATCAACCAATTCGGGGGTTCTGGCTCACCTCTGCGATATCTGTAGCAATGATGGCAGACTCAGCAAACAAGTACAAGACGATATTCAGCCACTTGGGTAAATGCTTGCGGCAGTTTTCAGCCAGGTTCAGCCCGGTGACGCTTCCCAACTTGATACAGAGAGACTGCAGGAAGATAGCAAACAGATTGGACATCAAGATGATGAATAAGTGACGATACTTGGTGGCCGCGCCCGCCTCGACGTCGGTGGCATAGTTGCCCGGGTCGATGTAGGCGACGGCAATGAGGAACCCTGGACCCACGAACTTCGCGTACTTTTGCAGAATGACCACGACCTTGTTTGCAAAGGCCCGTGGTGAGCGGAAACTCTGAAGTCGCCGTGGGCGGGTTTGTTGAACGGCCGCTCGCTCGAGCGGATCAACCTTGACAGCGGTGGGTGACTTGACGGCGGAGGGGGTTGACTCGGCATTGTCGACCGGCATCACACGTATGTCTTCCTGTTCGTTGTTATCCAGACTCGACTCATTCGCTCTTTGCTCTCGCAGGTTCACGATCCCATTGAGGTCCGCCCGCGTGGTCAAGTCGGAACTGAGCCCATGTGGATTTTGATTCCAGTCCGGGTGCGCCTCGGTGTCGTCTGTGCGTGAGGGACAATTCATGATGGTGAGGCTTGGAGGACGGAAACTCGCTTAAAGGGACAAGTGAATGAAGATGGTGGAGCAAAATAGGTGTCACAGCTTGTATATCATACAAACCAGCTACGGAGTACAGTATGTGGTCACGGACGCTTGTCCAAACGGTTTCTTCCGACTCAGCAACTGGTGCGGTGAGGGGGTGGATCAGCTCTATGATGGAATCTCGCAAGCACGGCGGTGGACCAGAATGACAAAGTGGCACAGCCGTCAGCTGCTTATTCTTAGAAGAGTCTGGCCGCAGGAGTCCCTTTGCAGCTGACGGAATTAGCGAGAAGGAAGGACCAAGAACCGGAAGGCTAACAATTACAGGACTCCGTAGGATGTTGGCAGTTTTTAAATCAGGTACCAGGCACGAAAGAGCAGGCGCTGGTGAGGAAATGTCCGGAGCATAGATGATCGGACTGGTGGTAGGACACGAACTCGTCCAGCCTGACGTGTCACCTTCATCCAGCACTGGTACTCGTATGAGAGTGAAAAAGCAGCTATGTTCGATCGACGACACAGACCACCGTCAAAATGAGTTTCTGGACACTGTTCCTCTGTGAAATCCGCGATGCTGAGATCGAAACGTGGAAGACTTGGGGAACTGCAGCGCCCAAGCGATAGGCGCTGGCGTTCCCCGGAAGATCGTGACAGTGGCTGCATCTACGCATCCTCGGTCCTGGGCTTGCCTGGATCTGGGAAGGCCGGCCGCCTAGGCACCTCTTCTTCGGGAGGTTGGTTCCGCTAGCACGCGCTGCGTCTGCCCCCAGCCAGTCCTCGCCCTGTTCTCCAAGCTTCGAGAGGGTGTGGCCTGGTGGAGCCGCTGACGACTGCCAAACGGCTAGCTCGATTGGCTGACACTCGCTCCTCAACCTGCGACAACGAGTCTCTACACAAATTCGAGGACTGCCATGTTGACACTTTCACCGTCTCAATCGTCGCCGAGATCACCGACGAGTCCTCACGCCGACACTCACTCATTCACGATCCACCGTCCCCGTCTTCTGCTTGGCGTCCATCCAACATAGCCATCGCGCAAAATACTGGGAGAGATCCCTCCACGAGCAACGGCACAACTGCGGTTACGAGTCAACTGAACCACCTCCACACATCGGCCTCTCGCTCTATCACCAATAGGCCTTCTTTTTGGTCGGAAAGAGCAATGCAGCGCAGATAAGAAGCGGGTTTTTGTTCGAGGCGACACTGGAGAATGCTTGTCCCTGAGCAGATTGTGGTTGCTGCCACCTGCGTTACCTGAATCCAAGATGAACACCAACACTGGAGGATATCCGCCCCTTCAACGTCGCAGACGGAGATCTGACCAGATCTCTCCATCATCTCCCTCCTACCCGCGGCGGCTGTTTGACCGCCCCAACAGGCACAGCGAGGCTTTCAGCCCTGTTGCCAGCACGCCCACAACCGATGAATCAGACAGCCCTACTCTCAACCTCAACCTGACACTAACCTCTCCGGTCTCCGATCACCTTCCGGCGCTGCCCTTCGGTTCTCCCTTACCTAAGCCTCCGGTCGTCGAATCCACGTACCATCAGAGGTCTTCAGAGGACGACAGTCGGCCGAAATATCGATCGTCAGACGAGGCTGCTCGACCGTTGACGAGAAGGATGACGGATCAGAACAACACCCTTGCTAGCTCAACTGCGTGGTCGCCCTCACCAGGTGCGGAGTACGTGTTGAGTCCATCGCTTTGGACGTCTGGTTCTAGCCAGCCCCAGCCGCGGGAGAAGAGAGTGCTTGAACCCCCAATCAAGCTCGGCGACAATGCCTCCTCTCCGAATTTGCGCAATTACAGCGTTTCTACGCAGTCTGCGCGTGACGAGCCGATTCCAGTGAAAGCACAGGCCGGGAAGAAGAGTAGGATGAATCTGTTGAACCCAATGAATCTGCTGGCCCGCCGGAAATCATCACAGAATCAGAAACTCGACGACATCAATCTCAGTATCAAGACTCTGTCGGTTCTTGCATTGCCAGACAACTTTGACCCAAGCATTCGAGGAAAGGTCGTACATGACTTCTCCGTCCCACGGAATCGAAGGCTTTATTCTCACAATGACGTTAGCAACGTTGACTCGCCCCTGCGATCTGGCTACGGGCCAGAAAACCGGGGGACCAATGATTCGCCTACTTCAGCGAGATTGCCACTGAGCGGCACACCGAATACCTCGCATAGCCCGATGTTCAAGGAGCACTTCTCGGATGAGAGGCCGTCGTTACAACCAGAAAGGACGGGTTACCTGCACAACATCCATGCTTTGAACTTCTCTCACGACAAGCAAGATGCCGTTGATGTGCCTGCTTTTGCCAGGCGGTTACCGTCGGCGGTGCCACAACCAGGTCTAGGAACCGATCCTGAGCTGGCTCGGAAGGAGAACAAGCCGTTGCCGCCTGAGAAGGGAGACTTGCCCACAGCGCCCGTAGGGGCCCCGTCGCCCCCTGCGCCTTCACCTCCACCGAAAAGCACACCGTCGCCGAAGTTTGACGTCCCGCCACCCGCTGCTTTACCTAAGCATATGACGAGCACCTCCTCCCGATTCAGCTTCCAGATCGGCGGAGGCTCCTCGGCTCAAGAGAAACTGCTCGAAGAAAAGCACAAGCAACACGAAGCAACCAAGAAGACTACCCAGCCAGATGGGGACGAAGAAGAGGACGCCTTCGACTACGACCCGGATGCCGACGATGACTTTGAAGAGCGAATTCCTGGTGTGAACGCAGATTTTGAGGATGATGATGGTTTTGGCAATGACGATATCCCCCTGGGCAATGCCCTCGTGGCCCGTTACGGCCCCTCCAGCATCCAAGATAACTCAGCCTCGGATGTCAGGACTACGACCCTGCAGGGCCAGTCACTGCAGGGCTTCCATTTTACTCCTCAATCCATGACATTCAGCCCCACCAGCACAAACAATGCATCCCAGCCTACGCCGAGAGACCACGAAGGGTTTGCAATCGGCATCGCCGACTCTAGAGCGCCTTCGCAGAACGAGAGCTTGGACTTTCAGCCCAAGGACGGTGTCATCGATGTCGAACAAGTTTCCATGCTTGGAGGGCTTGGCATTTCGACCGCAGAAACACATGGCCGGCGATCACAATTGACTTCGCGTCCCCAAGGAGGAGTTTTTGACGATGATGACCTGTACTTTGATGACGGGGAATTCGGCCATCTTGAGCTTGATCCTTCCGGTGCGACCTTTGACGAACGACTATTCGATGATGATACAGGCCAGATCCGCGACATTCCAGCTGACAATGCCCGGAAGCTTGAAGTGGCCAAGCAAACAGCAGTCGGGGATGCAGAAGTCAAGGTTGTGAGTCCTGGAGAGGGTCAACCAGGTAGACGGTCCCTGAACAGCACCGCGCAAAATGATCGAGACGCCCAAACAGCCGCTGTCTTGGTGAATGGCCATCAGAAGAACCAAGCTAGCTTTATGCCAGGAAGCTCCATTGCCGGTCTCACCGAGACAAATCTTGCCGCGATCACGATGCCTTGGCGTTTGCGGCCAATCAGGCCGCTGCGAACGGGCGGTTTGACCGCAAAGTGAGCTTCAGCCAAAACTCCGATGATACTTCCCAGTCTCCAGTGGAGAGCAGCCAGCATGGGGTTATATCCGACGGGAGTCGCTTCAGCCTCAACTACAGCTCCGCCATCGCCGAAGATGATGGGTTTCCCTTTGACGATGACATGGACGATGATCTGATGATTGCGGAGGCCAATGCTGAGGCCTTGGAAAATGATGACGAGGGCTTCTACGGCCAGGAGTTTGGATTTTATGCTCGATCCCGTGGCAAAGGCAACACCGAGCTGGTTAACGGCGGCTACTTCGCGGAGCGAGGGTCCAATGGAGTGAAGCGAAGCCACAGTGGAAAAGCAAATTTCCAAGAGCCTAGCCTGACACCTATCACAGAACGGAGCGAATGGAGTACCCGAAACTCGTTCGTCTCGCTACCAGTACCATCAGGTGGGATTCCAGGGTCAGCACACTCGATGCCGAGCCCTGGGATTGCTCAACTCCGGGAACTTGACTCCCCGGCATACGACGAAGATATGAGCTTTAGTGCGTTGATGAAGCTGCGAGGTAGGACGTTTGGTGGCAGCTCTTCCAGCATCAGCAGCTCCGCGGCCGGATTCGCGGCTAGTTCTCCTCTGTCGATTGTGGCGAATAATCCCTTCGCGCACTCAGACCACGGCGGAAGCCGCATGCCGTCCTCGATGCACGGTCGAACCTCGCCAGCTGGGATCCCAGAGTCGGAGGAAGAGGAGGACGAATCGGAGAGACCTACCCTGACACAGAACACGCCGCGCAAGAAGATGAGCGAACCGGTCGCGTTCACGTCTCAGGAAGAGATGCCTTCGCCTGCAGGATCGGCTGGCGGTGATCGACGAAAAGGCCACCACAGTCGAACATCGAGTGGTGCCGAGAGTGTGAGCTATGCGCGTGATGGAGAGGGTGGTTGGGTGTTGGAACGGAGGAGGACCGATGAAGGCAGCGGAACTGAGGTTATTGACCGCGAGTATCTAGCTGGAGCCCGGATTTGAGAGGGAATGCCATGTCTGTACAGAATGTGGTAGATACGGCGACTGCTTGGACATGATCATCTGGAAAGGGACTTGGAGACGACGTTATGATACCCCCATAGAATTTGAACATATAGCTACCCACGTACGCTGCAGAGCCCAAACTGCATCAGCAATACACAATTGAGCCGCAGAACCAGCTTCGGAAGAGCCAGTGCTGGTGCTGGTGAAGCCTGTACTATGGCAGACTCCTGATGGGCGCATGTGGCGGCTACGAGGTCCCAGGTTGGCATACGTCAAGGCCCATGGGATGCTAGATAATGCATGCCAGATGACTCGGCGGCCCTCCAGGCTTAATGTACTCCGTAAGCTCTTCGCAAAATGCCTTCAGTTTGTCTTTGCCCTTGGCGCCTCAAATGTGGGAATATCTGCTCGCGGCTCACGTGACTCACCCAGCACGCGCCGCTTTTATATACACTGCCCTCGCAGCTCACCTTGCACTCACCCCTTCACTCACCCTCCCTCCTCCTACTGGCATTCACCTTGCGCTCACCCTCGTCTTGACGGTCGCATTTTTTGCTGCGGTTCCGCCGACCATACACCGACACCTCCACCAGGGTTTAAAAGTAGCGGTATCCGACATGGCCTATTTCCGGGTCCCTGTGTCGTCTTATGTCCCCTGCCGCCGCCGTCTCAAATCCGCCTTGAGCAAGACCGCTTCTCGGCAATGCCTTTGAATATAAATGGAGTCGAGTCCCTACTTCAGCCCGCGGGCTGCGGAGTTTCCTTAGACACAGGCTCACTCTCCTCATACACTTTAAATCCTATGATATGAGTAGGCGGACTTCTACCACAGACCATCTGTGGGCTTGAGTAAAGGTCAAAAAACACCAGAGATGGGCGTATACAAAGGCCGATAAGGTGCGCGGCAGGAAGTATGTCCCCAGGATCAAGAAAGACCGCGATCGAACTCTTCGACGTTATCTTCAATACGACATATCGAATCTATTCCCTCTAACAATAGATCGTTGGACCTAATATGCTGATTTCGGGTGGCGCCTCAGCACGACAATAGAAGACTGTCCCCTTCATCGCAACGAGCCGCCCTCGACTCGACGAGAAAGTGCCCATGGCCAATGCCATTTGTGCTGTGGACGAGTGGTCCTTTGTGGGCTTTAAGCGTCACCGGCACCGAGACCAAGGCCGAGGATAGGAGTGAAGTGTATTACGTATGATGAGGACCTCTCCTACCGCTCCTTCTTGGATTATTAGGGGACACCAAGCTGGCTTTTTTTCAGTGGATGCGACGAACCCTTACCCTAGAAGGGGTGGGCGTCAACGAGCACCGACCGAAATAGATTTCACCGTTCGGGATCTGACCCGGGTCCTTCTGACATCGTGGACAAATGACGACGTGATCTTCATACACGAATGGTACCGGGTCCCGTCACATTTCTTATTCACGTCTACTCCTCGACCGGGGCCCGCACCAACGCCTTTTTCGCAGACGGTCTGCGGTATAAGGTCCTTCCCAATAAACCAGAAAGATCGACCCACGCTGGATGAAGGATCACCGTGAACCTGAAAATTTCAGTTACGAGGTTCCATCTCTACCATTCTCACTTTGTGGTCGGTCGAAGGTCCACCGTTTTTTTGGGGGGGTTTTGGTTTTTTTTTCTTTTTGAAACGGCGGGTGTGGTGGACGTCGACAATTTCGTGCCTGCGACAGCGCCAAACGTGAAAAGCCCGCAAAAGATGAGACGCTGAACGTTGGCGCACTTTCTGACGGCAGTCCTGGATGATCACGGGACTGAGGTATCTGTGTCCTTAGCCACTGCGGCTCTGTCAACACCCATCGGGATTCCTTTTTTAATTGCTTCTTCCCCTATCTATTGATCGATCGGATGTCCCCGGAAACACTTATGGATAGGGAGGCTGGAGGACCAGGTATCAACTGCGACTTCGGGTTCCGAACACGGAATGTGACGCCATACCACTCCGTGCACTGCCCGGGCCAGCCTCGAGGAGCATCCACTGTCGGCCGTATTGGGTTCTAACAAATCACCGAGAGTATGGTGTACTTCTGGGCTGCTCGAGGCACGCCGCCCAGAACACAAACCCGCTGAAAAGAGGGCCGCATATCAGAGGTAGACCCCATGTGGCTGCGCCTCACCTACATTCCCACGCTGCGTGGATGCACCGTCTGTGGTCTGCAATTCGGGGGTAGCATCAAATGAATTGGCCCTCAGTGGAGACATCGGGGGACGCTCAGGTATGTTCAGGGTCTCCACTCCCGACGATTCCCAGGTTTATTTATCACTTATAGGAGAGGATCAAACTTGTAATTCGGTTGCGGCTCACCAAATCAATCAATCATTCATTCGTTCGTTCAATGGAGATGAGTGTCGTCTACCATGACCGGCACCCATGGCACTCACACTACTTGGTCCCGTTTTGGTATGCACCGATTCGGTCTTCGGCTGCCACCTCTTGGATGGCTGTGCGGATGATGGTGATTCCCTTCATCATATCATCCTCGGCGATATTCAAGGGCGGAATGAAACGCAGAGTGTCGTAGATGGAAGTCGTCAGAACGATCATCCCCTTCTCCAGACACTTCTCCTGGATTCTCACCGCATAGTTGTGGCCCGGCTGGAACTCCATGCCCAGCATCAGGCCAAGGCCTCTGACGTCGAGGACGATATCTTTGGTATCTGGTGCCGTCGCACATTCGTCGAGCATGGCCCTCAACTCGCGTCCCCGAACCTCGACGTTTTCGAGAATCTTTTCTTCTCGGAAGACTTCCACTGCTGCCACCGATGCCGCACAAGCTATCGCATTGCCGCCATAGGTGCCTCCCATCGTGCCTGACACCATTGAGTCCATGACTTTTTTGCTCGTCACGATGGCCGATAGAGGATATCCATTGGCCAGCCCTTTCGCCATGACCATGATATCGGGCCGCACGCCCGAATGCTCCACGGCAAACATCTTCCCCGTACGACCAAAGCCGCATTGAACTTCGTCGACAATCATGAGGATCTCGTGTTTCTCACAGAGCTCTCGGACCTTGACCAAGTACTCCGGGGGTGCCGGGACATAACCTCCTTCCCCCTGGACTGGTTCGATAAGGAGGGCCGCCGTGTCCCCGGGCGCCGACTGCTGCTTCAGCAGCAATTCCAACTGTCGAAGTGGGCTCTGCCAGCAGGTTTCCGGATCATGCTTGCCTCCTGTACACTTCGCCTCCGGGCTGTGCGCACAATAGGGAAACGGGGCCACAAAGACTCCGGACATGGTCATGCCCGGTCCTTCGCGGAAGATGGTCTTGGACGTGGTCAAGGATGCACAGGCATACGTGCGTCCATGGAAACCCCCCTGCATGACGATGATGTTCGGTTTCTTGGTCGCGCGGCGAGCCACTTTGATCGCCGCTTCGATGGCTTCGGAGCCCGAGTTCGAGAAGAAGAAGGTGTCCAGTGAGGGATGAGGCATGATGGACAACAGCTTTTCAATCAAATTCAGGTACGGCCGGTGGAAGCCAATGCTGATTTGGGCGTGGGAGATCTTTCCAGCCTGCTCCTGGACAGCCTTCGTTACCTTCGGATGGCAATGTCCGAGGTTGGTGACGCCGACACCGCAGGTGAAGTCAAGGTAGTTTCGTCCTCCCGCGGTGGTCACATAGCTGCCGGCTCCGTACTCGAGGATTTCATCGGTCAAGCGACTGATGCCAGGCGAGACATGCTGCTTGCCAAACGCGGCAAGCTTCTGTGCTTCCATAAGTCCAAGACTGTGATCACTCGGCGATATTCTGGTTGGGAAAACAGTGACGAAGGTGGAAGTCTAGTCAGTCGGGCAGTCATCCATTTTCAAGCAAGAATGCATTCCCTCTCCACGACTTGACTTTACTTGTTGAATGCACATTCGGCTGGCTATTCTTCGGCGGCGCTTGGGGCGGCGAGGCATGGAGTGTCCGGCCCCGTCCTCCTCCTCGCAATACGAACCACTGCAGTCGCTGCGTATATTTCAGTCTGAGGATTGCAGCAAAGTCGACTGGCCCTTTGGAAATTGGCTGAGGGCGACCAGATCCGCGTTGGTGTCTACCGCGGACCTCCGTTTAGGAAGGCAGTGCATTGGGCAATTCTCCCCAGCAAGGCTCCCTCGAACGTCAAGTTCCATTTACACATCTAGGACAGCTATGAAGATAGAAGTTCAAGCCTTCTCCCCACCCGGCTAGCTCCTCGAGGAGCAACTGTTTATCAACATCCCGCGGTGGACCGGTTTCCCACATCAGTCCCCAGCCTCGACCGGCGAGAGATGCTAGATTGCCTTATCTCGCACGGACCGACAATTTGGCACTCAAATGAATAACCGTAAGGCAATCACGGCGCTTATCAAGGATGCCGGAGACGTGGTGGGTTTTGTTACATCAATCCTCTACGTGCGTACAAAATTCAGCGTCTGTAGACTGCTCGGACTCTAGGCATCTCGATTTTGACGCCAGATGGCGACCAAGGCCTCCTTGGATGTCGTCGAGGAATCCATTCCTTCCTCGGCCGTCTTGTCATACCAGTCCAGAAAACAAGCCCGGCAGTGCCAGAAGATGATCAGCGCATAGTGAAATGCACGCCAGCAGTGTTCCATGACCAGCAGATTGCCCGGCGTGGTGGGTGCTGCTCTGAGGATGGCAATCTTCTCCTCGACGGGCCATTCCAGGACTTCGGCGTCAGTTTCTTCATACTCCCTCAGTCTCGACCCGTCGAGGGAAGTCGGGTCGGTATCCGACCACACGGAGCTCGCCATGACCCCGCCAATCGCGGCTAGCAACATCCTCCTCAAGGCCCCATGAACAGCAGCGAACTGGCTTGCTGCATAACTCTCAGGTGAATAGAGTTTTTGTGCAAGCGTTTGGTGACATGCGGCAGACTATGCCCATACCCCCGGGTCTGCACGCATCTCAAGTCTCACACCCTTTCAGGTGGATCTGAGATGTCGTCATGGCATCCGACATCATCTGTTCCTCTGAGTACGATGCTCCGACATGCAAGAAAGAACAGAATAAGACATATGTCAATGGTAAACGTGAACAGCATGGCCGCCAGCAGCCCATCATGGTCAGTACGATATGGAAGATCCCGGATACGACTCGAGGAGACGAAGGGCTTTGCCGTTGTAGGACGAGGCCACTCTGTACCACTCAGGACCTTGCGGGGTCTCATACCCCGGGCGATACATTGCGAAAATTATAGGACTTAATGGTCAGCACTATATACAAAAGCGCCCATCTTGGGGCCGTGGATTGGCCGTGGATCTCCAGCTCGGTACAACATTGCAACACGCTGGGGAGCATGAAACTCTTCCATGGATTGCCGGCCGCCTCGAGAATGCGGTATATAGGCACGACATTCTGCGCATAGTTACGAATGAGGTACTTGATCTGTGAGGTGAGGAGGCCCGACCCGTCGAACTCGCGCACCGAGCATCGCGCAGAGATGGAACGCTTTCGCCCAGGGTTCGTCGACGTGTGTAGAGGTCAGCCGACCTCCTCGTCAGCGATAATCGGTCGTCAGAAATGGTTCTCGACCGGTGTCGGCGAGAGTGAATGGGACTCTGCGTCAGAGATGATTGCGTCGTCGACGACCAGGTTATGGTCGAGTCCAGCAGATGAGCCGTCTTCAGTCCGATCTGTCCCGCTAACAGGACACACTCGCTACTTGGGGGTCTTGTTCGAGTTCCACCGACAACTTTCAGCAGCGGAGCGTCGGCTGAAGTTTGGCGGACATAATGGAGTTTCATTAGAGCTTAGGGTGAATAAGGAGTCATCGGATCCATGGTGCGAAATAAAGAAAGCCAGACCGAGGGCAGTGTTGTCCATACAGCAATCAGAGGGGCCCTGGTCTCTTGCTCGACTCGATCAGGAACCCTTGAACAGGCCGCTCAGACTCTATCATTGATGCCGGCTAGTCGCCCCCGGAATGACCTTGGTCGTGACTTGGCTTGCCCGATACACGAGGCCAGCCTTGCCTGCCGGTTTGGGCAGCGGATACTAGAGTACGCAATAGTCCGTCTGCTCGACTCCGTACGGCTTTCCAATAGCAGACATTTCGCCGGCCTTGAGATAGAGATCCGGATTGCTGGGACCAGGAGAGATAAGGGAGGGGTGGATCCGCGAGGCACTGCTCTTGGTTGCGAGGCCATTGCTTAGCCGCACAACGTGTGCGAGGAGTACTCCGTCAGGGCAATTCCCTCCTCTTATGGGTTCAAGGCCCAGAAGAGATAAGATGGTTAAAGATTGCTTTCACGCCAGCCACGCGTCAAGCCAGTCGGCTTCTTGAGATAGCAGCACAGACTCTGAATTAAGGACGACCGTGCTCGCTGCTTTGGGATAGCTGCCGTCGGCTAGGGTGCTGGGTGCAGGGTCATGGAGTGGGACCCTTGGCGTACATGGCGCGTGTGGAATCCAAAGACTGTTCTACAGTCCGTCAAGTGGACGCACGGCCATGCAACTAAACCAGTTGCCTATCTCTCACGCGCCGCAACCGCCATCAAATGCAATGTCGTGCAGCATGTTGCGTGGTGGCCGTGCGGAGCCATACAGAGGGTATCAGTAGAGGTGGGACAGAATATACTCGGTCCATGCATCATCTTATCGCGGCTGCCGCGAACCGAGGAAGACATGTCCCGAATGACGGGCCCTGGTCAGACAAGGGCTTGCTCGAGCGATGGCTAAGCAGATTGTGGGGTCACTGCATCCCGCGGCCATGGAGCAAGTCGATTACAATACGACAATCCCCGTGTTCTTGTCCGGGGTTGGGTGGCCGGCTTCTGAAATCTGGTAGACGTCTTCATCACCAACGGACTCGATTATTCCCATCGTTGCCGTAGCGTTTCTCGCAAGGGCACCACCATGGCGGACCAGCTTGTCAAAAAGATTGAGATCAATGTCGACTGTGGCGAGGGCTTTGGCCGATGGAAGATGGTGAGACGAGCCAAATCCCGGTCGGACGTCGAACGAGCCTCTCTGATATGCGTCGCGTAGGGACCGGACGAGGAGTTGATGCCTTTCATCGACACGGCCAACATTGCCTGTGGCTTCCACGCCGGCGATCCCGCCATGATGGTCAAAATGGTCCGTCTTTGCAAGAAGTACGGCGTGAAAGTGGGCGCCCATCCCGGCCTGCCAGACCTCATCGGCTTCGGGCGGCGGAGGATGGAGCTCGATCCCCACGACGTCTACTGCGCCGTGCTGTACCAGGTCGGTGCGTTGAAGGCCATTCTGGACGCCGAGGGCGTGCCTCTGATCCATATCAAACCGCACGGCGAGCTGGGCATGTGGACGATGCGCGATCCGGCCATCTTGCGGGCATGTCTGGATGCCATCAAACCCTACGGCGTCCCCGTCTACTGCGCCGACAACCCGCTCCACCGCGAGATCTGCGCCGAGTACGGGGTGCCTTTCCAAAAGGAAGTCTACGTTGACATCAACTACGACGCCGAGGGCGGGCTGCTGCCGGTCAGCAAGTCGAAAATGGCGACCCCCGAGGATTGTGCCAACCGCCTCACGTCCATTGCCTTGGAAGATAGTGTCGAGGACATTGATGGCATCATGCGCAAGGTGGGCTTGAATGGGGAGCCATTTGGCATCTGTTTGCACTCGGATATGCCCACTGTCCTCGACAATGTCAAGGCGGTACGGAAGGCCGTCGACGAGGCGAATGCGAAGCGCGGCTTCACGGCGTAATGGTCATTGACCACGGTCTAGCTTTCGGCCTGTCAATGAGAATATCGAATCCTGAAATTTGCGTCCGGTCTTTGCTTGTGCATTTGCCAATCGAGTGCTTCTCAGCCACGGGCAGCCTTCGTTTGAGTGTTGTGCCTCGCCCTTCGACTCCGCACCGCCTTTTACCCACAGCACAGTATTTCGGGCGTCTCTCGATTCCCCACGAGACATGCCTCCCGGGGAGCTGTGAAACACTTGAGGCGACCAGGGTATTGCCGCACACCTCACCTTCGCAAGGTCTGAAGGATCCCGCCAACCAGAAGCCAGCCGAGAAGTCGGCGCCGTAAGCGCTGAGCGGGCTTGTGCGAGGATCCACATATGCATGGCAGCAGGGGTCAAGAACCTTGTGGTCAATTGCCCAAAGCGTCGCTGGGTGGGCCAACGATAGTGGTGCTCCCGTGTTCGATTTGCCCGCGAGGTCGGGCGTGCAACAAGTGCTCGATATCGGTTCTCATACTCGGAACCTTTGAGATCTCGTTATCTGTCATGTAGGCTCGCGTTGCACGTCTATCATGCATGCTGCGTTCGACCCACCACTCCCACGGGGGTGTGGCTGCGGTTTAGCCTCGACTCTATGGATTGCGCGTCTCACAGACCCTCGCAAGACTGCCATCGTCGGACAAGCTTCTCTAGCTGGAGCCCATGAGCTAGAGGCGACGAGTGAGTTGCTCTGAGACACTGTCTCGACCTTTCTTCAACTTGGGAGCTTTCCCAGCATGGGCGTGGCTCAGAAAGATCGACGTCTCTGAGGTCGTCAACACCAACCTGGAGGCAATTGATCATGATTAGCCGCGACCTGTCGTTGGAACCCTTGAAGCACATCCGCAAGGTGTTGATTGCGAACCGAGGCGAGATTGCAGTAAGATGTATCCATGCGTGCATTGCGTCTGGCGTGAAGACGGTGGCTATATATACCGAGGCCGACGCAACGTCGCTGCACGTGTCGCTCGCTGATGAGAGCGTCGCACTTCCCGGGACCAACAGCACGGGATACCTGCAAATGTGAGGCCATTCCCAACCGAGGCGCGCTCCTTACCCCCTCCCCTTGGGCCCGTGATTCTGACGTGCGTGGACAGACCGGACATTCTCGATATCTGTGCTCGGCACAAGGTGGACGCCGTCATCCCGGGGTATGGCTTCCTCAGCGAGAATGAGACGTTTGCCCGGAAGATCGTGGATGCCGGCATGGTGTTCGTCGGGCCCTCGGTGGAATCGATCTTGGAAATGGGCTTGAAACATCGCGCTCGAGATCTCGCCGTCGCCGCGAAGGTGCCTGTGGTGCCGGGGACGGATCTGTTGACCTCCGAGGCAGACGCCCTCGAGGCAGCCAACAGGATAGGATTTCCAGTCAGTCCGAGCCTCTCCAGCCCGGATCCGATATCGTGGGAACTGACCCATGTGCCAGGTGATGCTCAAAGCCAGTGCGGGTGGCGGCGGTATGGGTCTCCAGATCTGCAAGGGCGAGGCCGAGATTGCTTCTGCCTTTGCCCAGGTGACCAGTCGAGGCGAAACACTTTTCCACAATGCGGGTGTCTTCCTGGAAAAGTACTACGCTTCGGCGCATCACATCGAAGTCCAAGTCTTCGGCAATGGCGTTGACGTGGTCCATTTTGGAGAGCGCGAGTGTAGCGTGCAGAGACGCCACCAAAAGGTCCGTCCGTGATGGTTGCCGTTCGAGAACATCTCCGAGACTGACCCCCTGAACCAGGTCCTGGAAGAGTGTCCGAGCCCGTTCGTCCAGGCTCATCCCGGCCTCCGGGAGAAGATCACTCAGTCAGCCGTCGCGTATGCCGCGGTGTTGAAATACAAGTCCGCCGGCACGGTGGAGTTCCTGGTCGACGACATCACTGGAGACTACTTCTTCCTGGAGATGAATACTCGCATCCAGGTCGAGCACCCCATCACCGAAATGTGCTATGGCGTCGACCTGGTGGCTTTGATGCTCCGACAGGCCGACTTCGAAAAGGGAGGATATCCCGGCATCCCGTCCCCAGATCTCCTGAAGTACAGGGGCATCGAGCCACATGGTGCTGCCATCGAGGTCCGGGTGTACGCTGAGAATCCTTACCGCGGATTTAGCCCGGCCCCAGGACTCCTGCAGGACGTGTCCTGGGCATCTGATGAAGGCGTGAGGATCGACACCTGGGTGAAAACCGGCCAGACCGTCACCCCCTACTACGATCCTCTGGTCGCAAAGGTCATCACGCACGCCCCGAACCGGCCGAAATGCCTGGCCAAAATGTCTCAAGCTCTCTCCCAGAGCAAGGTCCAAGGTCCGCCGACCAACATCGACTTTCTCCGGAGCCTCATCACATCAAAGCCTTTTGGGCTCGGAAACACGCTCACCAACTTTCTTCCGAAGGCTTTTACCTACAGGCCTTGTGCCATCGATGTCATTACACCGGGGGCCTTTACTACCGTTCAAGACTATCCAGCGCGACCCGGGATGGGTCATGGTGTGCCCCAATGCGGTCCAATGGATAACGTGTCCTTCAGAAGTAAGTATGACTTGGTCTCCTGTTGGCACATCACTCACTTAACGGCCCGATCTAGTTGCGAATCTTCTGGTCACTAACAGCCCCGGCGTGGAGGCTCTCGAGATGACTCTCTCGGGGCCTGAACTGTTGTTCACTGCCCACGCCGTCATCGCCATCTGCGGTGCTCCGGTCGAAGTTACGGTGGACGGGGCTCCGGCTGACATGTGGACAAGACTTTCCGTGAAGGCTGGCCAGAAGGTCAAGGTCGGCGCGATCAAGGGTGGTGGGTGTCGAGTCTACCTGGCAGTAAAGGGTGGATTCCCCGAGGTGTACGCCGCCGCCAGCGCTTCTCCCTCGATCGTGACGAAGCTGACTTCTCGTTGCCTAGCCCGACGTACCTCGGATCGAAGAGCACAGCACCAGGCCTGAAGTATGGCGGAATCCAGGTAACACATCCCCCCGGTCCAATACATCGGAGTGACGCTGACACGAAGCTTCTAGGGTCGTCAATTGCAACCAAATGACTTCATTCTTCTCTCTGCAGAATCGTGTGCGACGGCCTTGGAGACAGAGAAGTACAGCCTCCCAGCAGAGTGCATCCCCAGCTACACCATTCCGGAAGTGTATGTCATGCATGGCCCCCATGATTCGGACGACATCATGACCCCTGAGGACCGTGAGATGATGTACACCACCAAATGGAGAGTTGGCCACAACTCCAACCGCACAGGCATCAGACTGGAGGGTCCTAAGCCGAGATGGGCCAGATCGAATGGAGGTGAAGGCGGTAGCCACCCATCTAACATCCTTGACTATGGCTATCCCTCTCCTGGGGGTCTCAACTGGACAGGCGATGACCCGGTCGCATTCACCATGGACAGCCCCAACCTCGGTGGCCTGATTTGCTCCACTACCGTCGTGGCGGGGGACCTGTGGCGACTTGGACAGCTCAAACCGGGAGACCACATGAGCATGCGCCCGATCAGTTATGCACAAGCTCGGGAACTGTCTGGTCGTGTCGAATCTTACATCGAGGACTTGGCCAAACTGATTTCGGGCGCGACCGACGACAAACCGACGCTCGATCTCTCCTTGGCGGAAGGAGAGGCCGGACCGGCGATATTAAAACAGGTTCCGGCCGAGGGTGGTCGACCCGCTGCCACCTATCGGCAGGGAGGGGACTGTTTTATCCTCTTGGAGCTGGGAGAACAACAAATCGACATTCTGATCACGGTCCGGATCCGGCTGATCACCTCCAAGCTGATGGAAATGAAGATTCCTGGCGTCACTGTCGTCCCGAACGTGACCGCCCTGCTCGTCCAATTCGACCCGAAGCTGATCAGCCAAGACAAGCTCCTGGACATTCTGAGTGGCATCTACTCCTCCGTCGAGCTCACCAAGTCGACGAAGATCCGAACTCGTGAGTTCCACCTGCCTGCGGTACTCGACCACCCCGTCCTTCAAGAAGGCATTGCACAATACATGGCCACCACACGGCCCACGGCGGCCTACTTGCCGGACAACGTCGAGTATTTGAGGCGAAACAACGGTCTCGCAACTCGACGAGAGGCGTTCACTCGCTGCATCGACACCCCTTTCTTGATCGTGGCGGTCGGGTTCCTCTGTGGTGCCCCGGAACTCCTGCCGCTGAACCCCATGAATCAGCTGCGAGCACAGAAGTATAACCCGAGCCGGACCTACACGCCTGGAGGAACGATCGGCATGGGAGGCTCGCTGTTTTCCATGTATCCGGTCGAGCAGCCCGGAGGTTACATGCTCGTCGGACGCACCGTGGAGGGCTGGGACACGTACGGCACGAAACAGGGCTTTAGCCCGGACAAGCCGTGGATGTACGAGCCCTTCGACTTGGTCTACTTCCACGAGGTCTCTCTTGAAGAGTATGGCACGATCCATCGCGACTATTTCGCGGGCAAGTTCCAGTACGACATTCGCGAGGGGCTATTCGACGTCGACGCCGTGGTCGCCAGTATTGAGGCCTCCAAACAAGACCCCGCATACATCGCGTTCAAGGACGGCCAGAGGAAGGGCGTGGAGGAGCAACTGGCACTGGAAACGAGACTGTACGCCGAGTGGAAGGCCCAGAAAGAGGCCGAAGCCGCCGAAGAAGCGATCCGGCTGAAGGAGCTGGTCAGGGAGGAATTAGATCCTTCCATGCAAGTCACGTCCCCCATGGATGCGAACGTGTGGAAGGTCTTGGTTGGAGAGGGCGACACCTTGAAGAAAGGCCAGGTGCTGGTCATCCTGGAGGCGATGAAGATGGAAATCAACGTGTGTGCGCCCGACGCGTTGGACGGCGCCGTGGTGAAAGTTGTGGCCACCAAGCCTGGACATACTGTGGCCCCTGGCTCAATGCTGGTCGTGGGAAAGAAATAGACAAACTCACAGGAGATGGAGTTGCTGCAACGACGGATTTGACTCTACTACGCGGACTCATCGGTTTATAGACATGGATATCACGCAGAAGACGTGTCCTCGTCCCAGAGACACCTAGGCTACCGTGCGATTCGGACAAAGAAGGTGTAGTGTGTAGTGTTGGTTGGACGCTCCTGTAGCCCGTCTGGCTCTGGCTCTGGCTCTGGCTCTGGCTCTGGCTCTGGCTCTGGCTCTGGCTCTGCCCTGGGCTCTGCGTTTTCGGATACGACTTCCTGCTGCCTGTAGGAGGAGGAAGGGGGGAGGCTTGCCCCCTGTTTTCCATCCGGCTTCAGAGTCTTCCTCCGCTCCGCTCTAAGCCACATATCGCTAGAGTTGGATCACATGTCCCTTGGGTGAACCAACATGAGGGTCCAGTGTGTACTCAGTCCATATTCCGTCCGTGCTGGTGGAGAACAGGTCGCGAGGAGGTGGACTGCCATGGCACTCGGTGACTCTGAAGGTACCCACGCTTGGCCGGCCCGCTGTCTCCACATGGTGGTGATAACGGTATCAGGGCTCGACGAGGACAAGCCGGCCTATCTCTTTTCAGCTCCCCCAACACATTACCCATCCTTCCCAGCCTCAGGAGCTATAGCTCTGCGTACCGAAGCGTGCTCCGGTCTTATCTTCCGCAATGATTGGATGATGTGCCACGGGCGCGATACGCGCCCCTAGTCCCTCCTGGGCCCGTCTCGGTGCCAGAAGTGGCATCCACATGTTCATTGTCGATCCCGCCACTGCACCGACCGGGCAGGCTATAGCCACGCGGATATTCAAAGTGAGCGTGGCTGCCAGGGATATGCACCGTCCATGGCATGGCGCGGCAACCGCTCTCGACTTTCAAACGCGCCAGGCCGACCGACGGATCAATCTGTCTATCGACTGAAATGCGGAACTGCCTGATCAACCTCGTCCGCTCCCGCGGCGATTCCAGATAGATAAAGCCCAGTCCCGGCTCAGCACAGCCTCTAGACTCCAGCTGCATCCACATCCTTACGACCACTTCATCCTCTGCAACCGGCATCATGTCGATCCGAAGCAACCACAGCCTGTCCGGGGACAACAAGATGACGACGACTGAAAAGTCGAACGGGGTCGACAGCATCCACTCCGTCAAGAACGGCGAGGTCGACGACAATGACTTTGAAGTCTTCAAGGACACCGCCGACGTCCAATTCCGTACCGTGAGCTGGGTGCATGCGACGATGATCTTCACCAAAAGTGCGTATGCCGTCGTGGTTCTTCCAGGCTCTCGACTCTGACCCAGTCCAGTTCAATTCGCGACCGGCGTGATGAGCATCCCACTCTCCCTGTATGCTCTAGGTAAAGCAACCTCGACATGGACGTGTGACCTGGGTGACCAACATTTTTGTCAGGCGGCGTTGGCGGCGGCATCTCGATCGTCTGCTGGGGTGCAGTCAACACATGTGAGAAGCTCCATCACCGACCCGGCCCTCCGGCTCCTGATTCACCGCTAACGACGGGGACTCTACGCCAGATGTGGGAAAGATCCAGGGAGACTTCCGCAACAGGCATGCGGGATGCCATAGTGTCGCCGACATGGCGAAGATTGTCGGTGGGCCGGTGCTGAAAGAAATCATCGGCATCGAGTTCATGATTGCGTGCGTGATGCCGACGACGAGGTCGAGCATTGTAACGCCATTCAGCTGACACGAGACCACTTGTAGATACGTCCTCTCCGCCGGGTCCGGCATTCTCGGCACCTCGATCGGAATCAACGCTCTGTCGATGCACGGCGCCTGCACGGTGTGGTGGTCATTCCTCGCTACCGTCTTCATTTCCTTGGTGGCCTGTATCCGCAAGTTCGAGAAGCTCAGCTGGGTCACGCTCGTCGGGTTTCTCTCGGTCTTCATTGCCGTGTTCATCGTCGTGTAAGCCTGGCTGCTTTTTGAAACGCCGAAATCGACGCCCCGCGGAATAGGAAACCGGACTGACGAGCAACAGCGTCGGTGTGACCACGATCGACCGGCCGGCCGCCGCTCCTCAGGAGGGTGATTTTGAACTGGGATTCCACGCCATCGGCCATCCGACCTTCATGGCGGGGATGGTGGCCACGTCCACCATTTTCGTGTCCTCGGCGGCGACGTCCGCATACATACCTGTGATCTCCGAAATGAGGAAGCCTCGTGAGTACTACAAGGCTCTGTACGTGACCATGGGCTTCGTGACCGCCGCATACTTCTCCTTCAGCATGGTCGTCTACGCTTATTGCGGCCAATGGGTGGCGACGCCATCACTCGGGGTAAGGACCTCCTCGTGGGAAGATGGGTTGGGAATCAGTCGAGCTAATACCCGCCGCAGAGCGCAGGGCCCACGGTCAAGAAGGTCGCGTACGGTGTGGCTCTGGTGGGCCTCGTCGTCAGCGCGGCCCTCTATTTACATGTAAACGCCCTCTGGCCCCTCTCAGGTCACCCGCCATGCTCCCTTGTCGGACTCTGACATGTCGACCAGGTTGCGGCCAAGTATTTGTTCGTGCGCATTCTGCGTAAATCGCGTCATCTGCAGGCAAATACCTTTATCCATTGGGGGACGTGGCTGTAAGTACTTCGTCGGATTCTTCCATGACAAGCTGAGAAGAAGGGAGGGGGAAAGGGTGGCAGCATTGCTGATCATGGTTTTCAGGGGCTGTGTATTTGGCCTGGGCGCCATCACCTTCATTCTGGCCTCGGCCATCCCGATTTTCAACTTCCTCATTGCCATGGTGGGATCGATCGCCTACGCTCCGATCGCGCTCATCTTCCCCGCCTGGCTCTGGCTCTACGATCACCGCGACTGGTGGAAGCGATCATTCAAACACCAGGTCGCGTACGCGCTCCACTGGCTGCTCCTGCTGATCGGCGCCTTGGTTACCGTCGGGGGCACATACGCGGTCATCACACAGATCGCTGACGCCTACGCCACGGGTGTGATCGGTCAGTCTCGGCCTTGTACTCCTTTCCCTGTCTCTGGTGCTGACACCGTTGCGCGCGCGTGCAGGCTCTGCTTTCTCGTGCGCCGACAACTCCAACTCCACTTAGCCGGATAGGAATACATGTGGAGGGGGGGGGCGAATTAGAATTGTTTTGAGTTCGAAAGGAGAGCGGGGTGTTGAAGAAGTGGTCAACGCACATGATCAATCAGTGAACAGGGCCTCAGGCTGATTCCGACAGCCGCCTGTGTTCGTGGTTTCTAGTTCCAGGGATCCCAGATATCTGCGGATCCAAAACTCGGGAGTCGACATACACCGCGCCGCCTCACGCGCTTGTGTTACTTTGGGCTGTATATTGAGGACCCAGGCGGGCTCGCTGCTAGCTTACGTCGGGATTGATTAGACTTACAGTTTAGACTTACAGTCTGTGCTTGGGATGCCTGCGTCATCAGGAATGTTAACCGCATTGTCAAAGATCGATCGTCTTGTAACGGGCATGTTTGGCGGTTCAGCCTTGCGCCGCATCCTGCATAGCGCTAGTTGTACAAGGCTGGACGGGGCAATGCGGTTACGAGGGAGTGGAGGAGGATGCCCTGCCTTGACTGCAGCGCGGTTTGTAGATATGCACACACAGACTGCGGAAGCATCAGGCAGAGTCGGCGCAGCGAGCACTGCGGGGCGTGTTGACGCCAAAAGCATTGTGCTGTGTCTTTTCTTCTTCGATGCTACTGACCTTTGCTGGATGGAACGATAGATTCGATTCCTGTCACGACGACGATATGCACACTACCTATCTGAGATCGCCTGCGGAACCGCCACACCCTCGCCTTCGACAGCATTCCTCCCCTGCTTGACAGACGCCACGCCCATCTGCTAGGCTTATCGACACTGTGAAGCCTTTACACCATTGCGAGTATGATTACTGCTATGAATCGGGTCGATGGTTATTAGTAGGCCGTGGACACCGGTACGGAAGAAATAGATAAACAACGCGACCGAGTCTCGCCACGCGTCGATATCCGCCTTGGGACGTGAAGATTCCGTTTTCGTCCAGCAGAGACACCGCTTACTTCTACGGTTTGTGTCTAGGCGGTAGTTGGTCTCGAGAGGCGGCAAGGTTGTGGCGGGGATCATGGGGTACAGTATGCGAGTTGCGTCAAGGCAATCCTCGTCCGTATGTCCTGTCGAGCGGCGCCGGACTGGATACGCTCCACTCCAGGACGTACCGAAGCTACCTTCATAGATAAAAACGGGATCGGGTGCTGACACCAAGGGTGGTCGCCCCGGGATTGACCTGTTTTTCCGCTGTGTGCGGGAGTAGCATCCCCCGCCGTTGACCATGGGTAAAGGCTAACACGGAAAGTCATCGCGGTCGGCCACAACTGGAGAGAGGTGGCGATTGGGGGCCGTGCCCGCCGTTGAAAGCTCGTCCCTTTCACTGGTCGAATGAGAAAGTACAATATCCGGGAGGAACCTTTCGAGCGTCTGCACAAGTTGCCCTCTATAGCCTTATCGCCAGGATGCCTAGAATGTCGCCGCCCAGTCCCGAAAGATAAGGCAGAGAGGGGGAGACTCGACTGCGAAGGTGACTTGGCTCTGTCCACAGCAGATTTACCATACGAACCCACCGCATTGCCTCTTCTCACCATAAGTGACTTTTCCCCATATCCGCGTGTCTGGTGACTTTGTACGGCGAAGACCTGGATCACTTGTTGTCCGGATCCCTCGATCGACAGCACCAAAGAAGCCCAGCAAAACGGGCGCTCCTCTGATGGCGGGGAACCACGCGAGCTTAATCAGTAGCAAGCGACCAACAGACCCGTCAGGGAATACTCGACAACGGACGGGCTGCCTCACGTGTCGACGAAGGTCCAGAGTCGCTCCGTCACTTCTGCCCTCCCTCGTCGCGGCTGACATTGCAATGGCAGGAGGAAAAAGTGCGACGAGACGCATCCGGTGTGCGGCCACTGCAATCGCCTCAACCTCGTCTGTATCCGGCAAGCACCCCAGAACATCGTGGCGGAGCGAAAATCGCCTCGGTCGCCCGCGTCTTCTCCCAGCAGCAGCATACACCTGCCCTGGTCTGTGGCCTCGGTGCCGAAAGCTCCAAGTCCCTTGGATATCTGGACCTTCACCAACACCCATCAGCAGACGGACCAACGGTTCCTGTTGAAGTTCTACACCAATGTCTCGTCTCGGCTCGTGTCTACGAGCGAGGACAACAATCCGTTCCATTCAGGTACCGTTCTGCCCCCACCGTTTGTGACAGCTGTGCCGCGGACCCTGACTAAACGGGTGTGTTATAGTATTTCTTCCCATGGCAGTGGAGTCCCCTGCTCTGCTGTCGGCGCTCATCGCTTGGACGTCGGCGCATCTGTCCTGCTTTGAAAAATCCCACCGGCTCTCAGCGCTCCAATATCAGTCCTCCGCCATCATTTCACTGGCCTCGTCCCTCAAGTCGTCTCCTCCAACAAGTCTGGACACGACCCTTGCGGCTTGCTTGGTCCTGTGTGCCACTGAGGCTCTCGCTGGGGACACCCAGCGATGGTACGATCACCTCAAGGGAGCTCGAGACATCATTCTTTCCGCTCGCCTCCCCGGGCCCAATGGAACGACGCTTGCTGGCCCTGAATGCTTCATGCGATCGACGGACGGTGAGTGGCTCTTGCGCAATTTCGCATATCACGACGTCTTGGCGAGCGTCACTCTCAACCAACCTCCCCTGATCAGAGGGGCCTACTGGCTCCGAGATTCCGGCCCCGTGTTCGACTCCTACATGGGGGTTGGCGAGGGTCTTCTCGCCCTCCTGTCTCGCATCAGCTGCTTACAAGGAGAGGATCGGGTGGTCTCGGATCTCGAATTCTACAGTCAGGCTGCTTCCCTCGAGTTCGAGCTTGACCATTGGACGTCCCCGCTGTGCTCGACCGAGGCCGTCATTGCTTTGGCCGAAGCCTACCGCGGCGCCGCCCTCCTCCACCTGCATCGCCAGTGCAGGGACCGGTTTCCGGCCGACGCAGGCGCCGTGGAGGCGAAGATCCAGACCCAGGTCCACAATATCCTCAGCCATCTCGATCGCATCCCGCTGGAGTCCCTGCCCGAGTGTGGCATATTGTTGCCCTTATTCATGGCTGGCGGGGAAGCCCTCGAGGAAGCCCACAGGCACAAAATCTCCTCCCGACTCCGATATCTGGCCGAACATCGTGGATTTCAAAACATCGAGCATTCCATTGATATTCTCGAAGAGCTCTGGCGGATGCGACTCCTCGGCCAAAGTGGCCGTGATGGGCAGAGCATCGATTGGCGCGATGTCCTCCTGATCAAGAATTGGAAGGTCATGCTGACCTGAGCGACTTCGAGAGAGTGATTGTCGGTCCGTGAATATAACCCATCGCCTGATAGAGTCCCTGCCTTGGAAAGCTGCATAATACAGTAGCGCCGTGTTGCATATAAACAAGTGGCAACGAGATACCCAGCAAGTTGCCCCGAACCTCGCTATGTTAGGCGGTCGGTGTCTTGATGGGCGGCGCCCTGACACCACCGAACACGCGTCTCCGAGGTGTTGCGTCAAGGCACCGGTCGGCATCAGCCTAGTCCTAGAAGGGGAGTTTACTCCACCGACTTGGATACCATGGCAATGGCCACATGCTCCCATCGTCCTAAAGAGGGGCAGCCAGCCCGACGAAGCTCGCTCGGATGTTAGTCAGAGCTTAGATAAAAAGTTAGATCTCTCATCCTCCCCCAGCCTCCCGGGTTTCTGCTCGAGATGTCCCGCTAGCACTGCTTGTTGGAATGCCTCCGTAAACGCGGAGGATCGCCAGTCGTGGTCACAAAGCACCAAAATGACCGAGTTGAAGGAGCGCAGGTACCTCATTCGGAAGCCTCGAGCTCTGCAATACTTCCACCGCGGCCAGTTTAAGCGAGAGCTTGAGAAAGAGCGGGTGGCTGGGAGGTTTGAGCTGTTCTTGGACTTGCTTTGTGAGTCTCGAACCTCCTAGTCTGTTACATTGTTGGCTGCCGGCTGACCCCCGAGGTCATAGATGTCGCGATTGTATGAGTGCTCCAGCAGATCCATGCGTCGGACGGCTGTTGACCCGCAGATGTAGATCGCCAACTTCTCAGACGACCTGACCGGCGAACCAACCGGCGCAAATCTGGTCAAATTCATTCTCATCTTTGCTCCTGCATGGTAGGGTCTTCGCCATGGAGAATGCTTTTCATTGCAAATTTTCGACTCATCACTTCCCGTTCACAGGCATGCTTGGGCCGACGCCAAAGAGAATGCGAACAACTATTACAATGACGATGTCCTCCAGCGCACCGGCGTGCTCTGGATTATGGCCCTGCTCGTTGTCTACGGCAACAATGCTGTCTATGTTGCCGAAGACCCCGCAGCGATGCGTCTGACCGTGGCGACGTACATGGTGCTTCGCTTCTCCCAGATCTGCTTCTATGCACTGTACAGCATTGCCAGCCATCATCACCGGACTCAGAACAGGGCGTACTTTCTGATGATCTTGGTTGGACTGTGCATCTGGATCCCGCTCCTGTTCGAATCGATCAGTCTTCGGGCCAAGGCTGGTATCGCCGTCGTGGGGATCCTCTACGAGGTGGGACGAGCCAACCCAAATGCCGGGGTGGTTGATTGCTGACCAGAGGCTCGAGCAGGAGGCTACCTATGTCCTGACCTTTGGGCCTTGGATCGCTCGTTGGTTGGGTCTGGAGTATACCACGGCCGTTGACATCGACCATGAAAATGATCGCCACGCTGCATTCACGATCCTGGTGCTGGGTGAATTCACGTACGCCATCCTGGTAGGGTCGCCTGCGGAAGGGGCCATCACGCTCAAGACCCTCCGAGCCGTCGAGACTCTGATCATCGCGTTCTGTTTCAATTCGATGTATGACTACTGCGATGGTGGTACCGAGAGTACTCACCCCATTCGTCGCGCCGTCTGGAGTGCGTTCGGTTGGCTCTTGATCCATTTACCGCTGTCTGCTGGTCTGATGGTAGGTGGGCACGTCTGCGCTGCCACCGTTCCCGAGGACGAGCTGAATGCCGGCCAACGCTGGCTATGGGGCGGTGGCTTGGGCTTGGGAACATTCTGTCTGTTCCTGATCGCCGCCATGTACAAAGACGAGGACCCCCCTGGGTTTTTGCTACTCTCCAAGGCATGTCACTCATTCGAACTTGACAAGCGTGCGCGGACGACTAACATGTGACTCTAGCCGATGCGCCTGTTGCCGAGACTGCTGGTGTCTGTGGTGTTCGTGCTTCTTCCGCTCGCACCAGAGGAGCAATTGAGTCCCACCGCCCTTGTCTCGATTGGGGCTGGAATGCTCGTGTGTGTGGTTGCGTGGGAGCTCGTCGGTGGCTTGGAGAAGTGTGCCGCTCTTTTTGAAAGCTGGAACCTGACAGCAGACGACAGTTCGGAGGAGGACGTCGTGGCTTTGCGACGGGATGTGCAGGAGGACGGGGCGTCTCCAGGGCCGGACGTCCAGGTCCCGTAGCCGGGGTCATCCAGCCCGACTCAACAGGCCGAAGATCTGTTGAAGATGATGTGGCATCAAAAGTCTGTCTATATGAGGGGAATGAAGGGGATCCTACCATGGATGATGAGACGAGCATAGTGTCTTAAGGTGCTTTACGAGGACGTAGTCCAACCGGCATCCCGATTGTGTTGTGTGGAAAGCTGCATCTCGGAATGACCTTCCTTCAGATCCAGACGACATGGGTGGCTTGAGCGGAGACGGGTCCCTGGCTTTAGCGGCAGGCTACGCCTAACACCGGGAGCAAGGTCCCTGAACCTGCCGCTCCAAGCTCCCCCGCAAAGATCCATCCTCGGCATCTTGTGCATCCACCGCCAACACTAAGCGGCAGCCTAGGTGGCCCCAGAGTCCACGCCGCAAACACGATCCAGCAGCTGGCGTTTACCTGCCTGCGCCTGCTGCTGCAAATTTTCACTTCCCTCACGCATTTGTTTGTAGATGCTCTTGACGATACAGTCATGAAGGGCGCGCCATTCTGATCAGTATACCAGCTTTCCTCACACCGTCCTGCATCGTTAGACGAGCTTCGTCTTTGGCTATTTCCGTCAATCCTCTCCACGCGCCAAGGTTTGGGCAAATCGCTCAAGGCTCACCCTCTTTCGGGGCGAGGGTAATGCCGCCCTGTGCCCCAAACCCCCAGCTCGCGCGCGGTTGCGTCTCACCTGTCGTGGGTGGCGCAGGACAAGGCGGCTGGGCCCATGACGTGGATGGTACGAAGCTGGTCGTTCTCGGCTGGGCGCGCCTGCCGGGAGAGGTTCTTGAAGATCCTGCCAATCGCAAGGACAGGGCAACGCAAAAAGCAGCGACGTCAAAGCGACGCTTTGGACCTAGTGTTTGACGTCTGCTGAGCCTGAATAGGAATTGTCCCATGGTCCCATGGTCCCCCCGTCGACCCTTCCCATCCAAGGGTTCTGTACTCCGTACGTGGTTAACTCTTACTGCTTCTGAGGCTATATAGAGGGAACTCCTGCCTTCGCTACAGTCACCTTCACCTACGACCCGACTGTCCACCGCCGCCTCCGTTTCCTTCCTTCTATGCTTGTTCGTTTCGTTCAGAGTATCGACTCGAAGTGGTCGTCATAGAGCCGTCGCAGTGCGAACCAAGAGTTCCCATGATATCCCATTATTCCCCGAGGGACATCAAGATGTCTACGCTCTCAATTCCGTCCGCCATTATAGCCCCCTTCATTCCCATTCTCCGGGCTTCACTCCGGCTTTGGTGAGACCGCCACGATTCCCCGTATCCTCGCCGCCTTTCTCGAGCTTCTCATGCATGCACGCGCTAGAAGTCGCGTTTCGCTATATGTACCCTCGAATAAACATCTCCCTCCCCCCTCTCTCAGCTCCCGGTCGACTGTCTGGCTCAGCTAGACGGTATCTCAATCGACGCTTCTTAAGTCTCGACCTGTTCCTTTGGATGGTATTGGAAGCCTCGATATCAGGTTGTTAGGACCATCGGGTCACCTCCAGGGCGCCAGTGGATAGTATACAAGGAGTTGGCTGCCCCTCAATGTCGGTGTTGACAAATGCACAGTGACTTGTAAGACAGATTTTGATCCCAACAGCAGGTTGTCCCATGAAGGCCGTTGCTGTCTCAGTATGGTGGGCTGCGCTTGGGGCCTGAAGGGGTTCCTGTTTCAAGGCGCGTCGACCGGGGAGGATAATGTCAGGGGGTTATTCAAGTTTCCATTCCGAGGTCCATGGACTAACGTCGAGCTGTCCGATGAAGCGGTGTAGTTTGTTCTCCTTCCAGACGTCATACCTCTGCTGGTGGGGCTTGTTGCTGTTGCTGCTCTCGTTCTGTTTTCACTTGAATGGCATCGCTCGCTTCTCATTCATGCACGGTGACGAACCGAAGCCGGGACGGATATGCATGTGGCGGATGCTCATCATTGGGTCTCGCACACAGCCGAATAAACAGATCGCATTGCCACACTGGCAGGGGAATCTCAGTCTTCTCGCGACAGTTTCACGGACAAAGCAACGACCATATTTAGAAAAGCCACGTACCTGACTCGTGGTGCATCTCTGCCCAATCATGGCCGTAATTACTATGGGTTGGTGCCTTCCTGATAGTCCCACATGATGTTCAGGGATCGGCTCCCGGAATCCTGCGTCCTGTCGAAATAGGTAGTGCTGATGATCTTGTTGTCGACGAATGTCTGGCATATCCCACGTGTGATGAGCCGCACCATTGACACCCCTTTCGACTAGACACATATCTCGGGTGACTGGCTGACCGGGATTGATGCGATCGTAGGGATATCGGTTGACCCGTGTAAGAAAAATGGTCCATCTCGTGTAGCGGTTGTTCCGTGCAAATACGAGGCAGACCGTCTCTTCCTGGAGCCACCCCATTCACATGACCCGATCAATGTCTCTCATGTAGCAGCACTTTCAGCTTCAACGCTTCGTCAGCTCCCTGAGGCCGTGCAGGATGCTCTATGGGCGCTTCAAGAATCAACCTCAGTAATCTACGCCTCCTGTCTTAGGCTACAAGCCCTCTTGGAAGAGCGATTTGAACGATTGACGGCACTTCAAGACACGCCTGGAACATGTGAGTTTGACTTTATTTCGCCTTCATTTCATTCCGCACTCTCCCTTGAAAACTAAATCCATAAATCCCGCAAGACATCTGATATCAAGTTTGCTCCACACACATATCGAACATAAAGCTCACACCAAGGCGCAATGAGACTCCGAGGTTCCCTTCTTCAACTACATCAATACCCTGTCCGTCGAACGCCCGTACCTGGTCCACGACGCTCATCCAGACTGGAAGCACAAGGCTCGGCAGACAGGTATCCTCAGCCCGACCTCCCCGTACGCCAGCCTCCGCCTCACCTATCGCGGCAGAACCATCACCATCGGCCAATGGATGCAACGACTCTCAGCCGCAGAATCCCTATGGGTTGACACCGCACAGGCGGTTGACCTCCCGGACTTTGATGCAACCATCAGGGAGTACCAGAGTCTCAGCGACGGTGGCAGCCTTAGTTCCACGTCTAGTGAACTTTAGTCTCGGGGAATGGGAATCCTCATGTGGGCGTGGTGCAAAGGGCGCCCAATGTCGTGAATCCTTGGGTTTGGAATCTGAAGTGGGCATTTTGGCGTACACATGGGCGGCGGAGGGGTCCGTGAAGTTTCTGGAAGCTTTGCGCCATGAACTCTATTCGATTACGGCTTGCTGTACTACTCAGTCGCTTACGTCTTGTATTGACCATCCCGGCCACGCATATCATCGAACCCGCTCAACGCCGTGTCCCACAGTCTCTCCAGCTCGTTCAGGTCGTCCGTCGCTGGAGGGTAGTTCCCTGAGGACGTTGCAGCGGACATTAACCACCGAGTTTCAGGCGAGAGGCGTCACAGGGAAGGCCACTTTGATTCAGCAGTGGCTGGGTTCAATGGTCACGGTGCAGAAGCTGACGGGGGTGGAAGGAGGTGGCCTTGCTCGGTTATGAATCATCCGTGAAGACCGTCTACTCGGCCGGCGGGGTCTTGACCATCGTCATGCTGTTAGCCCAAGCAGGTGTGGACTGGACGGCGCCCGGATGTGGACAAGGGCGAAGACACTACCACACACCCGCTGATGCGAGGGACGGCAATGTCGGACAAGATGTTCTTCCGCCAGTCGTGTCCCGAGAGCGAGCGGTCGTTTAACGATCAATGCGGGACGGCACGAGTATATATATGTCAGAACCATGGAACACCGCAAGGTGACATTGTTTGGACCATTGGTCATGCGAGCCTATTCCATGTCGCAGACGCCTATTCTACAGATTGCATGTCTTTACACCATATACGACGCTCTAATGTTGGTGGTGCTTTGGATCCGTACCCAAGTTGGTGGTTTGGAACTCGGATCCGGCTGCCAATGTCTCGACGGGTTTCCTGCCTTCAACATGTGTCCCCTTCGCCTACCCGAGAGTCTTGGGTTCATGTCCTGGTTTTCCATGGCCGCCTGCAGGTGCTCCTCTGCTTCCACCTCCACTGTGAACGCCATCATGAACTTCGTTCAGACCTTCGGGCAGAGCCGCCGTTTTGCCGGCTCTCGGGATCTCTTCTTCTGACGTGGGCTGTTTATGGAGGTATGTTAGCTCAGTGTGACCAAGGACCGGCCAGATCGCGTGAGGTTACACCTTTCCATCTCCTCCGTGTATGATATCCTTTCCGTTCTCAACGGGGTTGTCGGATTGGGGCGGTTCGCCAGCGTACTCGGCTCCTCGAGGCATATTTGTAGTGAGTGTATGTGTGTGATAGAGTTGTCTCACGGGTAGAACAGGGCTTGTATTTGTTCCTTCTTAATGCTACTGAAACGAGATGTTTTCAGCAGGTGGAAAGGGGCCGGAGCGTGTTGTACCAGTGCGGGGCAGTCGTATCGTCCATAACGTCACACTCTGGGAGCATCCGTGGACCTGAAGAAGAAGGATGATCCGCTGCTTTCGGCAGACGCTTCCTACCAGTGCAACCCACGTCACATTGAAGTCATGCCTACAGGGTTCTCACCTGGGTGTTCCGGTGCTCGTACAGCGTGACGAGGCAAGCGGGCGAGCAGGAACTTGGTAGAGAATGTTGAGCGTAGCACGCGACATCCATCGGCGATGCGATACTGTAGTAGTTCAGATACTTCGGGATGTTGGTCGAGTTGCAGTCTGGCGAGGTTGCACCACAACAAACCAGCCACCGGCTTCAGGTAGATATTCGGATAAGTTAAATAGCCGTCTACTCGTATGGAATTTCAATTGTTCAATGCACTGCGCGAAAGCTGGACCTTATATTCCCATGGATGCCTCGCAGTCGGCGCAATAGATGCTGCGAGGTACTGTAGGAATGACTTACTTCGATAGAAATAGGCTAACTCTTTCGTTCTACGGGCAAACTCGACTTTACCAGCGAAGCAAAGGCAGAATTGAGGGCATTGATCGTCGATGCCACGGCCGCCGCGCTGGGAGACCTTGGGTCCGTTGCAGAAAGAGTGTCGCAGCCGGAAACCAAGCAGAATAAGACTGTCGAGAGTACAGAAGAGCCCAATACGAAATATGAAACGCCGAGTTAAGGTGGCGTAAGACTTAGGTCAAGAAGACGCAACTCGGATGCAAGTGGAATTTTGTTGTTGCCTCGTGGGCGATGAAAGGAAGGATTGGAACATCTCCAGGCAGATTCGTGGATTATCGCAAGGAAGCGAAGTGATTTGCACGAAAATGATGATCTGTCGAACGTGACCCAGTGGCCCAGGGGCGTCCACTGTAGTCCACATCAGTCGTCAGGCTCGATGCCCTGCTTCGCTGTGAGGCTCCGTCGTTTCTTCACAACAGTCTGATATCTCACGGCAGATTGACAGCTGCCTGTTCAGCACCTAGGGAATCGGTGGAAGTTGGTTGAAAGCACCAGTCCCGGAGCGGCAGCTGCAGGTGGCTTCGCTGGATCATTGGATGACAACAAGCGTGATTCGTTACACTGCCTCTTGATGTGTCAACATTCTACAGTCGTCGTTGGGCCCGTCGTCGTCGATCAGAATGGCGGCGGGACAGATGGAAGAGGGTAGTGGACTCGGTCGTTGCCGCTTGATTGGACGATCGATCGCCCGTTCGGCCATTACTGTTGCCATAGAGTCCGACGACCCGGTCGAAGCAAAACGCACAGTAGTGGTTGTCTGATAGAAGACGTGTCCGGCGAGCGGCCATTCCCCCTCGGACGCAGGCCTAGATATGCTGATTGCGCTGAGACTTGGGTAGACTGGAAACCGTGAGCCCGGACGTCCAGACGAAGCGGGTAGGGGACGAACTTACCTCGTCATGTGCCGATGGCAATCCTTGCCCGGGTAGGCATTGTCTACGGGGTTTAATCCTGGGAGGTATAGGACGCCAGAGTCGTGGAGACAGAGGGCCTAGAGGTCGTGGAGGGCGTTCCATATCTCGTCCGATGTCAATGAATGCGTTGATGCCATTTTTTGGGCCAGCCGGCCCCGCTCAGGGAATAACTTATAGACATCCTGGGTAAGTTCCGTCTTCGGATTGTCCTCGGCGACCTCTCGCCCCCGGCTCAGAATTTTACAATTTCGGCGCTCCTGGTTTTAGGTCTCCTGATATAGGCGCAGCGCGTCCTGCTTGAGTTCCTTTGAGTAAGCTGTTAACTGGCGCTTAGTGGTGCTGAAAGCTTAGTTATCGCCCTAGGCCCCTACAGATATCTTCATCTCGGCCTTAAGCTCGTAAAGGCGAGGATCCTGTTTGAGCTCTTCTTCGAGGTGGGCAGGCAGTTTGTCGGGTAGACCGTCCTTATAAAACTTTTCCAGATTCTCGAAATATTCGATGTGGCGCTGGTCGCTCTCCTCGTCTCGAAACGCCGCCTGGCCGTCGACCGCGGAGTAGTTCGCTACATAACTCTGACTGAAAACTCGAGAGTCGGCCTGGGTTAAGTGTTGAAATCGCTCGACGTGTTAGGTCTCGGTGGCGAGGTCGGTGGGTCCGCAGAAGCGCAAGAAGAAGGGCGACCGTCAAGTCAAGACGAAGGTGAGCAATAGGTGAGTGCACGGTGGAAAGGAGGGTGAGGTGGGGAGGTGTCGCTATAAAAGCGGCGCGGGCTGGGTGAGTCGCACGTGAGCTCCGAGCAGTTATTCCGACGCTTGAGGCGCCATGAGCGGCGAGCAGCTTTCCTAACGCTTGGCACCTTTCGAAACCTGAGACTGCGCAGCTTGAACACACGCTTGACGTTTACCTCAGACTTCCCTCACTTCACCCTCGACGCCTCAGTGTCTCTCCCCGTTTCCCTGTCCATTTCACACCTCTTGGTTGGAGGTGCGGTTTGTTCGTTCGGAGCACAGTCTCCCCTCCTATGGACCCTTTTCTGTACCATTAGCTCACCTACTGCCAGCATTATGTATCGTTACGCCGCGGGCAAGCTCCCGTCGAGGGCTGCGCAAGCTTCAAGAAATTTTCATACTACTCACAGTTCACATGCGCTCTCTGGAGCTCGTCAGAATGCCCTGATTGCTGGGAGGAAACCACTGGCTGTCATGGCCCGCAGCTCGATGCTGCGCCGAAGCTATGCCATGGCAGCGGAAGAGTCGAACAAAGGAGTGGTATGCACTGTTCACAGGCCTCAACCTGTGCGAGGGCAGCAGCTCTGACCGTCAAACAGGACCCCAACGACTCGTTCCTGCAAGGGAACACAGCCAACTACATCGACGAGATGTACATGGCTTGGAAACGAGACCCGTCATCCGTCCACATCTCATGGCAAGCCTACTTCCACAATATGGAGCAAGGCAACATGCCGGTGTCCCGCGCGTTCCAACCTCCTCCCGGCCTTATATCGCAGGCTGAGGGTGCGGCCAGCCTGGCTCCGAGCCCAGTCACGAGCGAAGCAAGCGGGGATGTCACAAACCACTTGAAGGTCCAATTGCTTGTGCGGGCGTACCAGTCTACCGGTCATCACAAAGCGAAGACGGATCCTCTGGGAATTCGTGGCGAGGCGGAAGCATTTGGCTACCGCAGACCAAAAGAGCTGGAGTTGGATCACTATGGCTTTACCGAGGCCGACCTTGATCAAGAATTCACCCTTGGACCGGGTATCCTGCCCAGATTCGCCACCGAGTCACGCAAGAAGATGAAACTGCGCGATATTGTCGCGGCGTGTGAGAAGATCTACTGCGGCTCCTACGGCGTTGAGTACATCCACATCCCCGATCGAGAGCAATGCGACTGGATCAGGAGCAGAATCGAGGTCCCCACGCCATACAAGTACTCTGTCGATGAAAAACGCCGTATTCTCGACAGATTGATCTGGAGTTCCAGCTTCGAATCCTTCCTGGCCACGAAATATCCCAATGACAAGCGTTTCGGCCTGGAAGGATGCGAGACTCTCGTTCCAGGCATGAAAGCTATGATCGACAGGAGCGTCGACTATGGCATCAAAGACATCGTCATTGGCATGCCCCACAGAGGGAGACTGAATGTGCTGAGCAACGTCGTTCGGAAGCCAAACGAATCCATCTTCAGCGAGTTCTCCGGTACTAGCGAGGCCAGCGATGAAGGCTCGGGCGACGTGAAATACCATCTGGGCATGAACTTTGAACGACCGACGCCCTCGGGAAAGCGTGTCCAGCTCTCCCTTGTCGCTAACCCGTCTCACTTGGAAGCTGAGGACCCCGTTGTGCTTGGCAAGACTCGCGCCATCCAACATTACAACAACGACGAAAAGCAACACCTGACTGCCATGGGTGTGCTGCTTCACGGCGACGCTGCTTTTGCGGCGCAGGGCGTCGTCTACGAAACTCTCGGCTTCCACGCTCTTCCCGCTTACTCGACCGGCGGTACTATCCACATCATTGTAAACAACCAGATCGGGTTCACTACGGATCCTAGATTTGCTCGGTCGACACCGTACTGCTCTGACATTGCCAAGGCCATCGACGCTCCCGTGTTTCACGTCAACGGTGATGATGTCGAAGCCGTCAACTTCGTGTGCCAGCTGGCGGCCGATTGGAGAGCCGATTTCAAAAAGGACTGTGTCATCGATATCGTCTGCTACCGCAAACAGGGTCATAATGAAACCGATCAGCCCTCTTTCACTCAGCCACTCATGTACAAACGGATCGAGTCGATAAAACCGCAACTCGACAAGTACGTCGACAAGCTGCTGGAAGAAAACACCTTCACCAAGGACGACATCGACGAGCACAAGAAATGGGTGTGGGGCATGCTCAATGACAGCTTCGACCGAAGCAAAGACTATCAACCCACAGGCAAGGAGTGGCTCACGTCGGCCTGGAACGGCTTCAAATCGCCCAAAGAGCTCGCCACCGAGGTTCTTCCGCATCCCCCGACCGGCGTCCCTTCGGATATGTTGAAGCAGATCGGCAGCAAGATCGGTGAGGCTCCCGAAGGTTTCACCGTGCATCGCAATCTCAAGCGTATCCTTGCCGGCCGCCAGAAGGCGGTCCAAGACGGAAAAGGCATTGACTGGGCTACGGCCGAGGCCCTTGCGTTCGGCACACTTTGCCTCGAGGGCCACCATGTACGTGTTTCCGGTCAAGACGTCGAACGTGGCACCTTTTCTCAGCGACATGCCGTCCTGCATGACCAGGAGACCGAAGCCACGTGGACGCCACTCAGCAATTTATCCAAGGAACAAGGAGCGTTCACCATCTCCAATTCATCCTTGAGCGAATTCGGTGTTCTCGGGTTTGAATACGGTTACTCGCTCTCGTCGCCCAATGCGCTCGTCATGTGGGAGGCACAGTTTGGAGATTTTGCCAACAACGCCCAATGTATCATTGATCAGTTCATCGCATCAGGAGAGGTCAAGTGGTTGCAGAGATCCGGCTTGGTGTGCTCTTTGCCTCATGGTTACGATGGACAGGGACCCGAGGTAAGCTTTTGACATATGGCCTGGTCAGGACACCGAGACTAACTGTGCCCGTAGCATAGCAGTGGCCGCATGGAACGATACTTGCAACTCTGCAACGAAGAGCCGCGTGTGTTCCCGTCGCAAGACAAGCTTGACCGACAGCATCAGGACTGCAACATGCAAGTCGCGTATATGACAACGCCTTCCAACTATTTCCATATTCTCCGACGACAGATGAATCGACAATTCAGAAAACGTAAGTACCGTGGTCCGCAGGATGTATGCACACAACTGACCCTGATCCAGCATTGATTGTGTTCTTCTCAAAGTCCCTTCTCCGACATCCTCTCGCACGCTCCAACCTTGAGGATTTCGAGGGCGAGTCTCACTTCCAATGGATCATTCCAGACCCAGAACACGGCAAGGCCATCGCCGAACCCGATGACATCGACCGAGTCGTTATCTGCACGGGTCAAGTCTACGCCGCTTTGCACAAGCACCGTGGTGACAAGGGTTTCAAGAATACTGCCATCACGCGGATCGAGCAACTCAACCCCTTCCCATGGGCCCAGCTCAAGGAGAACCTTGACACGTACAAGAACGCCAAGACGATCGTCTGGTGTCAGGAAGAGCCTCTCAATGCTGGCGCATGGAGTTTCGTCCAGCCGCGCATCGAGACCTTGCTCAATCAGACAGAGCACCATAACCGACGGCACGTCATGTATGCTGGAAGAGATCCTAGTGCCTCGGTGGCAACGGGTACGAAGGCCAACCATGTCAAGGAGGAGCAAGCATTACTTGAGGAAGCGTTCAAGGTGACGCAGGACAAATTGAAGGGTGAATGACTAGCCGACGGTGTGACAGGGGCCAAAGTGCTTGGCTGAACATACCTGATGGAAATTGCATGTATAAGAGGCAGCGTCACGGACGAGCATTAGTAGACCGAGGACGGTCCCGTTGCTAGCTGTCACTGTGTCATACTGGAAAACGCCTGGAAGCTTGTCATTGCGTTCCGATCGAGATAATATAGTACACAAATTTGTGCCGTGCATGAGCACTGGGCTGGTTGAACACGTGGCACTGGCGTCTTGATTTCCTGCAACCGCGGTGAAACAAGAGCCTGCGGGCGAGCACGACGTGCCACCAAAGTCTTGAGTAAGTCGCCATGTGCTCTCTATCCTGGACCCTTGTCGACTGCTGCCAGGATGAGCTTCGGCTTTGGCGGCTCAAAGCAGGTGAACCGGCACCCTGCCCACTTTGGACCTCGCCCGTGCGGCGCCACTTTTATATCTTGTGGTTCGACCCGGGTCTTGATCGTGCCACCGAGCGAGGCACGCACTGCACGATAAGTTAGTTGCCTATCTAGGAACCATCCCGACCAGGCCATGGAAGCTCGGCTATCAACATTACCTAATAGCCGCTGATTCATCTCGAAGGGGCAAGTCACACATCAAATAGTATCTCAGGGCTTCGTGCTGAACAGACGAACTCAATACATTGATGGAGGCGGTAAGATCAGGATCGATTGACTGACCCGTTTCCCTACCCTTTGAGACGCACATACATGGCTGTCAAAGTGCAAGTTTCCAGGCCGCCGCCGCCGCCACCACCGCCTCCGATTGACGTATCTTACACACCTCAGGTATCGGTGACGACCCTGCCTGCAACGGCGCCGATTGCAGAAATTCTGTCCGTGCTTGAACGCGACGGCGGGGTGATCTTGAAGGATCTCGTCTCCGCCCAGCAGCTCAAATCCATCGAAACCGAACTTCAACCGTGGAATGAGCTGAAGCGGGAAGATCCTGGGTCCGGCCGTGATGCTTTCGTCACGATACCCCAGTCGACAGTGCTGATACCTGGGTTAGTGAGGAAATCACCATCGTCAAGGGTGGACGAACGGCGCCTGATCGGCCCAATGGCAAGGGGTTCTACATCGAACCCACCGTCGTGAGTGGCGTGAACCCGTCCATGCGAGTCTACAAAGAGGAGATCTTTGGACCTTTCCTGACCTTCACCGCTTTCACCTCGGAAGAGGACGTCGTCAAACTCGCCAATGACGCCGAATACGGACTCGGCAGTGCGGTCTTCACCAATGATGTTACCAGAGCCATTCGTGTTGCACGAGATCTCCAGGCAGGCTTGGATGCTTATTCGGTGTTGAAGGCTGTTCACCTCAATTTGGTATTCGCGACACCAGATATATAGCTCCCCAAGTAGTTTGAGGAGAAATTGGAAGGCAACCTTGCGTTAAATGCATATCCTTCAGTGGACGGAGATCAACCGTAACCATGGAGAGTCAGCAAAGGAACGCCGCTCGTCGCTCACCGCTCGGACATGCCGCGATAGAGGGCCATGAGTCGAGCTTCCTCTGTCCCAAGAGGAACCTACTGTATCAGGGCACACCGCACATGTGCTGGCGGGAGCAGGCAGAGCACGAAGAGGTACAGGCAGTACACAAACGAAGCTACCTGGCTAAGTACGGATTTCACGACCGAGGACGGGAATATCGATCGGCCTGTTTGACGTGTGAGATGGACCTCGTACTCTCTAGATGTCGCCATGCCAGACATTGATCCCAACACCCGCTTACGCTGATCATAGCGTAATACAGTACGACTCAGTCGATCCTGAAGCCCATACATCCATGCAACCATGCATCGTCAAGTCATAAGTATGATGAATCCGCTACGTGTGTGTGTCTTTCTGTGTCTGTCAGTCTCTGTCTCCCTCCCGCTCTCTCTTTCGGCCCTGCACCTCTCGATCCCTGGTCATCTGCCGACATCTAAGCCATAAACTCCCTAACGCTCCTCCTCGCCTTCCTGGCTTTGGCCCCGCCAGTCAACGCCTTGGCGGCATTATCGTTGGGCGCGGCGTCTCCGAAGCCGCAGCCGCCGTCGCGCGTCTGGGCGATGATGGCCCCCGCGCATTTGCCCGTGTTGAACGCACAGCATCCGGACGCGCAGTCGGCGTCACTGAAACATTGGCCCGTGATGAATTGGCTGGCGTCACCTTTTCCTACATTTGCCGAGCCCGGGATGGACGTGTCGATTGCGCCGCTGCCGCCGGAGGAGGAGGTGGATGTGGATGTGCCTGAGCCGGATCCTGAGCCTGACGATGACGATGACGATGATGATGACGACGACGAGGGGTCACTGCCAGCCGGCGAGGTTGGCTGTTCGCCACGCAGAAGCCGCGCGGCGTTGTCGTTGGGTTGGGCGTCGCCGAAGCCGCAGCCGCCGTCGCGTTCTTGGGCGATGATGGCGCCGGCGCATTTACCTGAGTTGAAGCCCTGAAATGTCGACATGTTAGCCAAGTGCGTGTACTTTGTTGGCTTGTAATATAATATGATAATAAGAACAGCAGCAGCACGGGAAAACTTACACAACATCCACTCGCGCAGTCGGCATCACTGGTGCATGCCCCTGTAATGAATTGCGTGCCTGTGCCGACATTGCCGTTGCTGCTACCGCTGCCGCTGCCACCCGCCGCTGCCGTGCTCATGGCTGCAGGATCCGCTGCGGCCGTTGCGGGTGACATTCCCCCCGACTGTGACGCAAAGAATGCCTGTGCGGCAATGTCGTTGGGCTGGGCGTCGCCGAAGCCGCAGCCGCCGTCGCGCTCTTGGGCGATGACTGGGCCGGCGCATTTGCCGGAGTTGAAGCCGCAGCACGAGGAGGCGCAGTCGGCGTCTGAAGAGCAGGGGCCTGTGATGAATTGCGTGCCGGCGGCGAGGGTGTGGTGGGTGAGGGATAGGAGGACCAGAATGGCTTGGGAGACGGTGAAGGTGGTTTTCGTGTACATATTGGCGAGATTGTCCGTCCAGCGGGTGTTGATGATACAATCAGTCTAGAAGTGAATGGAATGGGAAGTAGAGCTGGTTTCTTGTTCTGGTGGCACAGCAAACACCGCACAGCGATGAGAATGGAAAAGATCGAATTGAAAGCAACTTTTTATCGCACAGCGAGGACAGAGCAGAAGCAGGTAGAGGAGAGACCGACTGGATGAAAACGAGAGATCTCTCAACATGCAGTAGAAGGCAGCGTGGTCTTCGTATTTGAAGGCATCTTTTCAGCACGCAGACAGTACTGACGGGCCTCCTGTCCGCCATTTCCATTACCAAATTCGTCGTCTGGGATGGACGCCATTGTAGGATCACCGCGTGGCACAATGGCCGGATCCCCAATAACTTAGCATCATCCCAAGGAGGACTGCACCGTCGATCCAATGGACCGGCACAGTCGAGGGATCACACGCTGCAGCTCAAACAGAGCGACACGAGGCTGAGACGAGAAACTCCGAGACAGCCTCGTCGCCGTGTCGCAGGTCGGCACAACCGCTAAGGGGGCGATGCGGGGGGAGGCCGCCGTGCCACGCGATTGGCTTGGGGGGACCCCTCCAACACCCCTTGTTAGGCTTTTGAAGCACCCATCGTGGCAGCTTGGGTTCGTGTTTGAGACGTCGTTTCAGCGGGAAGACGTGCTCCTCTTGTTGACTGTGGTTACCCAGTGATTACTACCTACAGGCTCGCCGAAGCCTACTACTACAGTAACCAGCATGCACTCCGTACGTCCCCAGTACTGGATGGAGTGGCGTCCCCTGGGTCCCAAGGTCCGCCTTCTGCCTCTCAAGTGGCTGCTTTTCCAACTGTGGCCAGACGGTGGCTTTGCGCAGGCGCGTCATAAAACAGCTGCGAGCACCGCTTCACGTCAACTAACTCCGGGCTGCCACCTAGAACGGTTCTTGCTCCTCGCCAATCGTAACCGTGCCGCCTCCTGTCTTGACAAGTCGATTCGAGCGAGCACGAGTGGGCGGGCATCGTACTAGCCGTGATCTGGTGAGATGTGGCCGGCTTCAGCTCAGCCAACGTTCCGACTTTGACTTCATGCTCTCCTGGCTCCTCGGCTGGACACCACCTTGACCACGTGGTGTCTGGCTTCCCAGGCCACTGGTCCAGTCCATGTCCAACCGCATGCGCAGCAATCGACCATGTCTTGACACAGCCTTGCTTGCTAACATTGCCTAGGTAAGTCTTCGTCGGAAAGCATGCTCCAAACGCGATACCTCGTCGTCACTCATTCGAGAATCGATGCGCCCTCCGTTCCAGCCCGAACCTGGCCAAGCACTATCAGCGGTCCCAACCACAGGCTCGCGAAGATGACCCGAGGACTCTCGTGCTGTCATAGCACCGGGCAATGAGACAGCTTGCGGGCCGCGGGAGTTGTGTTTTAAGGAAGATTATCTGAGAGGACTCAGGATTTAACACACTATGGAACATCAAGACATTTCCTGTCCCTCGTCAGTTCGTGCTGTGAGGCTCTTCTGTCCCGGTGGAGTTTCTGACCTCTACGACCACGCTATGCATCGATGGCCGGTGTTGGAATTCCTGGCGACGGTCAGCTTGTTGACTGTACCAGAGCCAGTACCGCCACGGATGCAACACCGTATTGCCCAAATATCTCGACCGGCTGCCCTCTGCAGGGTGATGGGTGGATTTACGACGACGATGAATTCGCGGGCCCATGCACGAGGCTCGTAATGTCAAGTTCGAAATGCCTTGTCAAGCACATTATCGGTGTTTGATTCTGGTCGGTTTAGGACTTAATATCCCGTTGAAATGCTCATTCTCTCCAAAAAGGACCTGAGATTCCTACAGGGTGCTGGGCATGGGAAAGGTTCCTACATCAGCGATCTCGCGAGAGTCGCTGAGTTGCCTCGATCATATCAATTAGTCTTTGGTGGACTGAGGTCCGTTGGGACAGAATAATTCATGGGGATGCTCTAGTATCTGCTCTGGCTCCATCCTGGGTCGTGTCCGTTTCTCTTGATCTACTTCTCATTTGTCAGAAACTTGATGCCAGAAGGAAACATTTTCTATTGCTGTCCGTCCAGGTGGATTTGCATTTCTCCGATAGTGACATTCAAGCATCTTCCACTCCCTCTTTGTCTCGAATCTCTTCATACCAGAGCTCCGTATACACACAGAACTCGATAGAAGCGCGCACCTATTGCAAAGAATGATGCACTCATACAGCCTTCTCCCTATCCTCCAGCTCTCCCCAGGGGCAGCCTCCACGCGAGAAGCAGACGCGTTTACAGTACGTAGATAATTGTCCGTACTCGATGGCGTAGTGGCACAAACCCCTACCGCCAATCTCATCGGCTCTCGTTCGGAGCCCTGGCACTATCCTTCCATGGCCTAATCGACCAATGCATGCATTCAGATATGCGTTCCTTACGTGTCTGGGTCCTTCCGCCCATCTTAACTGCTGTTCGCCCTAGAAACAGACGGCCACCGCTGCGAGGGACGAGAACTCGGCTGCACCATGCCTCGTCACCTCGGGGATATGCTATAGGCGCAGAAAATGCTCTACACCCAAGTCAATCTGTCGAGGAGGAAACCCTCCCTCATTATGATCCGGACGAGTTTTACCCGGTCCATATAGGCGAGGTCTTCAATGGGAAGTATCAGGTGGTGGGCAAACTTGGCTTCGGCGCACACTCGACAGTCTGGCTGGGCCGTGATATGAACACGTATGCTACGGTACCAAGTTCTTTGGATTATTCGGCGTGTCGCACAGACTGACGTGACTCCCAGAAATCAGGTGCCCAACTACGTGACTCTCAAAATATGCACCAAGACGCCTACCGAGTCAATTGACCGGGAGATCCTAGCGTACCGGCATCTCAGCTCTTTGCGCTCTTCGCACCCCGGTCTGCCACATGTACGGGGACTTCTCGACTCGTTCGAAGTCGTTCGATCAGATGGGAGCTATCACCGCTGTTTTGTCCATCAGCCACTGCATCTAACCATGTGGGATCTGCAACGACTGGGAGGAACATCTGCGACCTTTCCGCAGGGTATGGTCAAGAGCGCTCTTCGGTATTTGCTCCAGGCGCTGGATTTCCTCCACACAGAGGCCAATGTGACACACTGCGGTCGGTAGTTACTTCGCAATCTGGTTTGACTCACCAGGAGGCGGTCCATCAGCTCACATACCCTCCGTATCGTAGACATCAAGCTCAGTAACATCATGCTGACCGTCGAGGACGAAGGCGTGCTTACCGATTTTGAGGACGCCGAGCGGCAACATCCCTGTCCCCGCAAGATCGTGGACCATGAACGTACGATATACGCGTCGCGGTCTTTTCGCCTACCCCGGAACCACAATTGGGGATCACCTGTGTTGTGTAACTTGGGGGAGGCTCGCATTGGGGGCTCATATTCCTACGAAGAAATCCAGCCGGAGGTGTACAAGGCGCTCGAGATCATCATGCAGACAGATTGATCGCATCGCGCTGATATATGGAACGTGGCATGCGTGGTGAGTCAGTCAGTCAGCCAGCCAGCCTGTATCTGTCTTCCTTTCCCTCATCACGTTATCCGGCTAACCGTTGATAGTGCGTTGTTGTTCTAGGCCTGGGATATGATGGAGAACAAGCATCTCTTTGACTCACGAGACGACGAAGCCTTCCACAACAACAGATACCACGTTGCCAAGATGGTGGCGTACATGGGGATTCCGCGGATGGAGTTCCAGCGCCGCAGTCCAAACACGGCATTGGTATTTGACGAAGAAGGCGAGTTGACAAACTCAACGGCTGTTGATCATCGTGGCTGATATCTACTCCAGGCGACTGGAAAGGTCATCCGTCGTTACCCCCGCTGTCTCTCGAGGAGTCCGAAGCACAGCTTGACGGCGCGGATAAGGAGGCCTTTCTCAAGTTTATGCGCTCGATGTTGGCTTGGCTGCCAGAGGAGAGAAAAAGTGCTGGAGAGCTGTTGAGAGATCCATGGCTGCGTGCATGATTGTGGTCGGCAGGCTTACGACCGAGGATGCTATGGGCCGCAGTGGGCAGTCTATGTGCTCAGTCGCCTGACCAACGCCGGACCACTACAACCATACTTCACATGATTAACATCCTCGGCAACACAACAACAAAAACGACCCTCTTGCTCTCATCACAGTCAAGCATGACAGACACCTACCCCCGGACATCTGCACACCTCGATAACAGGGCAGTCTCTTGTTCCCGCCGCCCAGTCGAGGCACGCGGAGTTGTCCGAACCAAAGCAGCCTGCCAGCCGGCCTCCCCTGCCATCCCATACCATGTCATATAGTATGGATCTGTCCACTGAAATCCAGAGTATTTCCTCGTGAATGGCGTTGTTGCCTCCTCGCAGCCGTCCTCAATGGCCGACATCATCCGTCTCAACTCGCAAGGCCAGACAGAAGTGAGAACGGGGTTAGGCTGGCGCAGGGTGCTCTCCCCGAACAGCGCGGAAGCGACGATTGCCCACCTCCCGGTGGTCGATATCACCGACATAACGCACGTGGACCAGGCCCGTCGAAGGAGCGTCGCAAAGGCAATCTGCCACGCCGCTTCGAATGTCGGGTTCTTCTACGTCCGCGGCCACGGCGTGCCCGACGAGGCGGTCGCTTCCATCTTCGCGCAGAGTAGGCGATTCTTCCACGATCTGACGCTCGACGAGAAGATGGAGTATGACACGGAGAGGCATACGCATTATTATGGATATTACCCCATCAAGTTGGACGAGGGAATTCCTGCTGGAGCGAGTAAGTATTGCTTCAATTAAATTTTGTGGAGAGGGTGTGTAACGGTGCACTGCTTTTGTGGTCGCGGTCGTGGTACTCACCTGTTTATCTGCTCCGTTAGTTTGCTTGCCTGGTTACTTACCTGCGTTACGTTTTCAGAGCTAAACGAAGGGATCAACTACGGGTATGAAGCTTGTTGTGACCCCGAGGTCGCATCCGAGGCCGTGCCCGCCGAAAGTAGCAACGGTGACAACTGGTGGCCGTCCGAGGAACGTCTCCCCGGCTACGAGCGCCAAGTCAAGGGATACATGACACACATGCTCAGGCTGAGCCGGTCCCTGCTGCGCATGTTCGCGCTGGGTCTTGATCTGGACGAGCATGCGTTCGACCACCTCGCCACGAAGCCGTATTCCATCTTGAAAATGGCGCACTATCCCGGCAAGGGTAAGGGACAGCTCTCTGGCACGGACGCCCCGTCAACCATCCGTCCGCACACGGACTATGAGCTTTTGACGATCCTGCTGCAGGACGAGATCCCGTCTCTGGAAGTGTTGTCCAATACCGGGCATTGGATACAGGCGGCGCCCATACCGGGGACGTTTGTCGTCAATATTGGAGATTCGCTGTCCATGCTCACCAATGGGCTGTTTGTGTCTACGATGCATAGGGTGATCAATGTGTCGGAGCGGGCTCGATATTCCGTGCCGTTTTTCCTGGGTGGTTAGTATAGGATCGCTCGTCCACCTCGTCCCATGAAAGCCCATGTTGACCCTTTGCAGCCAATCAGGACGCCGAGTTGAAGGCCCTAGCTAAGTTCGTGAGTGCTGAGAATCCTGCAAAGTTCCAGCCCATCATGTCGGGAGAATACATTCGGCGGTCGTTGCAGGCTGTTTACTCCAAGCCGCATGTGGAAATCATCAGGGACACGGTCGAAGTGCGTGGATAAGACAGCTGAGCTTCACGATAGAGATCCGTGGCCGTTCAATGGAGGACATGAAGATGGTTGTGCGGGGGGGGCGATAGTAGAATGGTTCGGAGTAGCGCCGTTTCACCGCATGTTGGGTTGTATCTCATGATACTGTGTATACAAGCCGAAGGACCTGGAGTTGTCGCAGTCACAGTCGCAGTCGCAGTCGAGGTGCTTGATGTCGCGACCGCGCGCCGCGCCTTATGATCCGCCGTAGCAACTGCTATTCCACAGTAACACCTCACCGTACCCACACCAATTACGGAGTACTCTCTCACTTTTCAAACTTCGCGCAAGTTTCGGCTTCCGATTCGATCAAAACGCAAGAATTCTACTCTGAGAGCCGTCACAAGCTGGTGAGCTGGAGACGAATCCTCCGAGCTGCTGTCTGACTATTCACATCATGATGATCGACCTCGTGGTGTCTCCACTACCACCGGAGAGCTCATGCGACCTTTTAGCCGTTCATCAGGCCTGCGGAATGGATGACCGCAAGAGGACCTCCTTCACCCGGTTGCGACTGGTCCCAATGAAAAGATGATTAATCCGGCTCCGCAGGGGATCTCCCACATGTCCGCTAACCTACTCTGAGATGCTCCGTGTACCCAAGAAGGTGATATCTGACTTAGGCCACCAAGACCCAGAGATGGTAAATGATATGCCGGTCTTTGGCCCAACCCAACTTGCCTCGATATCTCCTGTGTGACTTGCACGAGTAGACGGTTCAAGGAAGTTCTGTCATTAAATCGTTTGCTAACAGCGCTGTCATTATAACATTGCAGGCCCGATATTGCCACGTACAACCACCATGGTCGGACAAGCGGCTGCAGCAGTACCTCCAACCCAGTCGGTACCAATTGAGCAGCAGAAAGCTGAAGTCGATTCGGCTGTATCGGACCAAATCAATGGCACTCCGTCCGAGCTCTCGAGTGCCGCAGCACAGGCAGCCTTGAAGATTCAGCAAAAGTACGACGAAGAACGTTCCAAAAGGATCAGACCCGACGGCGACGCCCAATATGTGGATCTTGCCGTCTCGGAACAATTTCAGCATTATCGCGAGGATCCCTGGCTCGACGAGCGGTCCGAGGCTGTCACTATCCGTGACGGCGAGCATATCAAGTATTTCATTCTGGGTGCAGGCTTTGGCGGCCTGGTATACGCCGTCAAACTTATCAGAAGCGGCATCCCGGCATCCGAGATTCGGATTGTCGATTCTGCTGGAGGATTCGGAGGAACGTGGTATTACAACAGATATCCAGGACTGATGTGCGACATCGAATCGTACTGCTATCTCCCACTGCTCGAGGAGATGAACTACATACCCAAACACAAGTACTCCTACGGGTACGAGATTCGGGAGTACATAAATAAGGTTGCAGAGAAATACGGACTATCCGACACGGCTATGTTCCGGACCAAGATCAATCGTCTCGTCTGGGACGAATCGGGCGATGAATGGAAAGTCAACATGACCAAGGAACGTACCTCGAACACTCCTCTCGATATCAACATCACTGCTCAGTTCGTCATCTCCACGTCTGGCCTTCTGCTGCATCCGAAGCTCCCTGCTATCGTGGGGATCGAAAACTTCAAGGGGACGTCGTTCCACACTTCTCGCTGGGATTACTCTGTTACCGGCGGTTCGCAAGAGAACCCAGTACTTGCTAAGCTTTCAGACAAGCGCGTCGGCATTATCGGGACAGGCGCCACGGCAATTCAAGCTGTGCCACATCTTGCCAAGTATGCCCGAAGCCTTACCATCTTCCAACGCACGCCGAGCTCAGTCGACGAACGTGGCCAACACCAGACCGAGGAGTCTACTTGGAGCTCCAAAGTTGCCACGAAGCCAGGCTGGTGGAAGGAACGCAATCTCAACCTAGCAGCCCATCTCTCTGCCGCAGTCGAGCCTGGCGAAATCGACCTCGTGGACGATCAATGGTCCAGGTGTCGTGCATACCGCGCCCTGATCGGCGGGCCCGACCCTCCATTCTCGATGGAGAGCATCCCTGCATTCGTTGCCTCGCTTTACGCCACAGACCTCCCCCGAGCGGAAAGAATCCGCCAACGAGTCGACGACACGGTCAAAAACAAGACCACCGCCCAAGCACTCAAGCACTGGTACGGCACCTGGTGCAAGCGACCGACATTCCACGACGACTACCTCCCCGTGTTCAACCAGCCCAACGTGCAACTCGTCGACACAAACGGCAAAGGCGTCGACAGCCTGACCGCCACCTCCGCCGTGGTCGGCCCCAATGAATACCCGCTCGACATTCTGATCTTCAGCACGGGATTCCGCTCGCCCGCGATCGGTAGTCCGGCCTTTCGCGCGGGGATGACCATCACGGGCCGCGCGGGTCGCGACATGGACGCCAAGTGGCGCGACAACGTCGCCACCTTGCACGGCACCCTGACACACGGTTTCCCCAACTTGTTCATGCCGGGCCCCTTCCAGGCCTGCGCGACGGGCAACGCCATCTTCACGCTCGACATCATGAGCAACCACGCCGTCGAGATCATCAGGCAGGCCCAGGCACGGTTTCCGGGCCAGAAGGTCGTGATCGAACCGACGGTCGAGGCCGAGGAGGAGTGGTCGACCGAGATCGCCAAGCGCAGTATGGCCTTCGCTGCCATGGCCGGGTGCACGCCAGGATATTTGAACGGCGAGGGGATCATGGACAGTTTACCAGTTGAGGTCAAGATGAAGGCCGCGCGCATGGGCATCTGGGGCGAAGGAATCGAAAGTTTTATGAACACGCTAGAGACTTGGGAGAGGGAGGGACGCCTGGAGGGTTTAACCGTCACGCCGGTGACTGATTGATCTCAGTAGGTGGGCAAGTACTTAAGTTAGTGAGTGCTAGTATAGATGACCACGCCGGGTCGGTATACTGTGCAAGTCGACTGAAATCGACTGCTGTGCCGTTGTCATCATTCCTTTAGGTTCCGTGAAACCACCATTGCGTTGCATTGTATACCAGTGTATAGCATTGCAATGAGTAGAGGTTATGCCACTGCTTGATACAAGACGAGCCTTATGTGACCCCAAGCTTGAACTGCACACGATTGTAAACACAGCGCGAAGAGGTCATTACACTACTATGTATTCTGCGTATATCCGGGGCCTGTGTCGAGATAGACGTGGATATGGATGTGGACGTAGACGTGGATACGGATGTAGACGTGGATATGGATGTAGACGTGGACGTGGATACAGTACTCAAGACCGGTACCGACCTCTCGTGTGTCGTGTACCCTACCATGCGAGCCTAGACTGAAGCGTACTTATGTACCAGAGGACTGACTGGTGTCTAGTCTCCGGTATTGTACGTCCAGCCTCAGCAGGGGACAGTCTCGTTCATGTATGTATGCCATGATGGGAGTGATCATGATTCCATCGTCTTTGATTTGCCCTCTTGCCCTTCTTGGCTCGCTCGATTGTGGTCCTCCGGGCCAGTCAACTTTTGTGTACTATATATACGTATATACGTACGTACGTGCAAGCGGTCCGTGGTCCTGTCCAGTCCAGTACAACTCTCTGCTCTTCTCTCTCGCATGCTGAGGCTCCTCTCTTCGCGAAAGTCTCTATTGGGACCCCGCGAATGCTCACAGCTGGCGGACGGGAAGTCGGAACCTGGCGAAGCTGTGCAGCGAACAAGTGCCCCCAAGATGGACATCTGTACATAGTGAGGGTCTTTCTCGAAATCCTGTCTCGAGCTCGCCATTGCTTAAATTCGTGACAATGGGAGAGCCGCTCTCAAGAGGTCCGCTACGTCCTGGAGGCTAGTCGACTCGTCGTCTCGGTAAGCACAAAGTGTCGTATCTGTCACAGTCTCTGTAGTGGCAGCGAGCCGATCGAGCTTTGCAAAGGCGAACGCATGCCATTCACTACCGTGGCGGTAGGCACCGTCCATGTTCGTCGATGTAGCGTGTGATGCTTGAGAATTCCAAGGTAGCGGGTTGTCAGGATGGAGTAGCCGTGACTCCTAAGCCTAAGACCACATATTCAGAGCCTTACGTAGGTTAAATATCATTGATGGAAAAGTGATGGGGACATCTGCTGGGTGAACAACAGGCGTGCAGAGCAGAGCTGAGGAACCTCGCGGTCAGCTGGCAGTCCAAGTGTCTTGATGTAATAGTTCTTACCAGACATTGTCGCGGCACATCATTTCTATCACATCCTTCAAAGAGAGCTCTTGCGTTTCTCAGTAGCATCCCGAATCGAGATCCGTCGCAGCCCACAACTCGTCCGGATTCGTAGCCTCGAAGCACAAGACTGTGCAGGTGAAGGGGAAGTTCAGCTCCGCAATCCCAGTTCGTGGCGGCACGTTATGAAAGAGCATGAATTCGGCATCGAGAAGAAAGATGGGTGTCTGTGTTCTACCTCCGTGTCAACACACGGTGTCAACACACGAAGTCCTGTCTGGAGCAGAGACGAACCTGATCAACTCCTGCTTCAGAATGAATTCCTCCCAGTCCACGTGCCTCAGTGCGAGATTGAGATCACTCGGGTGCCTCGCTTCTCCGGAGCCGATCTCTCTTGTAGCCTGCACTGTGATCAATCAATGACCCATGGGTCCGACGCATGCAACAGATTTACAAAGATGATCGATGAGAGGCGTGACCGCCGGATCCGCTTTCGTGACGCTTCTGAGCCTTCCCAATGCTGAAGGACACATATCAGTAGAGCAGCCCGTATCAAGTCTAGTCGGTCACGCAACGACATGACTCCGCCCTGGAAGTCAGGAGCCTCTGGATGCTCCGACAGTAACGGACGTTGGAAGATCAACTCTTCCGCGACGTCTAGCCAGCTTCTTGCTCCTGCCACGTCGGCTTCTTCATTTGACATGAAGGCGCGCGTCAGTGTGAAGGCGAAGATCGTTTTGGTGCCGGCCACGTTGATGTCAAAGGTGGCCTTGTGAACAGTTGGGCCACTGAAGTGCCATCGTTCCCAGTACATCTGCACAAACCGATCGAGATTCACGGGGTTGAAGAAATCAAGATCGGCATCAAGGGACAGAGTTTGACTCTCACACCGACTGCGGTCGCAGTAGACCCGTGCATCCTCGTGTTGTAACCTGGTCCACAGCTTCTTCGAAGGTGCAAACATAGGCTGCGATATCCAACGCATCATCTCAAACAGTTGGACCTTCTTTCCACTCGACCGTTCCGCAGATCGCTGCTCGCAATGAGCCATGCTTGGTGGAATGTCAGTCCCCAAGAACAGGCCACCAGCCAGTCAGCAGGCAGCCCGGGGCGTTGTCGGTACGTTATTCAGTTAAACGTCCCGTCGGGGCCAGGCGATGTGACAAAGTGGAAAAGGAAGTCGAACCGATGAATGGACATTGGTATATGCTCCTGCAACGGGTAGTTGGGATACCGGTCTGCAGATTGCCATGGCCAAGAGAGTACGGCCTGATGCTCTGACCAAAGAACTCTTGAGTGAACGCGTCGATCTGAGACACTCGGTTCAGATCAGCGGTAAGACACCCCGTACCTGAAATGCTGTTCCGTATATCTTGACCACCATTGTGTGAAAAGCTCGTTCCATAAGTGCATACGTGAGACTTAGCGATGCAGCTGCCGCACGGCATGCTCAGGTCACACGCCTGTTTGATTATCGAGCACTTATCGCAAGCCCTCTTCTTACGACCTGCACTCTTTTGAGCAGGGCTCGGCTGCTCGAGGCACTTCCTCGCCGGATATATTTTCCAATGCTTGCGCATTGCATTACTGAAGTCGTGAGACCTTGTTCTTGGGGTGCAGCCATTCTCTCACCTGCGTTTGAACATTGACGCACAAAAGGAACATTCGTAGGGTTTGTGGAAGGAGTCTGTCGTCCGTCTTCAGCTCAACACCAGCCAGTATCTTGCCAGGGTCTGCTTACGACTCTGACGGTGCCTTTTGAGGTGGCTGCCCCGAGAGAACGTGGAGTAGCATAACTGACACTGAAAGCTTTGCTCCATGGCGCTCAGCCTCTCTGCGTCAGAGGCTGTACACCAAAGCGTGCTTTGGCAATGACTTCTGCTGGATGTCTGGCTGATAACGATGGGATACCTCTGATCCTCGCCTCGATGGAGTATCTACCCCTTCTCCGGATTCTGGTCTCCCGATTCCGGGCCTGTGTGGGGGAGTATCAGTCGGCCTGGAATACCCGCATGCTCCAGCCCATCTTGGTAGCAGATGCTGCATGGCAGAAGGGTATTTGGGCCAGAGGTGGGAGGATGCAAAGTCAGACGCGACGCAAAATACCCTCCCACGCCCTCGCTTTCGGAAGAGCCCCCGTCAAGGACATCCTCGGGCGCACATGCCCTCCTGCTCAAGCTCCGGAGACTAAGCGCAGCTTCTTGGCCGGCGGCGATACTGGCTCGACGGCCGTAGTTGTCATTAATGATTGTCTGTGGGAGAAATAACCAGATGGAGGCCTGGCGGCATCATGCCAAATTTGCCGGACTTGCGGTGCACGTGACCTGGAGGCATAATTCGAGCACGTGACCGGCACCCATGTATTCCAGACTCGGACAGGAACCGTCCGTCAAAGACCGACGACATTGTGATCCTGGGGCAGTCCGACGCCGCAATATACCCTCTTCATATACCTTGCTGCTTCCATGCTTGAATCAAGGCGAAATGCTCGCATGCTGGAACCAAATTTGGCGGAAGCCTAGGAGATTTTGCCGCTCACAGTTGGAAGCAGACGAGACTACGTTCAATCTTCTCCGTTCGCATTCCTCGCCGAACAGCTATATAAATACCATAACATGCCTCTCTCGAGTTCTCCTTTTCGCGGGTGCCGACTCCGATTAACGCTTGGGGCTCGTGTCGCAGCGGCAAGACGCTGCCGACATCACGACTTCAGCTTTGTGTCTAAGTTTGAAAGAGGCCGAGCTTCTGATTGCAAGTCGTCCAACGAGATACGAGACGTTGCTCCTATTGTCTACCTCTCGCCACATTAATAATCCATGTCTGCAAGCTCCAACCTCATTCTTCGAATCATGCCATGAACCTCCGACACGAGGTTTAAGCCGACGATGGCAGGCGGCCAACACCGGGCGTAACGCTATGATCGCCCTTCCCATGATGCCACATCACAAAGAATCACTGCCACCAGGTTGGGTTTTCGCGAGCACGATCGCTACAAATGCAATAATTGCACCAACGTCCCAGGCGGCCGGAAATGGGATTGTGACGGGAAAGGTTATATCCTAGCTACCCGGGTGACCGATCATGTCATCTGTTTCTGGGACTCTACAGACGGAAGAGAACCTCCAGCAGAGACCAAGGCCGGTATCACTGGAAATAGATCCGCACGCGCTCAGAAAGCCATGGTTTCCCATCCCGCAGTTATTCTCGTCAGTCCCTGCAGGTTTCTCTGGATAACGCACGAATCATGACCTTGAAGTACAATATCGTGTTCATGAATGATTTCCTCGCCCAGACTGAGCAGGGTTAGGATGGGATCAAGGTGCCCCACGCGCCAAAAGGACTTGCTATAATGCATTGGCGAAGTTGGGAGACTCACCACTTATCTCCAGGAAATGGTGCAAGAGCCAGCGTCCATTCCAGGTGGCTTGACCAGCTGAGAAATGATGGCGAAGGTCTCCCCGGCCTTAGGCAGACCCGAGGTCGCAGCCTTGTGGTTGTCTCGCCTGTGCTAGCTGAAGGTAAGACACTGAATGACATTGTCGCACTCTGCGCGGCACGTCCATCTGGGATGGATCAATGCGCCTCGGTCATTTTCCCAAGGATTCGCAGGGCTTCCAAGCTCGTTCTTTCCAGAGCTCAAGGACCAGTGATTCGTACGATCTCCGGACGATGGATCGGCCGGCCCTGGTACGGGCTCTAACCCAGATGGGACACGTTACTGCACTCGCACATGCGCATGCATGGGCAAGGCCCCAAGCCTGCTCATGCTCCAGTGTTGGCACGCTATATGTATGGGCCTCACCGACCTCGTCCGGTACTGTGACTGTGACTGTCCCGCCTATGTCCTCATAAAAGACAGTCCCCGAGCAAAGTATGCATTTCCGGTTCCATGAACCGCTTCAACCTCGACGAAAGGGACTTGCTTGATGGCACGCAGCGCCTGCGACAGGCCCAGATCCCGCAAATCAGCACCACAACAACCACCACCGCCAATCTTGACCCTAGCCTACGCGCCCATGTCGACGCCCAGTACTTTGGCACACGCACGCTTTCAACATCACCACCTGCTCTCGCACTACAGCCTGCCCCCAACATCACGACTGTCAATACCAGTATTAGTTTCTACCCGAACATACAGAGTAGACCTCCGGTTCATGGCCACCAATACAGCCCCGAGGGATTAAGCTTGGACATCTTCCCGACGAGCCCGTACGAGGCCGCCGAAGTGGCCGCCAAGGAGGAGCGACGGCGACGGAACACGGCTGCGAGTGCGCGCTTTCGGCAGAAGAAAAAGCAAAAGGAAGAGGCCATGGAGAGCAGGATGGCGAATGTGCAGGGACGGAACGCCGAGCTCGAGGAACGGGTCCACCAGTTGGAGATGGAGAACAGGTGGCTCAAGGAATTGATCACGGAAAAGAACAAAAAGCCCGCAAGCAACTACGAGGGCGATCCGCACGACGAACATGAAGACGACCAGGAAGACGGCCCTCGGCGATTGCGCACTGGACGTGCTACTAATGGGAGGAGCGTGAGGAGCACGACAAGCCTGACGAGCGCGACAGATGACGGTGAATCGAGCCAGTGACGGTGGAACAAAGGCAATTGCAGGCAAGGGAACGGTAGGATATCATCAGGGACACCGGAGTACCGCCTAGGTGACGGGGTACCAGAACACAGGACGCACGGTACAGGGAATAGGGTATGGTGACTAGGGCCAGCTTTACTCGTATGCGAGACTTGGTGGGCTGTCCGCTTAATTACAGTAGGTTAGAGCGTCGTTCAACGCCCATCAACCCAGTGCCAATGCCTGTACCAGTGTCCGGGACGCCGATAAGTTGAGCATGAGCCAGGTACACGAAGGAGAGTACATTCTTCACCAAACCCCGGTGGCCGCCCTTGGAGCCGTCTCCCGTCTGCCGTCTGATTGCGAACGCACGCACTCATGCACGCTCTTATCCTGGATCCGCGTCCGAGCGGCCCAGATTTTGTAGATCGTCCAACCAGCCAGCACGCAAGCATATCACGCAAGCCAGGAAGCAAGCTTGTTCCCCAGCAGATTGGCTGCAGAGGATTACACGGCGATATCAAGGCTGCGGCTGCGGTGCTGCAGTTGATGCGTGGTGCTGACGATTGGAGTCGTCTGTGATCACGCAATATGGTGGGACAGCACGCCATTCTTGGTGTGACAGGGGCGGCAGCACGAAAAGGGGGCTGGCCTTGTGCGAGTGGGGGGTCTGAGGTGGGGGGTTCTTACTGTACTCCTGGACCACGCCGTACTTGGCTCCTTGGTACGAGTGCTCGTACTGGGTACTGTAGCTCCCTGTGGTAGCGGCTATCTGCTCGAGTGTCCGGACCACCGCTGCCCGGCTACTGTGCTCATCCTTCCAACTACCGGCTTTGCACGTGCTGCAGTACAAGCTACAAAGTACGTGTAGGCTTTCTGTACTCTGTGCTCCTATGCTGGCAGTGTCGCGTCATCATCTGCCTCTTCTGGCCGCCGAAACGGTCGCATAAGTACAGCACATTGTCGCAGCAGCAGAGGGCAAGCACGGCGACCAGGCACAATGTGGACGTCGTCGCTCCTCACCGTTGCTGCTGCCGTCACTGCGAGTCTTGCCCTAGATGTGCAACGACCTTTGGGGCCTGGTCAGGATGCTGTGCCTGGCTCTGGCTCTGACTCCAAATCACGACCGAATATCGTCTTCATCTTGACGGATGATCAAGACCTTCACATGAACTCTTTGGCCTACATGCCGTACGTGAAGAAGCATTTGATCGACGAGGGCACATTCTACCAGAGGCATTATTGCACGATAGCCCTGTGTTGCCCTTCGAGGGTGAGCTTGTGGACAGGAAGAGCCGCTCACAACACGAATGTGACGGATGTGAATCCTCCGTATGGTAAGTTGCGTTCCTCGTCATCTGACATCCCCATGGTGCCTCTCGGTCCGATCTAAGGTATCTGTTTCCCTAACTCTAGCACGGAATTCCTGATATCGGCTCTAGGTGGCTATCCTAAGTTTGTCAGCCAGGGATTCAACGAGGCGTGGCTCCCAGTATGGCTCCAGGACATCGGATACAACACCTACTATACCGGCAAGTTGTTCAACGCTCATAGCTTGAGTACCTACGACTCCCCGTTCGTTGAGGGATTCACTGGCTCTGATTTCCTTCTCGATCCACACACCTATGAGTATCTGAATGCCACTTTCCAGCGGAACCGAGAACCTCCCGTCAGCCATGAAGGCGAGTATTCCACCGACGTCCTAGCGAACAAGGCGTACGGCTTCCTCGAAGACGCAGTCGCTGAGCGAAAGCCCTTCTTTCTGACCATCGCACCGAACGCTCCCCACAGTAACGTCAAGTTCCTGGAAGACTGGTTCAACGGCTCGGGCTCCGCACACACTATCTTCACGACTCCGCCTATCCCGGCTGACAGGCACAAGGGCCTGTTCGAAGACGCTGTGGTCCCGCGTACTCCAGGCTTCAATCCCGACGAGGTGAGTTCTCCAGCGGCATAGGAGACACAACTAATTCTGAAGCAGCCTCATGGGGTGTCCTGGATCAGCGACCTGCCCCAACAGAACCAGACCAATCTCGACTTCAATGACGGGTTCTATCGAGACCGGCTACGAGCTCTTCAGGCCGTCGACGAGATTGTCGACGGTGTCGTTGCTCGGTTGACCGAACATGAGATCCTGGATAACACGTACATTTTCTATTCCAGCGACAACGGATATCACATCGGCCAGCACCGGCTTCAACCAGGCAAAGAATGTGGGTTCGAAGAGGACATCAACGTCCCACTGGTGGTGCGCGGGCCGGGCGTCGCTAAGGGCAAAGTCAGCGACATTGTGACCTCCCACACTGATCTGGCACCGACATTCCTGACCCTGACGGGCGGAGAGATACGATCTGATTTTGACGGTGTGGCCATCCCTGTGACATCGGACCAATTTGACGCTGCTACCAACGTCCGGGGGGAGCACGTCAACATCGAATACTGGGGCTTCGCACTCGCCGAGGGCCAGTACGGCAAAGCCATGTACTGGAACAACACGTACAAGGGCCTGCGGGTGATCGGCGACACCTACAACCTGTACTATAGCGTCTGGTGCAGTGGGGAGCATGAACTGTACGATCTGAATGTAAGTGTGTCTGTGTGTCTGTGTGTCTGTGTGTCTGTGTGTCTGTGTGTCTGTGATCTTCCCTCCGTTGTCAGTTCAGGGCTGACGATAGTTGCACCCAGCATGACCTTTACGAGACGTACAACCTCTACACCACCAATCATTCCTCCGCCTTCACTTTCCCTCCTTCGACATCTGGAGAGCAACCCCGACATGTCACGCTGCAGCAGTTACTCTCTCGGCTCGATTCCCTCGTCATGGTGCTCAAGACGTGCAAGGCCCGGAGCTGTACCCATCCCTGGGAAGTCCTGCATCCCGCGGGCGACGTGTATGACCTGCACGACGCTCTCAGCGCGCGGTACGACGACTTCTACGAGTTCCAGCAGGAGAGGGTGCGCTATGAAAGGTGCGAGAAGGGGTATATCCTCGAGAGTGAGGGGCCTCGTCACGTCAAGGCGTACTCGCATACGGCCGACGGAATCGGCATCAGGGGAGGAGCGCAGTGGAGCGAACTGGTGTAGCAAGAGGTACGAGTAGGGAGGGGGTTTAAATATCGTGATCTGGAAAACCCACGCCATATAAGACCAATGTCGACACTGGTCCGGCGGCAATGTCTCGTCTAAAACGAGATCAATTGCTTGCTCGTAGTGGTTTCTATCCTTCTCGAAACCTCGTCCCAAGACGATCGTGACCATAGCATGTGGAATGTGCAGTCTGTATGTCGCAGATCCTGCCACGCCACACCGGGCTCTGGCAGTGATCGGCCGTGGCAATACGTAGCGTACGAGGGAGCGGGCATTGAAAAAGGGCCAGAGGGGACAGGTCGGGGCACATCCCTGTGTCCCTAACTGCTAATTAGGTCGGGGCCGCATTGCCTTGTGTGGGCGCCACCAACGTGATGCCTCGTACGTGCTCAACGGGTCAACTTGCGTGATCAGGTACCGGTCCTTAGAGGATGGGGGATAGAGGATAGAGGATCCACGGCGGTGAGCGCCACTTGCCCCCCCGTCATGGCGCTTTGCCGGCTTGGGCATCTTAACTTTCCCACCGCGAGTCACTTACTGTAGCGTGTATACCCAGTACAGCACCTGCCCTTTCGATCCCGCTGTTGACCGAGATAGATGTGCTTTGGCTTGAGCCTCTTGTCCGATGGAAATGCCCTGACTTGGTCGAATGTTCGATTGCCATGGCCGATGTGGCCGTCGACGAGAGAAGTGCCCTGCTGCCGGGCGACCACACAGGGGCTTCTTCGGACGACTTGGAGCGACGGCAATCTTACAGCACCTCGTTGAGACGCATCTCCTCTGCGAACTTGCCGCCGTATCACGAGGACCACGCCCCGACCAGTGACGAGCCGTCTTCGGCGCTGACCATCTGGACCGTCGTGCCGGTGTCTCTGCTCGGCGTCTTCGTCGCCAATCTCGACGGCAGTCTGATCATCGCCTCGAGCCAGCAGATCGCGTCCGAGTTCAATGCCCTGTCGAACGCCTCGTGGCTGGTCACCAGCTTTGTGCTTGCCCTCTGTGCTAGCCAACCGCTGGTGAGGATGAGGACCACAACACCGCTCATGTCCTCGGTGCTAATCGTTGCAATAGTATGGCAAGCTAAGCGACATCTTTGGCCGACGGAGCAACCTGACGGTATCGTACGTCTTCTTTGCAGCTGGATGTTTTCTCTGGTAAGGCCACCGTCTCTCTGACACGCTCTTATACACATTTGCTCAAGGCTTGCAGTGGCGTTGGTCAGCAGTACTGGCAAGTCATCGCGGGGCGCGCCATCTCCGGCGTCGGTGGAGCGGGCATGACGGCCTTGGTATCTATCATTATCGCTGGTAAGTTAGTTGCATAACACGACGGGCGTCCACGACTGTTGGCTGATAACCCATATCCTCTAGACGTCGTCCCCGTGAGGCAAGTCGCAAGCTGGAGGAGCTATGTCAACATCGCGGCCACGACGGGGAGAGCCTTAGGTGGCCCTCTCGGAGGTGTCTTGTGCGACACCATCGGCTGGCGCTGGTGCTTCTACGGTCAAGTGCCACCCACGATCATCGGCCTTCTCCTGATTCTCTGGAAGTTACCCACCAGGACCGCGAAGACGAGCAAGCCCGACAACGACGACGACGACGACGACGACGAGGAAAATGAGGTCTCTTTCAGGCAGAAGCTCGCGAGAGTGGACGTGCCGGGGGCTCTTGTGCTGATGGTCTCCATCGTCAGCTTTCTGCTCGCGCTGGAGTTCGTGACCGAGGAGCTCCTACTCGTGTACTGCGTGATTCTGGGCGTGGTCTCGCTCCTGAGTCTCGCTCTGTTCTACCGCATCGAGAAGCGATGGGCCAAAGAACCCATCCTGCCGATCGAGCTCTTCACCAACCCGGACACGCTGACGGCATACGTCCTCGTCGGGGTCCAAATGGCCGGCCAATTCGGCCTCTTCTACTCGGTCCCCATCTACTTCCAGATCATCTCCGGCACCAACGTCGGCCAGGCCGGCCTGCGGCTCGTGCCCTCGGTGGTCGGCAACGCCACGGCGGGACTGTTAGCAGGATACATGATCTCCCGAACGGCCCGCTACAAGGTCCTGACTGTGCTAGGCAACTGCGCGGGGTGGGTGGGATACTTCTTGGTCCTGCTGCGCTGGGGACGAACCGGCGCCGCCGCCATCCACCCGGCCGAAACCCTCTACATCTTCCTGGGCGGGTTCGCGACGGGCACGGACCAGTCCACCACGTTCATCCACCTGGCCGCCAATCTGGACGCCAGCAAGATGGCTGTCGCCGGCACAACGCTGTATCTGATTCAGAATCTGTTCCTCCTCATCGGCATTCAACTGGCCACGGCAATCCTGCAAGCCAGGCTGAGGATCAGACTTGACAAGGGCCTAGACGGCGTGAAGCACAAGAAGAAGGTTTGTACGCTACATCTCTTATCCGGTTTCGTTATGCCCTGGGTTCTATTTGTCCTAGGTAAAGCAGGAAAAGAAGATATCGTATTATACCTCTATGTTTTGCGTACTGCCTGCCTGCCTGCCTGCCTGCCTGCCTGCATTCTGACCGGGCTCTCTGACCTGACCATCTCATCTCATCTCAGATCATCGAGTCGGCCATCTCGAGCGTTCGATCCATCCGCACACTTCCCCCACGGATAAGAGACGTCGTCATCGGCGCCTACCTCGACGGCTTGGTCTGTACGTTCGGTAAGTGCCAGTCTCGAGATCTAGACACCCCTCGTGATGCAATCATCAGATTGTGTCGTCGGGACCACACATATAACTATGCGCAAAGAGATCTATGATTCACTCACTAACGGCGACTCGTGGTCCGGGCAGCTATGTCTCTGGGGTTTGCTACGTTGGGCGTCATAGCCGCGCTGCTTTTACGGGAACGAAAGCTGTGAGGGAGGGTGGAACAGAAGGTGAAAGGGAGAGATGAGTCGGTTGGAATTGATGAATCGAAGGGGACTGAGATGGACTGGACTGGACTGGACTGATATGAAGTGAACTGAACAGACAGGACCTGAACAGACAGGATCTGAACAGACAGGATCTGAACAGACAGGATCTGAACAGACAGGACCTGAACAGACAGGACCTGAAATGGACTGGAGTGGATGGGCTTCGGGGTGGTCAATAAATGAACAAGTGAAGGGCTAAGACACTAATACATACCATACATACATACGTACCATGCATACTATACATGCATACATACACATGCATACATATACTGTAGGTAGGAGGTAGAGGAAGTACCGCGGTATCAGGTATTAGGTATCAGGTGCATTCCGTGGATCCCGATTAATATGTCGAGTGAGATGAGTCCGACATCATGTTCATATCCATCATGTTGAAATGCATTACATAGCATTGCCTTACCTTGCCTTGTCTATATACGGATGAATAATAAGTCGCCGTGAGGGGAAGCGATTCCACGATACTTAAACCCAAGTTAAAAATCCATGGTACTCCGTACTGTATAATGATCGATGGCGGGGAGATGAGACAGGCACATGGACGAGACAAGACAAAACGTCCATGTCAAATCAAATCGAGGCAAGTGACACGACACGCCATGACATGGCATGATATTGCATACACGGCATGATACAGTATACAGCAGTATGAGGCGAGGAAGCGTCAATCATAGTCATATTCATAGTAATTGTCAAGCCCAGTCGTATTCATCATGATTCTATACTGCTTTTGCAGTGCTCACCTCTCCCGCTCTACTCTACTCTAGTGTACTTGGACTCTGGAATCTCCATACATTCATGTCCTGACCTCCTCGCCGGTCTATCTCTATCTCTCCCTTTCCCCTCTCTACTGATGCCGCCCCTTGAGCAGGATGAACAACGCACCCTCCCGCTCAAGCCGACAACCTGATCACCCTGACAGTGTAAATGTATATGATACTGTAAGATCTAGCTGGCATAACAGTGCATGCTTGACGTCGAGCTTGTCTCCCAGTGAATGCGTACCTCCGCTCAATGAGCGAACCGGAAATCCAACCGCTTATTCCCCTTGTCGGGCGTCGTCTTCAGATACTCGACCCTCTCCTCCCTCGACATGCCATACCAAATGGCATCGCGCTTCGCATTTTTGCGTACGTAGTAGATCTTGGCGCCGATAAAAGTAACGGTGTTCCACGCCACAATGCCCAGCAGGACTTTATTCCCACGGTAGTAGTAGGGCTTGTCGTCATTGCGGTAGATCTGGGACGAGATGATATTCGACGTCTGCACCGCCATGTTGTACAGCGAGGAGCCGACGGTGCGGGTACGCACGGAGCCGGCATTGCGGGACGTGAGCCCCACGAGGATGGCGTGCACGTACGGGTAGCCGACGAGCATGGTGGAAAGGACCCATTTGGACCAATTCGAGTTGTGGAACTGCGGCGGCAGGGTGACCAGGGCGACGAGCAGCGGGAGACACCACATCTGGCAGATGACCCCCAGCAGCAGGCGCGAGTTCCACCGCTCCGACACCCACGTCCAGAAGAGGAGTTGGCAGATGAACAGCGTGTACGCCGGGATCGTGAGCAGGTTGGTCTCGAATGTGTCAAAGCCAAGGGCTTTGCAGGTGAGGGTGATGTATGATTGTGGGGGTGTTGCTGGGATCGTCCACCCCAGGCCGATCAGGTAGATGGGCCACATGTCGTAGTCGGTCAGGGCTTCTTTGAAGAGCGTCCAGCTGAGACCCTGGCGGTTGTGCATGTCCGATTTGCCGGGATCGTCGCGCAGGATCCGTGTGACCATGATGGTCTCTTCGCGCTCGGTGAACCAGCCGTTTCGGGGCCGCAGGAGGCCTTTGAGGCCGTGGCGCGACGTTTGCGTCGGTGAGGCCGGGAGATATAGCCAGGTGAGAATGCCGATCAGGCCCGTAAGACCGCCTTCGATGGCGAACAGGTAGCGCCAGCCTGCCGATTTCGATTAGCATGCATAGGTTTAGTGGAGATCTAGGAGGCAATATGCGAACTTACCCTCCATCCCGTGGTGGCCTCTCAAATGGAGGATGCCGTACGCCAGGAACGCTCCAACAATCTGGGTGGATTGATAGGACGTCCAGAACCAGCTGAGCCGCTTGGGGAGTTCGCCGTTGGTGAAGAAATAGCTGAGGTACAGGATGGTGTCGGGGATGAAGCCACCTTCGATGAAGCCCAGCAGGAACCGGCAGACATAAAAGCTGGTTTTCCCCGACAAGGCAGCCTGGGATGCGGCGACTGCGCTCCAGCAGACCATTTGGATGGGAATCCAAATGTCCGGCCCCACTTTCTTGCTGATGAGCTGTGATGGGAGCTCGGCAAACAGGAACGAACAGTAAAAGATTGTCATGCCATTATTGTAGTCGTTGGTGTCCATGCCAAGGTCACCTGTGCAAGTGTCAACATCTTGGAAAGCTTGTCAACGGGACAAGCACATACTAAGCATATTGTCAGACAGAGCTTGTGTGATATTGCCTCGGTCAAGTTGCAGGGCGAAGAACATGATGCAAGCAGGAAGTGCGATCAGCCAGTCAAGCTGTCGAAATGGTCAGCCGTGGTCAGGGCTGATATATTGACTACCGCAACACATACTCTTCGAACCAATCTCTTTTCCTCTGCCGGTTCCCATGTGGCCGAAGGGTCAAACCGGTGCGAGCCTTCGAATTTGGCGGTCGGCTTGTAGATTTCTACGGCCTCGGGGGCCTCGAAAACGTTGTTGACGTTCCTGACGAGGCTATCACCGTCCTTTGAAGACGTCTCCGAGTCTGGTTCGATATCCACATCGACAGAGACGTGGCTCTGGTCTTGACCACCAAACTTCCACCACCGGCGTGGTTTCAGCCTTCGTGGAGATTCATGGATGCTCTCAACTGGGGATTCAATCATCCCGGATTCGATCGACTTCTCCATTGATGCTTGCCGAAGCTTGGAAATTTGGCGAAGGTTGGCGCTGAAGCACTTCGCGGAACCAAGGATGACGGTATATATAGAGTGCGGCCACGTTTTTTTCCTGCCAAGTTTGCTTGAATCGGAGTATCTCCTGTGGCCTGGGTGTTTAGCGAGATGCGCGTGGTCGTGACAAGTTCTAGCCAACAACCAAGCCAGCTACCGTGACTTGTTCCGAGGCCGATGCCAGATCAAGCTGACTGGGTGTTTGCTCAACTTGTGGGCAGATTGCGTGATCGAGGATTTGAGAGAACATATACTGCCCAGACGGCCGACGGAGTTTCTCCAGACAGTGACATGGTCAACGAACCGCCGACGACGACGCCGCCTCAATGGCCGGTCATACCCGACCGAGCAGGCTAGACTTAGAATCCCATGCGCATCAGTTTGAAGTGGTTCGCTCTCCCTGTTGAGACCCTGCGAACCAGCAGCCCGTGCCCAGCCTCTCAATGCTGATGTGCATCGGGTGGGGCGGGGTCGGTCATGACATCGGTGCTAGGAATTATCGTCGACCAAGTACCATCGTGCAGGCCGTGCTGTGCAATGGGTACAGAAGCACTGCTAATGGAGCGCGAGTGCTGATCGACTTCCACATGTCCTGCTAGCTAAATCTAGTGGAAGGAGCAATGTTGTGGGGATATATCCTGTCGGGTCGATACCATTGGCGGATAAGCACTGCAGGGCGGTTTAGAAACCGCAACCGAAATCTTCGAGAGAAGCACGCCATCTGGATCATTAATTCGACATACATGCTCTTCCACACTGGGAAGGACATTTGTGAACAGGGCCACAGGATGCTCTCGGTCTTATCAGGGAACAAACACGATCCATTTTTATTGGTATTTGATCCTCGCAGGCATGTGTTGAAGATGTCGCCAAGTTGTTCGCGTATGGTGAAAGCCACCGTGCCGCGGGCGAAGGCGGGGAATGCGCCGAATTGGTCCTTGGGGTAGTTGTCAGCATTGGAAGTCTGCGCGACAGGCGTCGACAGGGGTCGCTGTCGTCGCCATCATTGGAGATCTGGACTGGACGCCATGAGTAACAAAAGCTGGAGGATTCACTGGAGTCTTAAGTCACTCGGCCGAGGTCAATGTGAAAGCATTGTAAGCGCCAAGCCTCACGTGATTTGTATGCAACGAGGCAGGTCTCCCGAGGCACGTCTAAATCTGGAAGGTTGACCGGTTCCAACACCAAGCGTTCGTTTTTACCACCATCGCCATTTATACCTGGAATGGTGTCAGTTTAGAGAAGTCTTCTATCCGAGTCTCAGCTAGAAGACATGCGCACACCGGCCCCGCATATGGCGGTATCGAGACTCTTTAGCACCGAAAACCAGCATTGCTCAAGAAATGCACGCATGGCATCATCTCCAGATGTTGCGATACGTCTCCTGATAGAAGGCAGAGCACCCAACGCGAGTATATATATATGCTGGTGACTCGACCTCGGACGTCGGAAATCATCGAGGTGAGCAAGCAAGTTGATATTCTCATAGTTTCCCCTGTTTCTTCACAAAATGGCACCCTCTGCTGTACACGTGGACGCTCCTCGAGACATTGGTATCGTACAGAAGACCCTGTTCGGAAGAGAGCCTCTCAAGGCGTCCAAGTCTCTCGACCAGTTCACATCCATCGACATCACCCCAGTCATAGGCACCGAGTTCCCTGAGGCCGACCTCGTGGAATGGATCAACTCCCCAAATGCTGATGAGCTTCTCAGGGACCTCGCGATCAAGAGTAAGCCCGTCCGAGCCTATTGTCAGGGGCGTCCTGTCATACTGATCTGCATGCCCAGTCTCCGAGCGGGGGGTGGTCTTCTTCAGAAAGCAGAACAATCTCACCAACGATATCCAGAAACAGCTGATCCAAAGACTTGGGGAGTTGACCGGAAAGCCGGAGACCTCCAAGCTTCATATTCATCCGATCCTGAACTCGGAGAGGGAGCTGGGCGGTAGTGACCCGGAAATCAGCACCATCAGTTCCGTCCAGCACGACAAACTCTACAAGAAGACGCCCTATGACCAAAGCCAGCGAATTCAGAGCAGCGCACAGTGGCATGCAGACATCTCATTTGAGCCTGTCCCCGCCGACTATACCTCCCTTCGTCTGACCGAGTTGCCACGCACCGGTGGAGGTATGTCAGAGCCACTTCGCGCCGCGATGGGGCACACAAAATCACTGACACGTACAGATACCCTATGGGCCTCCGGGTACGAACTGTATGATCGGATCAGCGAGCCCTACCAAAAGTTCCTCGAGTCCCTGACCGCCACGTTCGCGCAGCCAGCGTTCAACCACGTCGCCGAGAAGGGTGGTTTCGAGCTGTACACCAAAGAGAGAGGAGCACCGGAGAACGTCGGATCCGAGTTGAAGGCGATTCATCCCGTGGTTCGGACAAACCCGGTGACGGGTTGGAAGAGCATCTTCCCCGTTGGTGGCCACGTGCGCCATATCAATGGACTGACCGAGGACGAGAGCAAGAAGCTGCTCGACTGGTTCTTGGAACTGGTGCACAAGAATCACGACCTCCAGGTGCGGTTCAAGTGGCAGAATGAAAATGACATTGGTGAGTCGACGACAATCCCGGTCTTTCTTTTTGACTGAGTCGCGCGTATCCCTAACATGCACTACTAGCGATTTGGGACAACCGCAGCGTCTTTCATACGGCCACGTACGACTATCAAGGCGAGGGAGCTCGCTTCGGAAACAGGGCAGTAGGTTTAGGCGAGAAGCCATACTTTGACCCCAACAGCAAATCCCGGCGGGAGGCGTTGGGAAAGCTCGTGAACTAGAAGCACATCAATTGCTCGCCAATCCCCATTGGCCATACCCGACCCTGCCATTCTGACGACAGAAATTTAGCATGGAAAGCAAAGCATTGGCCGGCGTGTTTGCCCAAGCTTCCCCCAGCGTGCACTGTGCTGCGTCCACTCCCGTGAACAGCCGAAAGGTCCTCAGTAGTCTCCCAAGGATAACAGCTCCCAGTGTACGAGTGAAGGGTGTTGGAATGCATCGCACCGCGAGCAATTCTAGGTAGTTATTTCGTCTGCTGAATATATATATACAAAGTATGCAACGTAGGCCCAGGACGGTGGAGCAGATCTGCTTGGGACTAGTGTTCAGCCTGTTACATTTACTATGTATTACAGGATAGATATATATGGACGGAGCCAATATTAAGGAGGAACTGCTTTCAGGCGCTCAGTCCTTCCCCTCGTATTTCCGGAGCTGTTGAGCAACTGCACACATACTTCCGGGCCACCAGCCGGTGGTTTGTGCTACTGGCGAGCCCGACTTAATGCCGGGAGATTCGGCGATAGAGGTGGTGAACCATGGCAAGAGGTTGACAATGTCTGGAACACCGAACGCTGCCATGAAGAACGATTCCCCTTCGATAAGGATCGTGAAGACCAACCAATGTGCCCAGATGTCCCATGCCAAGAGCTGAATTTCGCGATCAATGTCCGGCATGGCAGCTTGACCACGCCGGTCTGCTTCACATTCCGTTAGAGGCGGCAGAGGCTTCATCAGAAGCTGGAAGTACTCGTCTGGCGTACGATTCACCCACGAGAAAATCGTTCGGCAGGCTGGTAGAGCCGGGTCGTAGATCGGTGCACTAGAGTATCGTTTCAACCACGGCAATGCGGAGTCTTCAAAAGAAGGTTCAATAAAGACCCGGACGTTTGGACACCTTTCCTCTACCTCGGATCCAGGGTTAAAAATGACGTTGACCATGTTCAGCAAAAGATCAACGGCCATAAAGCAGGCAGAAAGTGACAGACTCCGACTCAGCTGCTCATTGGATTTCTCGAGGTCAAGCGGAGGATTCTTTCGATGAAGGTCCCGCATCAGTTGACTGACCCTCTCGGTCTTTTGCTGAAGTGCTTCCAACGCCACGACTCGGGTAGAGGAGATGACAGGAAATAGTGGGTGCTTGCTTGCGATACGGCATTGGAATCCGTTCCAAGCACAAGATCGGTCCATCGGCTCAGCCAACTTTGTAAGAACATGTGACGATACCAAGGGAGGTATCTTTTGTGACCGGTCACAGCACGCTGCATCGTTGATACAGACGGATCCACTTGTCCAGCATGCTCTTCCAGTCGTTGTTATGCCGCGGAGGATGATTATCCACTCCAGGCTACTTATGTGTTCTGCGTGCGTATCGACTCCCGATCTGGGCGTGGGTGGGTCGACGTCGTTAAGCAGATATGCTACTCTTCTCCTCGCCAAGGCGTAGGGAAAAAGCAGCATGGTATGCGCGTGGGCTTCCGCAAGGTCCCTCGGATGGTTCGTTGCCAACTGGCGTTGAACGGCCTGCATGCCCATCCTATGATAGCGGTCACCGGCGCTGATGAGCTCAACTAGGTCGTCGACTTGACCGCACGAGCCTTCCCCTGACAAGATGTCTATACATAGACATGTGGCGCCAAGAGCCATGATGGAATATAAGATGCCCTGATTATCGGCTGCTAGCTGTGGGATTCCGACCTGCTTCGCGTACGCCACGTCAGGAATGACCTCCAGGTCGCGGCACGTGTGGTCCATGTAATGGTCGAAGAGAAAGAGGTCCTTCATGATGGCCATTGTGCTTGCGGACACAGAATCCGACGCTTGGCCAAAATCTACGAGGCCTGTTGCCTCGTGATAGATCTCATCCACAGGAAAATCCTCTTGTCTGGCCTCGACGGAGGCTGGCGTTTGGTCCGCAGATGAAAGCGTTAGTGGTGGAGTAATCTGCGAGAGACTGGTCGGTCCTTCAGATACCTCAGCGGCGGAAATCGACACTGAAACCGGGTCTGTGTCCGAAAGAGCCTCATGCTCCTGAGCTTGGGTGAAATATTCGCACGGTTGATCCCGATTGACACACCGAAGGCACGCGGGCTTTGTTTCGTCGCACTAGGAGATAGCAATCAGTCAGTTTGGTCCTCGATAACTGAGCCAGCTGCGTGCCAGTCGACCTACTTTAATTCTTCGTCTTCGGCAGTATCTGCATCCATTTCGAGACTTTTTATGAGGTCTTCGTGGTTTGAACGCTCGGGGTACCTGCACGGTATCCATACTGTCGCTTTCGAGGAGGTGTGTGATGGGGCGCTGAGGTCTGTCCGTTTGGCAGTCGACATATGAGCTCCTGTTGAGAACATCATTCTGTCTGTTAATACCGCGAACGTGCAAGGCCGCCGACCCTAATGCGGGAGGCTTAGACGGCTACTTAGTTAAGCTCAGTAGTCATCGCGAAGTCGCCCAGCACTATGACCTACTGTAGCGTACCGGGCTGCAAGAAAGTACTTCGGCAATGGCCAGGGACCACTCTTACCCGAGTCATTGGGGATGGCTCTTCCAAATCATGCACCCCCTTCTGGTAAGCTTTGCAAACATAGAGGCGGTGCTCTACAGGTTGTCGACAAATCGCCATGTGGAATGATCCGGGTAGAGCGAGGCATGGACATCCGAGAAAATACGGGGTTGCAATCTTGCGAGCTGACTCGGCGTCCAAGACTTTGATGGGATGCCTGAAAAATTGATTTGAGTTCCACTGAAGTGAAGGCACCCATCGTCAAAGCTCGGTCTTAGCTCTAGAGGCCGACATACGAGGCTATGTCCGGTGCAGCCGCAGCCACTTGTCGAATCGATACTGGTCACTTGCCGTTATCATTCATATTTCCCTGGTGGGTGAACATGGAGACAAGAACCAGAAGTGAAAGCCTGATTACTCTGCCAAGTAGTTCCACGTGACCTTTCACGTGACTACGTCTAACCGAACCCCGCTCTACTGCGTACTGGTGTAGGAGTACGAGGTAGGAGAAGCTGCCGGGTGGCAACACCGGAGTAGTTAATACCTGCTCTTCACCCTAGATTACTCTATTGAAAGGAGAGATGAAGATCATCCCACTGGTAAGGGACCTTTCGGCGCCTACCGTGATTTATCAGCCCTTGTTCCGCACACGCCAATCGCAAGGCCAAGATGCACGCCCTTCAGTCAATGCCTTCGGAAGCCGTATCCGATGACGACACGAGGGGCCAAGATACGCGGAGAGGGTAGCACATTTATAGAAATACTTTGAAGCCAGCGGCCAGGAGATATCGAAATTGAAAGGCATATAGGGCTGCCTCGTATCCGTCCTGAGCAAGAAGACATGGACATCAAGGCAAAGGTAGAGTGTCACTGCGGGTTGACGTCCTTCTCGGTCTCAATCCCGTCTTCATCATTTCCGTTGAAGGCGTCTATATGTCACTGCCACTCCTGCCGGCATAGCTCCGGACAGATCTTTACGACCTGGGCAGTGATGCCTGTGCCCCTGCCGACAAGCATATCGGAGAGCGGCAACATGGTGAAATACCTAGTCTCGACATGCGAGCGTTGGTCATGTAAACGATGTGGTGCAAGCGTCATCAATGTGGACAAGGCAAGCGACCCGCAAGAGTGGGAAGTGGCTACTGGGGCACTCAATTTTGATGATGCCAAAGGACTCGAAGGAAAGCTGGATCGCGTCCAACTCTGGGTAGCAGATGTCAAGGGCGACGGAGGTGCAGTGGGCTGGATCAACAAGGGCAGACTGAAAGGTATGGACAGGCGCTGGCAATCGCGAGGGAGTGACGTGGTCAGTGATGAGACTGTCAAAGAACTTATGACACCACAAGCAAGAGTTGCGGGAGATGACGACGAACGGCTCCCGGTGCAATGTCGTTGTCAGAGTGTCCAGCTCGAGATCAAGAGACCAGACAAAAACTACAACGGCGGGACTGGGAAATTCGCCGCGTGCCTCGATACTTGCCATTCCTGTCGGACTGTCACAGGGTTTGAGATCACCTGCTGGACCGTTGTGCCTAAAGATTGCATTATCATCGCACCGAATCTGGACGCCTTCTTGGAGGACAGGTCGAAGCTTGGACACTATCAGTCAAGCTCAAATACAAGCCGGTATTTCTGTGTGAAATGTGGTGCGGCTGTATTCTACCATAGGCATGGTGCGCAGACGCTTGGTGTCGGCACAGGGCTTTTGGAGTCCAAAATCGAAGGGGCTGTGCGAGTCGAGGCGTGGCTTGATTGGCAGAAAGTGTCGAAAGAGCTTTGGGGCGACGAGTCCTCCTGGTCGCCACATCTTGTCTGGTTTCAGGAAGATGCAGTGGATGCTCACTTTGTCAGTGAGGTCGCGGAAGGGATGAGATTGTGGGAGAAGGAGAGAGGAGGCTGAAAGGGATATTAATTGGCTTATTCAGTGTGGTATCAGTGTAGTTACATGTACGTGATGTACAGAATCCGGGCTTGTGGACGAGCTTAGCTGGAGAATCTCTTCTCAGCAGCCTTCCAGTTGACGACATCCCAGATAGCAGAGAAGTACTCAGCCTTGCGGTTCTGATATTGGAGGTAGTACTAGAGAGACGTCAGCATGCGGCCGAGCGGAACTCGTCAGCGTCCTTACGGCATGTTCCCACGCATCGATACCCAGCAGGGGCTTGTACCGGCCAACCACAGGATCCTGGTTGGCATATGTCTGAATCGCAATGTTCCCAGTCTGGCTATCCTTGACCAGCCAGGCCCAACCGGAGCCTTGGATGCCGGCAAGAGCAGCATTGAATTTCTTCTTGAGCTCCTCCAAGCCGCCGTAGGTAGTGTCGATTGCCTTGGCCAGTTCGCCGGAAGGTGGTTCACCGCCGCCCGAGTTCTTGGGAGCAAGGTTCTCCCAGAAAAGGGTGTGATTGATGTGGCCACCGCCGTGGAAGTTAATGGCTGCTTGGAGGGAAATCTTGGTGGCAATGTCATCGCTAGCTTCGGCGGCAGCATACTGGTCGGCAGCAGCATTGTAGCTGTTCACGTAGGTCTGATGGTGCTTGCTGTGGTGCAGCTCCATGATCTTGCCCGAGATGGCTGGCTCGAGGGCGCCGTAGTCGTCTAGTTGATGCACAAGTCAGTCCTGATTACCCCAGGTACCTCACGAACATATCACGTACAGCTCAGATCAGGAAGAGTGGCCTTCATCCGCACGAAGGTCTTGTCGGCAGTGGTCATGCATCGTGCGGGATTGGTTGCTGCAACAGCTCTGAGAGTCGACGGGCGAGCGACGGAGCGGAACAGGGATGCCATGGTGACTGTGCGTGAGTATGTAGCTGTAGTTGTCGTTCTACTTGGCAAGGAGGTGAGCTGTGGTGTGGTGTGGTGTGGTGTCTGTGTTGGGGGTGCTGGGTGTTTATCGAGATGGAGCTGCCGGTTACATCATACGCGGCCGGCACCGGACATGATATCCACCACCTCGCACCATCTTCGGCGACCCAGGACCCTTTGGTCCGCGGGCTCAATACCAGATCGATGATCTCCAAGACTGGCAGTCTCTCTCCTGCAGCACACGCACCATGAGCGATTCCTCGGACGACGATCAGCCCTTCAACCTCCGCGATTACGATGATGAAGACACGGACGATGAGCGACCTAACAAGAGAAGAAAAACCACCTCGAGGACTCTGCGCGGCCGTGGACTTGGATTCGTCAAGTCAACCGGCGCTGAAGAAGATGTTGATGGACAGGGTGAAGAAGACGAGGAGGATGTCGACGACGAAAGACCGTCCATGCGCATGGGTCTCGGTGCGGGCGCAGGATCAGGCATGGGTGGCTTTCGCAGCGCATTCAACATAGGCGAATACAACGACGAGGAGGCAGAAGCCGAGACCCCTCCACCGCCGAAAGACATGTCCCCTCGAAGACAGCAGGAGAAAGCCGGTGGCATGGGTCCTTCAGCGTTTGGCGCAGGCGGGCGCATGAACAAAAACTCGTTCGCTGCGCGCATGATGGCCAAGCAGGGCTACGTCGAGGGTCAGGGCCTAGGAAAGTCGGGTCAAGGCATAACAGCACCCATTCAGGCCAAGGTACTGTCAAGCCGGGCTGGGCTGGGTCAGGGCAGCGCAGCACCAGAACCTCCTCGGAGAAGACCAGAAGCAGGAAAAGAGAAGGCCTCCTCCAAAGCATCCACACCAGGGACGAGTACGCCACGCCTGAGAGCGGCTCCCAAGGCGAAATACGCGGTCGGAGCGATTGAATCGCGGGGCTTGCACGTCCCTGAGGCAATCAAACAAGTCATTGTCGATGCTACTGGCGCCGAAACCAAAACCCTCACATCGCTCTCTGGCTTTTCAACCCCTACGCGAGAAGCCTCACCGTCGCCCAGCCTCGAAGCCGCAAAGGCCACCTCGCGCATCAAGCTGCAACTCCAAGCCTTTGCCGACGCGTGGGACTCGACGAAAGACCAAGAACTTCGTCTCGAGCAGGAAGAAACGCAACTGTCCGCAGCGCTGGCTCTGCACGAGGATGAAATTCAACGGTTTAACGACATCATCTCCGCTTTCGAGCGAGTTACGGTCGACGACTCAAATACGGCCCGCGACTGGGACGCCTCCATCTCGCGCCTCCAGTCCATTCAAACCCGCTTTGCCGACTCCATCAGCGAGCTGTCTTTGCCGGAACTCACAGCCGCTTGTTTAGAGACACCTTTCCGTCGCGAACTCCTCGACTGGGACCCTCTCACCGAACCACAAACCTCGCTCATCGCCTCGCTCCAATCAATTTCGGAGTTACTGGAGATTGAAAAATCCACCACCTCGAAACACCGCAAGCGAACCACCTACTTTGAATCCCTCCTGCTACTACACTGGTACCCGACGATCCGCACCTCGCTCACCAAAGACTGGAACGTCTACGACCCGGACCCAGCGTATACACTGATCGACTCCTGGAGACCACTCCTGCCGGCCTGGCTCCTACGCAAGATTCTGCACGAGATAGTCGTCCCCCGTCTAATCGAAGCGGTCAAACGGTTTCCGAAACCCATCGACCAACCAGCCAGCAAAAACACAAGCAGCAGCAGCAGCAGTAGGAAGGGGAGAAGCGCACCAGACCTGCACACCTTCCTCTTCGACTGGTGGACGCTCATCTCCAGTGAGACGCTCCAGCTCGACTCGTTCCCCGAACTGCGCTCGCTCGTCAAACAGAAAGTCACGACCGAGACGTGGCCGCACTGGAAACCGCTCCTCGGGACGCGCAAAGCCAAGGCGTTACCGCCGCCCACACCGTCTGCGCCTGCGCTTGCACGGGCATCACTCGCCGCCGCGGATGTGGAAGAGATCTCCTTCCGCACCATCGTCGAAGATTGGGCCTCGGAACACAACCTGTTGCTCACGACGAGCCACAAATCCGACGCCTTTGGCCGCCTCCTGTACAGACTACAGGACGCGGAGCGCCGCAATCGTGGGATCCTCGTCTACCTGGCCGAGGATATCGTGTTTGGGGCTGACGACGGGGAGCCTTATGCGCTGGATGATCGACTTGTCTTGATGGCGAGGGGGAGGTGATGGGGCGTGATGGGTGTCTAGACAGAGGGAGAATGATATTCATTTCAAGTCACAGTACAGTCTTTGCGGCTCTTCCGTTTTTTTCCCTTCCTCTTGAGACCAACCTGATAGGATGCCATTGCACTTGATGCCGTAGATGACGGTGCGAAGTAATACTTACTTGCCTACCTAGGTACGTACCTAGGTACACAAGGACACATGATACCGTACAGGTAGGTATCTGAGATCTCAGGCACACACGATACGAGCCACACACTGCGGTACACAGCAAGGTACCCAGGTATGGATGTATGTATATCCTTGTACCTGCAGAGTATTGTACTGTAGAGGAGCACATACGCACGCATGCACACACGCACACACGCACACACGCACACACGCACACACGCACACACGCACACACGCACACACGCACACACGCACAGCAATGATGGATGGATCGGTGAGCCCATGGGACAAAGTACATAGCCAGCCATGAAAGCCACAAATATCACATTTATTGACCGACGGCTCGAAGGCTGCGTGAAATACTCATTGACTACCCGGTTCTCGTATAGTCTGGTTCAAAAAGAGGTCTAGCTCGCGCAAGAAGTGCAGGGAAAGCCGTGCAGGACAACACAAGACAACACAAACACAGATCGACCATGGCCGTTTCTCTAAACTCCGGAGCTGGCTTTTCGTCTTCTTTTCTTATTTCTCCAATGAACCCCCTCCTGCCTTGCCGTGAGTTGAGCTGCCTTTTGATGGGCATCACCTCCAGCCGACGCTACTTTCGAAACAATCGGGGATACCAGTCGGTCAGGCACACGGACACACAGATAGATAGGTGGGTAGATAGGTGAAAGGTAGGTGATAGGTAGGTAGGTAGGTAGATTGAAAGATAGCCAGATAGCCGAGTGCAGCGAATGGCACCTGATCCGTCTTCCCGGGGGGGCGTGTTTGGGGGGCCTGTATCCAAAATCTCTCTCTTCCCATCATCGCTCATGCCGTGTCTGCTACCGGGCTATAAAAGATTTACATGCAAGCGGCGCCGTCGATGCCGAGGATCTTGCCGTTGATCCATTCGCCGTCCTGGGAGGCCAGGAAGGCGGTGACGCGAGCAACGTCGATGGGCTGGCCGACACGGTTCATGGGAGACCACGTGGCGGCGTACTCGTCGACCTGGTCGTCGGTCAGGTTGGCGCCGTTGGGGATGTACTCTCGGCAGACGGCGTGGTACATGTCGGTCTTGATGCCGCCGGGGGCGACGGCGTTGACGGTGATCTTCTTGTCGCCGCAGTCGATGGCCATGCAGCGCACAAAGGTCTCGATGGCGCCCTTGCTGCCCGAGTAGACGGTGTGCTTGGGCACGCCCTTGGCCTGGCCGGTGATGGAGCCCATCAGGATGATGCGGCCGCCGACTTCCAAGTTCTTGTAGGCTTCGCGGGCGACGAAGAACTGGCCTCGCGTATTGATGGCAAAGACGCGGTCGAACTCCTCCTCGGTGACGTCCTTCAGGTGGCCGAAGGAGACGACGCCCGAGTTCGACACCACAATGTCCAGCTTGCCAAAGTGTTTCTTTGCTTGGGCGAACATGTCGATGATCTGGGACACGTCCGACACGTTAGCTTGCACGGCGATGGCGTCGCGGCCGAGGGCCTTGATCTCGGCGACGAGCTCGTCGGCGGCCTTGGAGGAGTTGGCGTAGTTGACCACGACGTCGGCGCCGCGGCGGGCGAGCTCGAGTGCGGTCTCGCGGCCCATACCTCGTCCTGCACCGTCCACATCCCGTTAGCTTTGTTACTTTCTCTTTCTTCTTTGAGACTGCGGAGGCGGTGAAGCTGGATGAGCAGTGGGGGGGTTTTTCAGGAGACATGACACGGGGCTTTTCACGCTGCGCTCGCTCGGCGAAGTTCTTCTCGAGCATAGAGAGACGTACCTGAGCCGGTCACGAGAGCGACTTTGCCCGTGAGCAGGTAGCTGGGGACAGGCTGGTCAACGGCGGGGGCGCTGCCATTTGCAAGTCTGGTGGAGTTTCGTTTCGACATGGTTAAGAGCGGTGTGCGGGAGATGGCAGAGCGTGAAAAAGACACGAGTCGGCAGAGGTCCAAATGGAATCAAAAGGGTGTATATACAGGACTCGACAGGACAGAGCGAGTCACGGATAATTTTATTCAAAGACAAAAAGGCACACGGTGTCCAAGGATCAGGGGCTGCTCGTTTTTGTTTGTCGTGGAGGGGGAAAAAGACGGCTGAGATATATTTAACAGTCCATCAGCCGCAGCTAGTGCTTTAGTGCCCCCACTACACGCTAAAGTTCGCTGGTTTCTGCCAGGGGCCCGAGCGTGAGGCGGCTTTAACTGGCCAGACGGCGCGCTAGTGGATGGAGGGCAGGAGGGGCAACTCAAGCGGCGTGCGATGGGCGACGATGGGGGCACTACGGGGCCTGCCACGCATAGCCACAGGGGCGACCGAGCGTGTCTGTCTGTTGTGAGATCTTCACCGCTCCGGGTCCCTGACGGTCCAGATGCAGAAATCAGCACGCAGCAATATGTCGACGTCCCTCCTAACTCGTACCCGGCTGAGATCTGTACCGGAGATCCTTTGTCAGGCTGTCGTTAGACCCGGTCCGACTGGGATTTGGGCCTTTGGCTTACGTTGAGTGGCCGATGCAGGACGCAGTACGAGTAACCTGTCCGCTGCCTCGGCTGGGTTCCGGGAGCAGCAGGCGTGTGCGCGTGCCGTGAGCTCTACAACGTGGTACATGCGGTATGTTTGGTACGGAGTGCGTGCGTGCGTGCTTCCCTCTCCGTCAGGTCCGCCACGGGTTTCAGGGCTCACCCGGTGTGTGCGCGGCTGTGCTCGTGCCGGCTTGGGATTCAAAGACGCACGATAAAGAGGCGGCACGGACAGGCTGCATTCAGATCCGGTGATACGAGACGTGAGGCGGCCTTGGCCTTCAATAGTGACAGAAGCGGTGACGGTGTACTGTGTAGCTACCGTGTACGTTGTGGTCTCCTTGACCTACGTTCGAATGCATAAGGTAGTGTCGGGATGCATGTTGAACGTGAGTTAGGGCCGGGAAATCCACCGATAGATTGATAACGAGATCTATTATGGAGTCCTGAAATGCCTGAAATACACGCAAGGTACGCCGTACAATGGTTCAATCATGGGAAACTCGAGAATAAATGACAAGCTTTCGTTTATTAATCCAATACATAAGTAATGGAGACCCCAGGTCTGGGATCAAACAGTGGACGAGTCACTTACTCGTACTCGTAGTATCCCGCGAAACACCTGAAGAACGTTCGTCCTAACCGCCTAGTAGCCTTGCTAGGTAATTACCCGTGACAGCAAACGAGCAGGAAAGGGGGCTCCGCCAGGCGGGCTTCCACTCCGGCGCTAGTGACAGTCTTCGGGACACGTGGTGGAGATGATTTCGACGGCCTTTCCGCATCATCCTCCTGTGCGCGGATCCACAGTCTTGAATCTGAGACTTGACTCTGGTTGCCACTCGACAGCATGAAGCGTACCGTGTCCGCGGTGTAGGAAGGGAACAGCCTCGTCGAAGGGTGTAGCCACCATCCGGCCATCACATTAAGAGGACGATACCCTCCAGAGTATGAATTACTGCAGACAGCAAGCAAAGGCCGCTCCTTGAGAGCGAAGACTTGTCGCTCCGCGTTCCCTACATACCATGCCATGGCAACCCCCGCCCTCGAAACTCATTTAGAGGCAAAGGCAGCCTTGCGGCTGGGTATATGTAACGGCGAGTGCGCGGCTCTGTGGCTGCTTACGTATTTCTGCGCAGCCGCACAAGTGAAGATTGAGACGGGTCAGAGTAAAGTCTGACACTGCATCGTAAGTTTTGGGTTAAGAGAGTTTTATCAACAGTGTCTCTGAATGCGGCTGGCCTATGGTGTTAAAGATCGGGGTTATGCTCTTCTCCCAGAGGCCACGATCGTAGGTTGCTTCAGCGAGTTTGCGGCGAGGTCCACTGCCGAGGAGACCACGCTGTCTATCCGGGTTGAACAGCCCAAGCCGCCATGCTGGCGGTCGTCTCGTGGCTGAAAGTGCTTGTCAATCGGAGTCGGCCGCCGTTCGACGTGGATAAGACGGGTTGAAGCATCTCAAGTGACCGCAACTTGAGAAGCAAACCCTCAATGACAGTATGCACAGTTCGACCACCACATCCGAGATATCGCTGAATATTCACGACCACTTACCCCGTGTGACAGTCGGTGCCCTCCACTCCTTGTCCTTCACCTCATGGAAAGAATCCTGGCATCTTCAACAGCGACCCTGGTCATCTTCTTCAGCTCGGCCTTCCAGCCGCTTTCCCGCCATCTCTCCCACTCTCCAAAAGTATCGTCCGCCTCCATGTTCAACGTCTCGTATCCTTCTTTGATGACCTTTTGGATGGCTGCTGGTGATTGATGTGTCTTCTTGCCATGTTGCGCCTTCAGCAGGTCGTGATAGTGTGACGACACGCTGATCAGTGCCGCCACAGAACTTCTCAACTTCTCAGACTGCGTACTCCGGTCACAATATGCCTGCTTGAACTTGTGCAGGACATCATTCGCTTCGATGAGCTTGTAAAAGAAGTCATCAAAGCTGGTCGGATCGGGCAAGAATCCATCACCCTTGGACAAGCAGAAGGCGGTCAGGCTTGTCAGTGTGCCACACAAATCTTCCCGAATGTCCCCCAAGTGTCCCAGGTCCTCGGCATATTGCGTCAGGAATCGCATGAGTGACAAGAGCGAGCCCCAGACGTAAGCCCAGTGGTGCTGAAGACGTGTTTTGGTCTGTTCAAGGTGCGTGACGACGCGCAGAATAATGCCCAGCGCCAAGCCGTACAAATGGACGTCCAGTCTCTTCCGCAGGTTGTGACTGAGAATGTCTGTGCACACGTCAAGAATTGCTGTGGCGGGAATTCGTGCTGACGTGATCAAAGGAAGATGAGGAGCCCTCTGTCGACATAATCGAAACACCGTCTTCGAGTCTGCTGAGCACACTCTCTTCACCAACACAGGATCCTCCACTATGATTCTGATGCACAACAGACCAAAGACGGCATATGTGGCTTGTCGTGTGCCCCTGTACGCATGATGTGAGATGTAGGAAGTCATCGACAAGAAAGCAGAGAATGGCGATTCTCTATCTTTATCCGCGGGCAGACTCAGAAGACTGGTGGCGAACAAATTATTTGCCTTCACGAACGAATATAGTGAGAGGCTACAGGCAGCATCTGGTTCAGGCAAAGCAATAAATCGCGCTTTCGCTTCCTCCTCTGTGGGTGGCGCTGGTTTCTGTGCGTCGCTCGTCAATGCTCGAAGCCCGACGAGGGCCAGAGTCGAGTTCAGAGTCCATGGTGCCGGGTAGTCATCCTGTACTGCAATGTACTGATCCCGAATATGTGCACAGGCGTAGGCTGAGTTGAGGACCAGTAGGCAAATTGTTGCTTCGTTGACGAAGTCTTCAAGCCGGTTCTGGTACACGTTCTGAGCCTCGAACTTGTTGTAGCTGGACAGAATGCCGATCACCACAAAAGCTCTCGGTCCGTGAATGGAACTTTCATGGACGTCATGAACGTACTGGGCCCCGTTAGCATGTGCTGCGACTCTGTGGACAAGCCTACCTTCATCAAGGCGGGAAAGAGATCACGGTGCATGAAGTAGGTGACGAGGCTGGTTTGAAACCCGCCAGCAACAAGTGCAAGCACAGTTTCAACGGCCTTGATGCGCAACAGGTCCTCGCTTGACTGCCTCACGATGGATTCGAGACCCTGGACCAAGTCAGACATGAGTCGATCGACCGCATCCAGTCCAGCAAGGATGTCGATGATGTCGGTGTTCGGATTCGTGTATTTTTTGTTGAAGACCGCGCACAAGAAAGCTATGAGATTCTACGTCTGTCAGGCATGGTCAAGTTACCGAGCAGATCGGGAGGACGGCCTACATCGAGGGCATTTCCGTTTCTAGGAGATACGCCAGAGCCCGCCTCGCTGACCGCCCGTCTGAAGAAGGCTCGCATCTGGATCTGCCGGAGCGTCAGTGGCGAGGAAGGGCCGGCCGTGAGCGTAAGAGCTGACTATACTTGCATGTGCATCAGGTCGGAGGCTGTGAGCGGTTCGAGGATGTCATAGAGCCGCTGCTTGTCGGGTTTCAGCAAAAAGAACTCTCTCCAGAACCCCTCAGATGGCACAGCGTCATCGGTTCCCTCGTTAGCCAGCGCATTGAAGAGGTGAAGGTACAGCTGGGCGATCTTTGGTTCGAACGAGTTTGGCCGTGACTGCTGGGTCAAGAGTGCGTCCATCGTGGAAAAAGGGACTCAGAAGTAATCGCTGGCGTGCACTCCCCTGCATTCATAGTCCTGGACAGTGACAGGGACAGCTGCTGGCATTGAGCGGCCTGAAAACGACCTGACCTTGACCTTGATGGCTTCTCACCGGCAGCTTCCACTCAGAATGGTGTCCACCGCGAGCGCTTTGTGGTGTGCGGAGGCCAGGGAATAGCAGGTGACGGAGACAAGGATTTTAGAAGAGCAGGACGAAGCCAGGCGTCTGCTGAGGATGGAAATACACGTCGTCGGCGTTTCGGTGCGCTTGATACCGCAGCCTGTCGAGGATGAGACGTCGAAAGCGAAGCCGGATCTTGGTCGTCACGTGATTGGTGCACCTGTCCTAGCCGTCTTCGGCTGTCCTGCCTTGATTGCAATATCCGCAGGCTGATTGGCTGCATGATCGGAGCATTTAAAGCATCACGTGAGAGTTCTCGGCTGACAAACAAAGTCCAGCTGCGGACACATTACATACCCTTGCATCTTCTTCCGTTCATCTTCAACCTACAACAGATCTCAGGAACCTGTCCACGTCGCACTCGCGCCTACGAATGTAAGAGAACCCACCACTATACGTCGACCCCTCTCCGTGCACGATATCCGATCCCAAGGAGCACCCGTCATGTCTGCGACGCATTTAATCCCATCGACTACGTCATCCGCGACGTTCTTCCGAGCATTGGCAATTGCCTCCACAGCACGATCATGTCCTCACCATGCCCTGAGGACATTTTCCTCAAGCATCAGGGCCCGCCAGTCGACGAAGCGAGACTTATATACCACCCCATCCTATCAACCTCATAGTTTACCAGCCGATTTCCCTCTTCCTCCTAGAAACGCCGACGTACCCGATACGTCGATCGCGGGTCCGCAGCCGCAGCTTCATGATACAACGAAACATCAGCAGAATGCTCCCCAGAAGACCACTTCTGGCGAGACAGCAGCCATCAGCGTTCCAGAACAAGAGGCACAAAAACCAAAGCCAGTGCAGCCACCGCAGCCGGCGGAGGCAAAGTCGACGAAGCCACGACGGAGCAAGTTACGGCCTCGCAAGGCTGCTATGACCATAACGCCGACGGCTTTGATCCACCTTCGCGAGCTTCTGGACCAGCCGAACCCGAAAATGATCCGGGTCGGCGTTAAGAACAGAGGCTGTTCGGGTTTGGCGTACCATCTGGAATACGTAGACAAGCCCGCAGCTTTCGATGAAGTACTTGAACAGGACGGGGTCAAAGTGTTGATTGACAGCAAAGCACTCTTTAGCATCATTGGCAGCGAGATGGACTGGCAAGAGGACAAGCTGAGCGCCCGGTTCATCTTCAAGAACCCCAACATCACAGAGCAATGTGGCTGTGGCGAGTCGTTCAGCGTTTCGTAGTCATCCATCCAGTGTGCAGCGTTCAAGCGAGCATGCCTCAGAGGCCGATACAAATGATGAAGACCCGCATCCCCAGCCTAGTACACCCCCTTCTCATAATCAATGACTCGGACCTCGTCGAACCTGGGCCCGTTCTTCTTGACGAAGGCTTGGTGTACCGGATCCTCGGAGACATAATAGTCTCGATCCTCCTTGGACGCGAACTCGACCACAAAGCCGTGAGTGAGTCCTCCCTTGATCGCGCCTCTCAGTCAAACGCAAAATAGCGGGAAGAGCGAAGACCAACCTGAGCTCCTTCAGGACTGTTGTCCACGCCACCAGAGGAGGCGAGGATATACGGCTTGTTGGATGTTGGGTGCAGGCATGTGTCTTTCAAGCTCAGCATGTCGTCGCAGAACTACACCATTATTATCGACCTCTTGACTCTCGTGCAGGACCGAGTCCCGCGACACACCTCTTTCTTCTCCGCGTCGCTCAGTGACGACTTGAGCTGGAACAGCACGATGTGAATGATAGTCATGTTGCCGTGTCTTGCCGTGGTGATCCCGAGTAGCACAGGTGAAAGACACGTTCTCGGTCTTTCCGACGCCACCAGGTGGCCCACGATAAGAACTCACTCCGGCGTTGAGGCTGAATACAAATTGTGCTTGTGCGGGGTCCTGGATTGTGTGTCCTACACCATGCCCCTCGTGTGCTTTTCTACGCCAGAACCTCGCCGACAACTTGATTCCCTGCTGTGCGTCACCTACTTGTATATCTTTTGGCGTCGGTCCACTCCATCTGGCTCCTGCTTTTGGTTGTATTGCTACGAAAGTCATATCACTTCAAGCCGTGTGCGAGCCCCCCAATCCACCCACTCACTCACTCTCCGTTTGTCCGCCCACGCCTGTTGAGGTTTCGACCCTTATCAAGAGCTACGGACACATAGAGCCGAGATCAGAGGCACAAACCGCTGAGCCGAGAAGAGACTGTGGATCGCCTTCCTGTCCCTTTTCCTCCTTTTGGTCCCACCAGTCGCCGCAATCATGACCACCCACTCCCACGACAACGGACCTTCCCACTCGCACGACCACGCGAACGGCGAACCTCATGGCCACACACATGAAATCTACAACGGACCGGGCTCCTTCCTGCACCGGGAGATGCCCATTGTGGAGGGTCGTGACTTCCGCGACAGGGCCTTCACAGTTGGCATAGGCGGGCCCGTCGGCAGCGGCAAAACTGCTCTCATGCTGGAACTCTGCCTCGCCCTCCGCAAGGAGTATAACATTGCGGCCGTGACGAATGACATATTCACGCGAGAAGACGCCGAGTTTTTGACCAAGCACGGCGCACTGACACCAGAGAGGATCGTCGCCATCGAGACGGGAGGGTGTCCGCACGCGGCGGTCCGCGAAGATATCAGCGCGAACTTACTCGCATTGCAGGGCCTGCACGCGAAATTCCAGACAGATATACTGCTCATCGAGAGCGGCGGGGATAATTTGGCGGCAAACTACTCGCGCGAACTGGCGGACTTCATCATCTACGTCATTGACGTTGCTGGCGGGGATAAGGTGCCGAGGAAGGGCGGGCCAGGCATCACAGGCTCGGACCTGTTGGTTATCAACAAATGCGACCTGGCCGAGGCGGTCGGTGCGGATGTAGACCTGATGGAGAGAGAGGCGAACAAGATTCGAGAGGGCGGACCCGTGGTGAGGGCGGTGATCAAGAATGGCGTGGGTGTGCGGGACACGGTGGAGATGATTCTCAGTGCGTGGAGGAGTACGGCTGGGTATGCGGTCAGTCGGACCAGGTGGGAAGCGGGCCATGTTAGAGGGAGTGGTGAGCAGCCGACGGTGAATCGATGAATCTGTCTCCCGGATTATTCGCCGGACGACGATAGGGTTTCCGAAGTCGAATGCTCAGCCACCAGGCACAAGTCCACTGACTTCATCTCAATTCCCTCACCTCGCTGGAGCGGCAGTGGCAATCGACACGGTGTAAGGCGACCCGGCCTGTTGTCATACATCTCTGCTGTTGATCTGATCTTTTTTCGAGATCTTTCAGCTCTGGCATGCACCATCTACATTCCATGTGCGAACATGATGCTGTTGATGTGGAGATGTTTTCTAGAAGACTTCTGTCCAATCCGCCACACCTGTCCCTGACGGCCTGACGGAAGGTACATATGTGGTCGTGGAAGATGGGCTCAGCAGTCTCGTTCAGCACAGCACCCGCACCCAGCGTTGGTGGAGGGATCGCCTTGGTCCTTAGCTTCGACGTCGAACTTCTACTTCGGCATTGAAGATGTCAGAACGATCGGGACCCGGGGGAGTCGCAGCCACGGGACGTTGAGATTCTCATGGCGATAGAGGAGGCTTACATATAGTATAGCTGAGTTTGTCTTGCGATTTCTAGTCAACCTGCATGTCCATGCTCAGTGTTAGTCACTTCCACCCAGCCCAATGGCGATTCGTGGTTCGTGGCTCGTTATTCCGCTGATATTTCCACCTCGGATACTTCCAGATGTGTATTGCCTGTGAAAGCCGGGTGTACAATTAACTCAACCAACTCGAACCACACCATACCGTGGCCGTCCTCGGAGTGCATCGACGCCTCGTGCATGCAATACTTACACCTTTTCCGCCATACCCTTGGACAAGTCGAGACACAGAGCCTTCTATGGGTGGTGATCGTACTCTGTACGCACGCTGGGACTTAGTACTTTAGTACCTTCGTACACTGTTTGCAGCAGGACAATGCTAAAATAAGTCGCTAGTCGCAACGGCGATCTAAGTGGGGCTTTGATTCGCGCTAGCGCGAATCGCGAGCCGCTAGTCCGTATCTGTTTGGTGTTCTCCTCCTGCTCGTCAGCCTCGTGCTGTGACATTTGATACCGGCGTGCACACACACGGCGTGTCAGAGGTGGGTTGGACGGCACAGTAAGGTTGCAAGGGGGCTGTAGACACGTGTGTTGGTAATGGGAAAGTCTACATTTCCGTCCCAAGAATCTATACGGACCATGCGCCATCATCATTTCTGTTCACGGGAGAAACCCAGAAGCTTTACCAAAAGCTATGACCGCTTCCCACCGGCGAACCGACTCAGCGCAGGTCCCAACTCGACTTTATCCCGCTTCAGGCGGTCCTTGTCCTTCTCGGCCCTCTGCTTCCTCATCTCTTCCAACCTCATCCTCTTCTCATCGATGATGTTCTTGCCGCCCTTCTTGCGCAGATACCTCCTCAACGCACTATTCTTGCCCCTCGCACGGTGCTTCTCCTTCTCCTGCAGCTTCGCAAGAGGGTCCTCGGCCGGGGTATCCAGATCCTTCTCACGCTTTCTTTGCTCCGCGCTGCGGGTGTCGAGCGTGCCAATAAAGGTAGGATCCAAGGCGATGGTTTCGGGCTGAAGTTTCGTAAGCAGAGATTTGACTTCTGTCTCTTGTCTCTGTTTGCGCGTCTCGTATGGGTTGACTTCGAGCGCGTCGTAATTTGGTTCGCCGGCGCCCGGGACGATGATGCTGTTGAATCCAGCGGCATGGGAGATGCCGAGGATATCGTCGAAGGGGCAGAAGCGCACACGTTCGACACGCTGGCCGTCGTTCCCCCAGTTCAAGTAGGGCGATTGCACCTTCTCTGGTTCGCGCGAGGGGGTCGCCGTGAACAAGTCTTTCCAAATAGTCACGCCAGTGCCCGTTGCTACGGCTGCAAGGCCCCTATCGGAGATGTCGATTGATGAAGCGGGTTGGCGGGTCGTGTAAGAATGGACCTCCTTCAGCGCACGGATGTCCCACAGCTTGAGGCGCAGGTCTTGACCACCGCAGAGCATGTAGTGCCCCGATCGGTCAACCGCGATCGATCGAACCGGCCCGGAGTTGGACTGCATCTTGATCAACGCATCCGTGGAATTCGGAGACCAGAGAGAGACTGTGCCGTTCTGGTGCCCAACGTGGAGGATGGCATTGTAGGGATTTTGCGCCAGTGAAGTGGGTGATCCTTTGCGGGTCGAATACTCTGCTACGATTTTCCCGGTGGACGTGTCTGTGTACCTCAGAAACCCGCTGTTTTCGATGCCGGCGAGGAGAAAGTGGTAGGGTAGGAATTCGAGGTGCGTCGTCTCAACGTATTTCCGCAAGCAGTGGATTTCAACCCCGGCATGATCGTAGATGTAGGTATGTTTCTTCTGCGCCACCGCGAAGTACTGGTCGTTGTGCAACCATTTTGCATCCCTCACCGTTTCGTTCAGATGTAACTCACAGCCGGGCTTTCCGGCTCGCCAGTCGCACGTAGCAATATGGCCCTTCCTTCCTGCGAGCAGCAAACTGCGCCCGTTCCTCGTGTAATCCGAGACATACGGCCCAAGGTCCAGTTTGAACTCGATCGACTTGTTTGCCTGCTGCACCCCGACTGCATCTAGTATGTCGTCCTGCCGCACCTTGTACGTTCTCTCCAGCTCATTTTCGGGCTGCAGAAAACCTTCCTCGTTCTCGTAAAGAATCTCCGCATCTTTGGCATTCAACACCGCAGCCCGGTATTTGGTCTCGATGCGCTTGAGATTTGCGCGCAGTTTCTTGTCTTTGACTTCATTGATGCGGACGGGGCGGCCTCGTCCGTATTTCCTCCGTGCTTCGGCGATGCGTTTCTGGTCCTCTTTGTCTTCTTGTGTTAGGTGCGTCGGTTTTCGTTTCGTTGGCGGCTGAATGTTGCGGATCGTGAGCTGGCCGCCGCTGTTTTCGACGAGGGTCTCCATGGCCGTCGGGACCTGACCCTTGCGACACAATTTTCCAGGACGATAGGGGCTCTGACAGCGACAGTAAAGGGTTACACTGCCATGTTCGCAAGAAATGAGAATGCTCGACTACGAAATTTCACAATTCGCATCCGAAGTCCCGCCGAGGGGTGGGTCTGCCGAATACGGCGAACTATTAAACCATGGGAGTTCTGTTGCAATGGCCGACCGTACTAGGTAAAAGTCCCACTTCCAGTCGCGCTATTAATTACTCCATACCTGACTCTCTTCTGTAAGATTTCTATTGTATTTGGACACGATAAACAGAAGCTTCCAGGAGCTCCCTCTCAAGGACGGCATTCGTTAGTACTCGATCTGGTCTCTGCTTAAGATCAACGCAAGGGTGATACGATATGTGTACGTACTCGAGAGGGCTTAGCTGATATGCGCGTCGACACCAGCAGCGAATGAGTGCACGATGAGTGATACTGTGCTGAATATGTGCGAGGTCGTCAGCATGTCTAACCCCGCATCCGCCCGCCATTGCGAATACTCCAGCTTGCACCTAAGCTCTGAGCCCTTGGGCCATGGTTGATCAAGGTTTTCGCTTCTTAGTGGCCAAGCAGAGGCCAGATCGTGTCCTCCCTACAACTGATTCGACAGATTGTCCGAGCTCGAGCTGCGATTGGCAGTCAACGCGAGTTTCCCGTCCCTCTGCAGCCTGCACTCGCTCCTGTTCAAGACTTATGCCTTCATCAGCTACTCCGCAGACGACGCGGCTGTCAGGCTTCGTAAGAGTCAGGGACTTGCCGTGCGTCTCTCGAAGTGATGCTGCGCTGGCAGCCTTACGCCTTGCTACTCTGAACGAGCATCAGTAAACCTCTACGTGGAAGGCTGACGAGTCTGCAGACGTCAGAGACCCTTCCGACACAGCCCTTCGAGGGAATAAATTCCGATGTGCTGTCTTGCACAGGCCTGAAGTTTTCTCAGACACTATCATTCAAAGTCTCTCTAAATGTGGTCGCTGACGCTCCTCGTTTCGCTTTTCGTGGGCGCTGTCGTGGCACAGTCCAACGTGACGGTCTTGGACAATGCGCGTAACGTCTCTTATGTAGGACTCAGCTTCCAGGGCACCGAAAAGTTCCTGGGCATCAACTATGGTCAGGATACATCGGGGGCCAACCGCTTCAAGCCTCCCCGGGCCTTCAACTATCCTACTGGCACCACTGTCCAAGCCACGACCGCTGGGGCAGCCTGCCCTCAGAACACCATTCTGTCGTTTCTAGGTGCCATCCGCGAAAACCCAGGTGTCTTCAACATTTCTGAAGATTGTCTGAGTCTTCAGGTCGTTAGACCGACAGGAACTAGACAGAATGCGAATCTTCCGGTGATGGTTTGGATCTACGGTCAAGGATTCGAATCGGGCTCGTACAATTACTCGCTCTACAATCCTACTGCTCTGGTGGCCGGCTCCGCAGCCAAAGGCACACCTGTGATCTATGTGGCCATGAATTACCGTGTCAATGTATTTGGGTTCGCCAACAGTCCAGCACTCAGGTCAGAGGGATCACTCAATGCTGGTCTGCTCGACCAGAGACTGGCACTCCGCTGGGTTCAATCGAACATCGCGGCCTTTGGCGGGAACCCAAGGAATGTCACCATCTTTGGAGAAAGTAGCGGTGCCACTAGTGTAGGATTGCATCTAACTTCGAACGCTGGCAACGGTGAGGTCCGACCTACTTACGTCCATGCCACGCACTGACCGCCAATAACAGGGACTGTTCCTTTCCGCCGGGCCATCCTTCAATCTGGTGGTCCAGCGGGCGATCCAGGCCTGACTGGAAATGCCACCGTCATAAACACGGCTGCAGTCGCCCAGCTGGCTGGCTGTACAGCCACCAACGACAACCTTGTCTTGGCATGTCTTCGTGACATACCCGCGGTCTCTCTCTTGGACGCTGTTCTCCAGTTCGAGAACACCACAGCGGCAAGCGGTACGTTCCAAGACATCTTCTTCCCGACCGTGGATGGAAGCTATGTGCCTGCCGCGCCGTCAATGCTTCTTCGCACAGGTCGCTTTCACAAGAACATCTCGATCATATCCGGGTGGAATGGAAACGACGGCAGCATCTTCGCACCGCCCACATTGAACGGCTCGACCGCCGTCCAGGCATATCTTCGCTCGGCATATCCAAATCTCAACTCTACCACGATTTCAACCCTCCTGTCCTTTTATCCACTTGGCGGCTTTATGGCTGCGGCGCAGACATTGACGATTTCACCGTATTTCCTCCAGGCCTCGCAGATCTACCGCGACGTCAACTTCGCATGCCAGTCCCTCGATGTGGCGCACCGCGTCGCCCAAGGCGGTAGTGCCAGCTACCTCTACGTTCTCAACACGACGTCCCTTGCCAGCGTGCTGTCCCTGTTCAACGCCAGCTTCGCAGGAGTTATCCACTTTTCCGACGTGCCATTCGTGTTCAACCAGCCCAACGTCGGCTTTGGGACCACGGCCGCGGCGAATCTGACAGCAACAAGAATGTCTGGCAGCTGGGCCCGATTCGCGTCGACGGGCAACCCCAGCGGTAACCCCGATGTGACGCTGGCAGGATGGACGCAGGCCTACACGCGGTCTGAGGCCGCAGAGACAAGCCAGAACGTCACCAGCGCGACCGTCAGGGTGATCGGTGGCCCGGATGCAGGAAGTGCAAACCTGTCCACGAGCGCGAGAGATGTCGTCGAGCCAGGCCTGCTGGAAAAGTGTGCTTTCATCAACTCGGCGGCATTCTACCAGCAGCTGCAGACGTAGAAGAGACCGGGCTCTAGCATTCATCTCAATATCGATGGATCAGTGCATAAATATACATCATAGGTCGGTTATCTCTAACTGTCTCTCTATGTAAGGGATAAGATCGTTCGCTGGTCTCGCGAGTCATGACCAACCGGAAGTGAATATGACAGTGACGTAGCCACTCGCTGAGTCTACCTATGTGCCTTCCCTTGTAAGTGGCCCCTGAGGCAGCACCGTACTCATTGTATTGTCCTGTCTCAGCAGTACAACAACGTAGCTTCAGTGCACCAGTCGAACTACAGTACGCGTAGTGAGACACATGTAATGGGCGAGCGATCTAGCTCACGATCCGCCACCCGGCTGCCACATATATCAGATGCTTACTCTCAACGACACTGCGCAGACACAATGCTGAATACCGGGGGGATCAATGCCAAGAAGCAGCACTTACCAAAATTGCAAAATTGCTACGGCGCATCATTTAGCAATTATGACCTATAATTCGGCGGATCATATCGACAGCCCGTGACATTCTTTCACTTCACGTTCTGCACCTCTTTACTATCTTCACCTTCTGAGGCCTGGTTCTTGTGACGAAGCCCTCCTGCCACAATAATCAAGCTGTGAAGCCCGCTAAATCATCACACCGGCCGTGGAGCTGATGCAAAGGAGAGGAGCGGCAGCGGCATCACAAGTTGACTTTCCGACGAGGTTTGCAAGTACTTTCATCTAAACTGGACTGAGGTCAGGATGTTAATCTGGAAAGCTCAGAGTAGCCTGCTCTTCGGCAGTTTCGCCAAATTCCTACTGCCTCTTTATTCGACTCCACGAGATATGGCGAGGGATCAACAACTCCTACTGCCCAGACGGCCATCGACCGGATGCTAAGGCATGCTCTTGTCTGTTACCGAAGTGCAAGGTTGGGATATCGATTTCGATAGCATCAGCTATCCCACACCAGTCACCGGCGTCGTGGACACCGATTCCTATACCTTTAGACTCAGACCGGCAAAGACAGACGAAGCATTCATCAGCTTGCCCCTTCGATCAAGAACCCCACGCCTTCCTGATTCAAATCGAGTCGCCTTCGCGCCAGAAAAACTTCGGCAAAACGCAAATCTCAATGTCTGTCCAACTCTGCCAGTCCGGGAAGTGAAACTTGGATTCACCGAGACATGATAAGCCTTCTCTGGGAAGCACCGAGCCCTCAAGACGGTATGAATCAACCAACACCATCCACATCCACACAAGGCACTCGGTGATTGTGCGGTCACAGTCGCAGGCACCCACGGCAGCGTCTGAGCCAACTTGGTCCTGGAGATCGTGTGACACAAAATGCCCGCCACGTAGTTGGGAGCGATGCTCCATCTCATGTGAGCATAGCAAAGCAAGGCCAACTGCAGGCACTTTTCCAAGCTCGGCTCCGCGGCAGTGAGCCAAGGACTGGCCACAGCGTAGTCAGGAAATTGGCCTTCGGGTTTAGGTACGGCGCCCAATCCGTGCTGACAGGCGTGTGAGAATCGGGCAAGAAGACGTCGACTCTCATCACTCAGTACACACTTGACTACCAATACCTGAAATCCCACAGGAAGACTGGCAGCCGCGTCATAATTCTTGCTGGCGGCGGAACAGTTAAATGCGGACATGAGCATTTTCGGAGTTTGACGTTCTGGCAGGATTTCCAGCACATTTGGTCTGCCTTCCAAGACGTCCATCCAACAACTGAATCTAAATGGAGGGGTGATCTTAGCCTTTGCTGGCAGGAATAGGTGGTTGACTCACTGCAACAGCAACCCTCCATATCTCCTGTCGAACTCTGCCCGGTCGACAGGCCCAGCAGTAGAATCGAAGAGTCGCCTCAGGGCTTTGCGGTGCAGAGCGCTTTCTTTGTGGTCGCCCCGAAATTGCTTTCCCACAGTCAGCATCTATTACAGAACCTGGCCGTCGAACCAAGGTCTCACCGCCAGAAAACTCAAAAGGAAGATGGTGTTAATCGCGGCCGGGCTGTCTGCGGCAGTCCTTATTGAGGCAATGTCTCTCTTGAGCAGCGAGATGTCCAAAGCATTATGCTTCAGCTGTTCCTGGCTATAGTCGAACTCCCAGCTATCGGTCTCCTTCCGGTGGAGCTCGAGGCAGCCATAGGCGAGCGCGGCGATACAGTGCTGTGCAGCTTCGCCCTGACAGCCTGGACTCGAGAAATACTAATCGGCAGTGGCTTCAGCGATGCACATGAGGACTACGTGGTTTCTCACCTACAGACTCAAATACATTGCAGACGTTGAAGAGGACGAAAGCCGGCGCAGCGTTGGGCAGGGTCCATTGGAACCCTACGCCACCTCACAGTCAGCTCTGTATGGAGCAGGCGAAGGAGGGCATCTCGTCTGACAGATGTCTATTGCTCGATAAAAGGAGCCCGCTCTTGGATGAGGCACGTTGTAAAGCGGGTCCAGATAGTGGACTTCCGAAAACGACATGACACTGTTGGGCGTGCTGCGTGGGGACGATGAAGCATCGCGGTCCGAATACGCAGGGGTCGCTTTCCTAGGATACCGGTCACTGGAATATTCAAGCAAGGATACGAGACGCGATCCACAATACCCATCTGAGTGGCGGCTCCTTTCGCTGCCGGCGGCGTTCATGCGAGACCTTCGCAGCATGGGAGAGCGCTTCGGCGTCTTGGAGCCTGTAATCTTTCTCGGACAGTACGTGGCTGGCTCCTTCGTACACGAATTATATTCGACTTGCCCCGTCTTTCGCCATTTTGGAAGGTCAAAATGGACTCCCCCAAAAACTGGGTATCCTGCAACGTGTTGAGGTTGACATCAGCTCATCGGTGAGCGATCCTCACTCGGCAGGGCCACGGGCTTGGTTTTGGCTTGAGTTATATATCCTGCGGCATGCCAGCTTCTCCTCGACTTTGCCGTTCCAGTCGGAAACATTCCATGCAGGATGACAGTGCCGGCAGCAAGCCCCGCCTATCGCGTTTGCGGGACGAAGCCTCGATCTACAGAATTTATCGGTACAGCCTGTCCAGGGGGTGAAGCAACTCATTGTCTTCTGAGCTCACAAATGTGAACTCGCACCGGGAGAACCTGTGCGGGCTTCTTATCAAACGGCTGTGCTAACCTGGTTCTGTTTCGCAGGTGTCAAGAGATCTAGGGCGTGAAAAGCTTGAGTGGACTTCTCCAGGCCCAAGGTCGCCGCCGTCCTATCAGCTGGACATGAAAATCTTCTTCATTTGGCATAGCGTTCAGACCATTGTTCAGACTATGAACCATGCAGGACGTTAGTCACGCTGGACGAGACTCGAACCCATTCTTGTCAAAGCACGTACTGGTTTTGTCGGATAAGACAAATGATATGTCCGGAAGACGCTCTCCGAGCTCTGGTTTACAAGGGAATGTACAGCGTACTCTGGACATGGCCGGAAGAGGAGCGCTCACCTCACTGGGCCATGGCCTGTTCTCCTGACAGCACTCGATCGACAGCCAATTTCTTTACTACTCCTCCTTACGGTCGCGAAGCTAGTTGCGGGTCTTCAACGAGGTCACAACAGTGGAGCACAATGCTCCTACAAAGATGCATTCATAACCGTGGAGCGTTGCAGAGCGGATACGCGGTTCAAGCCTGTTGGGTGCTCGTCAACCCAATGGCCTGCTGCAATAGCTTCGGAGCAGCTACACAGTCTCAAGAAGCCAAATGTGACCGGAGGCTACCAAGGGGTCAAAAAGTTCGAGATGATCTCTGGTGTCTCCAAATTGTTGCTCTACGTCGAGGGTATTTGATGCCCCTTCTGCCTCTGTTCGCAACCTGCTGCCCTCCTTTTCTTCGGCAACGAATCTTGCCAATTCGGCTATGGTTCTGATGGCAGCATCATCTAGGCCGCAATGTAGGAGACGTGGATATTCGAGATGGTTGTGAAGGAAGGGGGGGGCTCAAACCGAGTGCGCATAATCGGGGCGGCGAGAGAGAGCGCGCCGACAGTTACGGCGGGCAACAACAAAATCACCCAGCCGCCGCCGCTGAATCTCCATCCGTGTGATAAGAATCTGGCAGCTCATGGCGCGACAAATGGATCTTGCTTCGGAGCATCAGCATTTAGAGGGTAGCAGACCTACAGGAGTTTCCCACACCATGCTGCGCCAAATCAAACGAGACGGCCGCCAGGCCCTTCACATCAACAGTGCAAAGGACCGTGACGACCGACTGCCTGACCGCGCAGACGTCTTTGCAAACTGCACAGCGACAGATCTTAGTCGAAGGGCGATGGTGGAGGTTGATGCAGCACTTCACGCAAGGTCTCCGTGTCATGTCCTCCTTGAGTGGCAGAGAGTGTGCAGCATGAGTGGCGAGAGGGTAATTATGTGGACGAGTCTGCAACCCCTTCACCTTTTCCAGACTAACGGAGATTATACCTTTTCGTCCGACTTGTCTCGAGCCCCTTGAGCCGAAATCATGCCATCGAGATCTCAGGCCATTCAAGGGCTCAACCTGCCGAAATGGACGATCGTGGCGTCATGGAAATCTCGCCTCAACGTCATTTCCTACCAGAAGAAGGTGTCATGATACCCCCGGTCGCAACACCCCGGCCCCTCCGACGTGATGAAGGAACGAGGGGCGTGCATAGATGCGTCTGCTGCGGTGGCTTTGGATTCCAGCCTCGCAAGCGCTTACCGCACACAAGCTTGGCGGCCAGCCCATGTGGTTGCTCCTCGCATTGAATCCCCTGATGGTTGGTCAGTGCAGCAATCTGCCAAGTCCTGGCAAGACGGAACGGCGATCCCGGGTTTGGGCGGCCTGTCTCCGCTCCGGGGAGGGGACTAATCAGGACGCCCGGCACTGGCTTGGCGGACTTGGCGCCGAGCCACCGATTGCCTCCTTCTTCCGCCATGCCCTCGACGACGTGGACGCCAAGACACTCAATTGCGACCTTGGTCGAAATTGGAATGGCCTGGAATGTTGGCTACTGAGCCAGCGGCCATAAGGAGCTTCCTGTTGCGACAGAGTGGTTGCTTCCCTCCAACGGCGAATGGCAATGCCCACGAGGCTCGCCAATCTTTTGCAACACCCGGCCACTTGGGGTGGGGGTAAAGGGTTGTTTGTGGTGATTATGATTTGATTTGATTGGCATCTTTCTTGCGCTCGGCCGCGTCCGATCTCGCCATATGGGATTCCAGAACGTGAACATGTTCGAACGGCAGCTTCTATCAGCGTGGCATTGCGTTTTCCTTGGGAAGCTTCTCCTCCGGCAGAAGTCACCTGCCTGCTTCATCGCCTTCTGTCGTTTTTCTCGTGCTGGACGCTCTAACGATGAGCTGCGTTAAGAAAGCCACGCGAAGATGTCAATGTCAGACCTAGCATATCGCGTCTGATATGCCCCCAAGACAGAGATGAGCAATCGTTGAGCCTCTCCGCTGTCGAGGTCATCGATGTTGGCATGTCGTCAAACCACGGCGATGATGCCACTTCCGGCGTGTCGAGCGCGGCACCAACAGCATTGTAACATGGTCTGACGAGGAATGTTTCTTACTCTCGATGGTCGGCCACCATGCCACTGAAAGGACGCAGACACATGTAACATGGGGCAAGCGACCTCGACCACGTTGCTGCTTCTCCAGCTATTATACGGCAGTCCAGACTCCTCTGGTTTGCAGCCCGCACGCTATAGATTTGCACAAGGCGCACCATGACCTAAGGAGGGGTATCCGTTGTATGACTGGAGATGGCATGCTCGCCTCTTGTTGTCTGCAACACGTCCAAAAAGCGAGCCGAATCGCCGCCACTGCTGGGTACAAGCAGTGCCCGGCCACTATCCATTGGCGACAATCGTCTTGAAATACTTGGCCTGTTTCCGACAATCTTGGCTCTGTTAGGTCGGCCCACACCCCCGTCAGCTTCAGCGGAGCGCGGATGCGACCAGGGCCAGACTGGGCAGCGCCAGCCCTGCCAAGACGGTTGGCATCGCGATGGACTGTCCTTCAACCCAGATAAGTTTGATCCAATAAGGCTCGCAGTCCTTGCCGCGTGCTCAAAGCAAGCATTCTCGTAGGCAGGGGCGGAATCTCTTGGCATATGGCGGGCTCAGAAGATTTTCATATCCCACGGTGCGCCAAACGATCTTGACCGACGAATTCGAACGCGGTGGCCGACGCTGGGAGGAAAAGAAAGAAATAATATTGATGTATAAAGGCCCCGGCTTGTCAACAATGCCACGAACTTCTCACTTCTCCCAGCGCCCTTCTGGCATTGACAGACAACCCAATCCACCGATTGCTAGACCACAAGGCCGGAGAACATCATGCCTTCTCCTCTCACAGCCAAATACGATTGGATCCTTGCAATCACCACAATCGCCTTCGTCTTCAGTGCCTTCGGTAACGGCGCCAATGATGTCGCCAACTCATACGCCACCTCAGTGGCGGCGAGAACCTTGACCATGCCCCAAGTTGGTTTCCTCTCCATGATCACGGAATTCGTGGGCGCCGTCGCGTTGGGAGCCCGAGTCACGAGCACGATCAAGAATGGCATCATCAGCATCGACCGTTTCGAAGACCGTCCAGGAGTTTTGATGTTGGCCATGGGCTGTGCCGAATTGGGCAGTGCGACCTGGTTGATGGTCGCAACCGGGCTCGGGTTTCCGGTATCCACGACCCAGACCGTCGTCGGAGCCCTCATCGGTGTCGGATTCGCTGCTCAGTCACCCATCAAATGGGCCTGGGAATCTGGCAGCGTCTCTCAGGTGGCAGCGTCGTGGGGCATTGCCCCACTCATCGCTGCTGGCTTCTCGGCTCTGATCTTCGGAACCCTCAAGTATTCGGTGCTGGAACGGAAGGACTCCTTCAAGTGGGCGATGAGACTGGTTCCCATCTACTTCGCCACCACCGCTGCCATCCTGGCCCTCTTCATTGTCGTCGAGGCTCCCACAGCACCCTCACTCGAGGAATTCGGCGGAGGCAAAGCCGCTGGAATCATCCTCGGCGTCTGGGCCGGCGTCTTGCTCATCACGTACGTCTTCTTCATGCCCTACTTCGAACGACGTCTCGTCAAGGAGGACCCGCGCGTCAAGTTCTACCATGTTCCTTTGGGCCCGCTGCTCCGCCGGGATAACCCGCCGCTGTACTGGCCAGGAAAGGAGGACGGCAAATTTGTCATCGACTACTATGAGGACCCCTACGCCGATGACAGCACAAGCTCGACATCGAACTCGGTGGAGAATGGCAACGGGACTGTGAGCGACGGCGAGCACCAAGTCCCCGCAGACCCGTCTCTGGAGAAGGGTGTCGGTGACAAGACTGCAGAGCCGAGCACCGTGCGCAGGAGGAGATACGTCGGACCACACGAACGATTCCTCGACCCTGTCAAGCATTTATCCATCACCAATCCCCGTCGTATCTTTGGCTACATCAAGTTTGGACTCCTCCAGGGTGTCACACGAGACTGCGTCACGCACGACTCGGTCAAGCTACGAGACATCCACGGCCGTGCGGCAAAGTACGACATCCGCGTCGAACATCTCTGGACCTACTGCCAGGTCGTCTCCGCCATGCTGATGTCCATTGCCCACGGTAGCAACGACGTTGCCAATGCTGTCGGGCCCTGGGCCGCCTCGTACCAGACCTACCAAGCCGGCGAGGTCAACACCCGAGCTGCCACTCCGGTCTGGTTCCTCGTCATCGCCGGTTTCTTGCTCGGCGCTGGGTTCTGGTTTTACGGCTACCACATCATCCGCGCCCTGGGCAACAAGATCACCCAGATGTCGCCGACTCGTGGCTTCAGCGTCGAGCTCGGCGCTGCCATCACCGTGCTGCTCGCCTCCCGTCTCGGCCTCCCGGTCAGCACGACCCAGTGTCTCACGGGCGCGACCATGGGCGTGGCTCTGATGAACTACGACCTCGGCGCCGTCAACTGGCGCCAACTCGTCTGGATCTTCTCTGGCTGGCTTATGACTTTACCCATTGCCGGATTGATCTCGGGCCTGCTGTGCGTCATGGCCCTCAATGCTCCTCACTTCTAGAGATCTGTCTGCTTGATTGCGTTTACGTCAGTACCTCATGTATATCCGGAATGGTACATACCTTAGTACTGTAGGGGGAGGGGGGACAGAAATAGGTTACATCTATAGTATGTACAGTACTATGCTTTGTACTATAGTATAGTACTGAATACATAATTACAGTAATGATCCACTTCTCAATACTACTAAGTACCGTGCCCACCCTTGGTAGTTCAAATTCAAATAAGTGCTGTTCTAAAGCTGTATCGGATGCCGTTCTTATGGGGTACTAATACTGTATTAATACAGCATCTGATGCTGTCTCAAGTCCTTGAATTTACTTAGTACATAGTACTATAGGATTCTCATGGTGTTTGAAGTGGTTCCGTTACTATATCGATACGGCCTCAGCACAATATTACTATGTATATACATATACATATATATATATATATACTATACAGGCCTTCCTAAGTACTAGTAGTTTGAATCTGCATCTATGCTGTTCTGATGTTGTTCCGATGCCGTGTCAAGATTTAGTGCTGTTCTAATACTGTATCAAGCTTCAGCACTGTTCTAAAACTAATTCAGTACAATTAAGTGTCAGTCTTAAGCATTAAGAACTTATTACTGTAAGTCTGAATTTTAATATTCTTTATTTACATGGTATATATTTATAAAAGAAGAAATAAATACTAAAATTAGCCTTAAAAAATAGAAGTAAAAAATAGAAAACATTAAGAAACCATAGTAAAGACATATAGAGAGATAAAAAAGTAGAATTTAATGCTAGTGAGACTTAAACACTTCTTTTTACTTACGTACTTAGTAAGTTTAATGTTAATCTAATGCTGGTTTAATACTGATCTAATACTATATTGATATAACATCAGACGCTATAAGAATCTTATAGTAGATTTAAGGACTTATGACAGTATTGAAACGGCATCAGAATAACATCTAATACTATCTTAATAAAGTACTATGTATATTTCAGCTTTAGAGCAGTAATAATTTAGACTTAAACTACTATGGGTGGGCAGTATAGTACTTTATGTAGTATCAAACTACGATTAAACTAAGATCGATCCCAGTTCCAGCTCTGTCCAGCTTGATGTAGCTTGCTGTAGTTCTAACCTAGTTTTATAGTATACTAAGTACTACAGTACTTACTTAGTACTAGTATATAGTGGTTTTGATATTAGTCTTAAATTATATACTATAGTTTTAGATTACTCTGGATCAGTCAGATTAAACCAGCTAAACTAAAGTAGATCAGCCTTAGACCAATATTAACTTGCTAAGCTACTTAGTACCATATTACTCTAAATTAGACTTAGCTTAGGTTAAAACTACTAGTAGCTCTAGACTAAGTTAGACCCTCTAGGGGGTAGTGTGATAAGTACTTTAAGCTTTATATTCTTCTTCATATATGGGACTACGAATTCTGTCGTATTGGGTTAGTGTAGAGTGAGGGACTACAGTCCTAGCACTATACCTCGGCTTTGACCATCTTATACCTGCAATAGTATATACGTACTTACTTTACGGGGTACAGTACATACTTAGTAGTACTTACCTACTTAGTAACTTAAAAGGTCTAATCTTACAGTATATCTGATTTAGATTTCATCCAGGATCTGCTATACTACTGTATGATCTAGGTCTGATCCTACATCATTTACGCCTAATATGTGGCATTGCATGGAGGATAGGGTCACTTTACCCGTCGTGGAAAATGTTCAGTGGCAGAGTCGCTGCAACACCAAAATTGGGCATGTCGACCACCTCTGCCAGCTTGAGATCCACGGCAGTAGAAGCGAGCATGTAAGCCTCCGGCCGTGTTAACCCGCGCGTGGCAGTGAGGTAATTGATGACGCCGCGAACTGCGTCCCGCGTCGCCTCCAGCAGGTCGGAGTTGATGCCCAATGCCGCGTAGGAGCCACGATCCTCGAACCCAGCAATGGGAGCCAGCGGGGCGGAGAAGTAATGCGGCGAGGCGACCCAGTCGTGGTTCTTTCGTACTGTCAAGCGAAGAGTCGCGTGCATTGATGTCTCGATAGCCGTACCGCAGACCTCACCGTCCCCTTGCGCAGCATGACCATCTCCGCAACTGAACAGCGCGCCGGGCGTCTTGACCGGTAAGAAGAGCTTCGACCCCACCGTCAAGTGGCGACAGTCGATATTACCTCCTGTGTTGAGGGGCGGGATGGTCGAGAATTCGCCGTCTGCTTCGGGAGCAACGCCCATTTCACCAAGGAATGGCCGAAGCGGGATCCTGATGCCTTCTTTGAATACCGCGTAAGGCTTGTCGGCAGGTAGTTGCCAGATTTTGATCTGAGGCTCTCGGAACTCATCGGTGAGCAGGCCAAAGCCGGGCATGACCGCCGTCCAACCCCAATCTGCCGTCGTAAGGTCTAGTATCTCGACTTCCAATGCGTCTCCAGGCTCAGCGCCATTGACGTACACCGGACCGTACACGGGATCTGCAAGGTTAATGTCGAAGTTGGAAACGTCCTCGGCCGAAGTTGACGTTGAAACCTGCCCGTTGCTAGCGTCCAGGGTGTCGAATGTCACCACGGCGCCGGAGTCGACTTTCAGCACGGGGGCGATGGACTTGGACCATTTCAGATGGTTCTGGCAGCGATTGACATGTAGCGAATAGGAACCCATGTGACGAACGCGATGAAGCGACAACCGTGACAGTTCAGTGATTGCTCGATTGTTGCTGATCTTGCACACGGTCTGGCGAGGAGTGATAGCAATATGACCATGAGACGGGAGCAGCCTGATAATACCAGTATGTATCAAAATCCACCATCTTTTCCATCACTGATGATACATCATGCGTCGGAAAAGCGCGTCCATGTTCTACAGCTACGGTAGCCCGTATCAGGAAGGAGGTTTGGGCGGAGAATTCTCGGGGCGATTAGCGATGATGACGGTTGTTCGAGGGATCTCGGTGGTGTGGGAGGGCCACTCGATCCGCAGCTGTCTCGTGCTTGGTGTGCGGTCTCGAAGGCCAGTATGTAATTAGTACATAGTATTGTGTAAGTAGATGTGGCCGCGGTTATGGGTCAAACAGATATCTCGTCCATTCTCCGCCACGGTGGAGGTCGAGATGGGTTCTCGTCGACTTCAATGTTCTACACCCGAAGCAGAATAATGTAGACAGGACTGCACATGTTGTGGCTTTGATGAGAAGACCCGAGGAGAGCGTCGCCTCATGCCAGAGATGATGTACTGTACGTGTCATTAACTCGAAGAAGACTGTGAGAGAAGTAGTATCGAGCTGTCGTGCAACCTCGAGTGTGTGTATGAGTGGTACCTGGTGAGATGACATTCACAGGAGGATTGACGCTTGCAGTATTCCACGGACAGAGTATACTCATTGCATGAGCCACGGTACAAAAGCACTGGGCATGCAGTAGAGTGTCATTGGGAGATTGACAATCAGCTCAGTAGCTTTTCGTTGCACACTGACAGCCATCCTAGCGCTGAATAAACCACATTGATTGCTGGGCATCCTGAACGAGTCGGTGCGACTGAGTGAGGAGGTGCGATACAGGTACAGGTACAGGTGCAAGCGCAGGTTGCAGAGGGGGGATTTGAGGCATTCAAGATGGGATCCCGGAGCACTGTGAGCCTTCGATGACCTCTTTAAAATGCCCAGCGGCGAAGCTGTGATTACGAGGTACGAACGAGCATGTAGAAAAATGCCGTGAATGCTCGATGGTCCATAGTGGAGGAAAATGAGCTTTCAACGATGAGTGACCATTCGATAAGGCCATGCTCGTCACCTCCACACCAACTGTAACGGCGACAACTCGTCCTGCAGGATCGATGTACAGTAGAAGTTAGCCGGTAGAGTGAGGCTAGAACATCACGACCGTGTCACGTCGTTGTCGAGTCAAGGAACTATCCGACCGAAGTCCCTTTCCCTCCTTCTCCTTCACATGGTTCTCGACAGGACGCATACGAAGTACCCAATACATCGCCTTAGGGCGTGATCGCCCTGTCCGCACGCGCACCACAACAGCGAGCCATGGAAGATTACTGATCATCTGCAGTGTTGCTATCACAAGGTACGTCCGAAGTACACAGTTGGGCACTCCAACATGCTGTTTCAGATCCAGCCAGGCCATGACTAAGTAAGTACTCAGTACGCAATCCGACCGTGACTGGATTTTGCACGAGCCCCCCAATCACAGATCTCTTACCGTGGCGGCGGCGCCAGGCCAACGAGAACCGAGTTTCATTTGCCGGATCGAGGAAATATACGATGGATTCAGTCAGGGCTGGAGGCCTAAGCGCATCACTGTTTGGCGGCGAGGGCTCGAAAATATCCGAATCCGAGGGCCTCGCTAGGGGCCAGGCGAAAGTAACTGCCGTTGTCAGCTTAGTCGGTCACAGATCAAACCCTAGCATGCGCCTCTACGACCTCACGAACGCCACCAAACGCTCCTGCCTTCCCTCAGAACCCCATCACCTTCGTCTATACACAGGACACGTTCGAATGCTGCTAGCAGAGACGGAGCGACGTATTGTGCAATGGTGTGGACGGATATGGCTGATAGATGCGTCCTGCCCGTGGGATCGACGGGCACACACCATATCCGAGTCCGTGCCACGACATAATCCCACACGAACTAGCCGAGTACATAAGCACGGCGAGGTTGCGTCTTCCTTGCAAGTCATCGGAGCCACCGCCGCTGGGTGGTAGGCAGGTGCAGGATGACAACCTGGCTCCCACACAAATTACTAAGGGTAGCTCTTGGCTACTGGCTCTAGCCTCCAGGTCAACGGCCTCGACTGCGACTCGAGAGACGGCAGCACTAGCCCTCTATCGCGCTCACAGGCCCAGCAACGTCCGATCACCAAAGTGATTACCGCATATATCGCAGTATCTGCTAAGGCTTGGGCCCGCTGGCGGCTCTTTTTAGCTTCAGCCCCCAATCCTTCAGCAGACCACGGTCAAAGCCGCCTTGTGTGTCCAGAATCCTGATGCGCCACATGGATGATGATTTTAAACGTCAGGGAGGCCCCTGGACCGTGGGCATCTGCGCCGCGCTAGCCGGCACCATGTACGGGTTCTCGACCATCGTAACAGGCCTCACCAGGAGGCAGAAGTACGTCTACAACGCCCTGATCACAGGTCTGTCCATCGTGCTGGGGCTCGCCTTCGCGGCCCAGTTCAAGCAATACGCCGAGATGATGCGGTGGAGGTTCCTGGCGTCTCAGTATCGCAAAATCCAGGACTTTGAGGACGTCCTCGGCTGCGACAGCTACAGGAGCGCCCTGCGTATCATGTGGCGCGGCCACCGTCGGGGCACCTGGTACCCGAGTAAGGCGCAGGTCCTCGCCGCGTGCTGGATCCTCGTCTTTGTCGTCTTCAACGTGTGTACCGCGCTGCTGGGTCTGACGTATTCGATCGACGTGTCGGACACATACGTCCACCTGTCGCGTGGTAAGTTGAGCGTGAGCTCACACAACCCCATTTAATACCTTCCCGTCAGTACGAAGAGGCCATTCCCGCTGTGCTAACCCCGTAATGCTCGAACCATCTAGGCGAAACCAGCGTGGCCGACCTATCGTACATCTCGAGCCAACCACTCCCCGGCGGTGGTTTGGACTACTTCAGCGAGTTCCAAAAAGCGGCAGCCAACCTCTGGGGCCAGGTGGGGCAAAACTTCATCACCCATCCGCAGGACCTGGACGACGTGGAAGCGCATCGCAATGCCCGGTACGTCAGCCCCGACGGCAGCTTCTATTACTACCGGTTTGTGGATCTGTCGCTGGACCAGAAGGCGAACGTTGTGTCGCGGCGCACCGTGTCCAGCACGGCCTCGTGCGTCGAATACACCGTCACATTTGGCGGGTACGCAGGACTCAACACGCAGGACGCGGACCTCGTGTACAGCGTACAGTGGGTGGACGACCAGGGCAACTCGTTCAGCGACACGATCAGTAACGTCGCGACGGGCGAGACCACGTGGATGGCCAACTCGAGCAGCGCATGCGGGCCACGCTGCGCCCAGATCCTGGCCCTCCAGTCGGCGAACAACCTGACGAGCTCGCCCGAGGGGTCGCGCATCTCGGCCGTGCCGACCCCACGGCTGTGGGCGTGCAACAACACGGTCGGGCGCGTGACGAACACGGACGTCGCAGGCTTCGACGACCCTTCGCGCGTCGACCTGCCAGACGACCAGGCCTTCTACCTCGCGGGCGCGATCGGCTGGACGGGCATCGAGACCGTGGGCTCCGACCTGCAGTACTCGCTCTTCAACGGCGACACCCGGTACAACCCACCCGGGAACGTCACGGCGGACCACATTGCCGCACTGGTCATGTCCTTCACCGTCGGGGCCATGTCGGCGAGCGACGGCCTCGGCGGGCCTCGCATCAATCTGACGGGCGACGTCAGCCCCAGCCCGGCGCAGGTGGTCAACGTCAAGTGGGCGGACGCGGGCGGCATCTTGGCCGGCATCCCCTTTGTGCAGTTCGTCATGCTGTTGGGCGTCGTGTGGTTCGCTAGCAAGGCCATCATCCTGGAGCCGAGCTACATGACGGTCGCGCACCTGTTGTACCCGGTCATCCAGAAGGTGGGCAAGGACGGCTGTCTGTTCACCGTCGACGAGATGGCCGAGCGCCTAGGTCCCGGGTACAGGATCGCGTATGGCGTGCGGCCTGACCCCGCGGACCCGGGCCGCCATGACACCACGTTTGTGCGGGATCTGGACGTCATCGAGGAGTCCGAGGGTCATGGGTATATTCGGGGATCTATGCCGGAGGGGAGGTATGATTGATTGGATTCTTCTTCTTTGTTCACCAGTCCTGTGTATAGCGCAAGCAGCGAGCAAGAGCGTTTTGGTCGTCGTGTTCTCGTTGGTTTACTGCATTTGGATATCTGCGTATGGAGTGATTGCCCTGGAATCACTAGGATCGAGATCGGACATTGTCTCAGCAGTGAATGAAATGACCGTCTGCGTGATTATGTTGATCCTGTGTGTTTTAGGATGACCGTTTGCATAATTATATCGACTCTCTCTCTCTCTCTCTCTCTCTCTCTCTCTGTGTGTGTGTGTGTGTGCGTGTGTGTGAGTGCGTGTGTTGGAAGATTACGCCGTCCGCCATTCCGCGTCCTGCTGGAAGGACATCTATCTATAATTATTCCCTACCTTATAAGGTCCGTCCGTGTTGGCTTTTGTATCCATACTGACTGCTCTCCAAGGATGCGATGCGATGCTGTGCCGTGCCCTGCCGTGCCCTGCCGTGCCCTGCCGTACCGTGTCGAGGCTAGTCGCCATCATCGAAAACCACCCCGTGTCCTCTAGTCCTGAAACCCGAAAAGCACACAGCCCATCACAGCCTCGCAGTCAGGGGCGATGATTGATCCTCGACACTGCCTATGCGCTGGCCGTTCTCGTTGAACTCGATCTTCTTGCCGGTGATCAGACTCTCTTGCAACGCGCAGCCGATCTTGACGGCGGTGACGGCACCCTCCAGTTTGAACGGGGGCTCCGTGTCGTCGAGGCAGCAGGCCGTGAACTCATTGGCCTCGGTGATGAAGGCGTCGCGGAACCGGCCGTAGTAATGGGGCGGGATCTCGCGGCGGATGCCCGAGGGCTCGTAGATGTGGACGAGATTGGCCATGGGCTGCGTGTTGACGGCCAGCTTCCCCTCGGTCCCCGTGATCTCGGTGCTGTCTTCCTGGCCGGCGGCCATCATGCGCGAACAGTACAACTGTGCGATCTTGCCGCCGTGGAACTCGACGATGCCCAGCGCGTTGTCGCGGTCGTTGTATTTCCGCAGTTCCGGAGACACGGCGGTGATGCCGACGGCGCTGACGGACTTGACCACCGAGTCCTCGCCGAAGAACCACAGCGCCAGGTCGATGTCGTGGATGGAGCAGTCAACGAAGATGCCGCCCGAGAACTGAGCGTACTGGACGAAGAAGCCCGACGGGTCGAGCTTGTCGCACGTCTGAGAGCGGAAGACGGCCGGCCGACCGATCAGCCCGGCGCGCATCTTCTCGTGGGCGTCACGGTACGAGGCGTCGAATCGACGCGAGAAGCCGCAGATGACCTTTTGCTTGGGGAACTCTTTGCTCGACGCCCGATATGCCGTGACGACGGCTTGTGACTGTGGCCGGGGGAAAAAGGTTAGACCAAAGACACACCAAACGTGGCCAGATACTGTAAGTTTACGTACCACTTCTGGATTGGTGCTCAGTGGCTTCTCACACAGGACGTGGTGCCCGAGTCGGATCGCCTGGATTGCTTGTTCGGCGTGCGCGACCGTGGCCGACGCGATGACCACGGCCTGTAAGTCCTTCTCTTGCCTCAACATCTCGTCGTAATCCGCGTACGTCCTGACTCCCTCCAGAGTTCGAGCCGCCCATGCCAGTTCCTTGGCGTCTGGCGACGACACGGCAATGACCTCGGCGCGAGGCGTCATGGTGTGGAAGTGCAGAGCATGGCGCGCGCCCATCCGGCCCAGTCCGGCGATTGCTACCTTCAGTTTCGGCGAAGACATGTTTGGTTGCTCTCGAGTCTACAGAGGTTTAATGAAGAATAGACGACAAAGACGAGTCAAGATGGAGCAAAACAAAACATGACATCGAATAGGTGGCCACTCGCAAGTCACGAACTCACCGCTTGTCACGTGCCAGAGGGAAATCTCATCAGGACGAGTTACGACTTGTTGGCGGTTGGTTCACATTGGGGATTTGGCAACATGCAACCCACACGTTGATGGACATCGTTGTGGGCGGTGAGGGACGGCAGATGATCCTGCACCTGAAGGCCCCGAGCCACAGCAATTTAGGCTTCCTCAACGGCCCTTTCTAGCCCTGCACGGGATTGTGTTAGGGGCGCCTAATGCCGCCGAACGCTAGCTACCTAGGTACACGACGGCTGTTCTCGCTAGCCCAGTGAGGCAAAGCCCAAGGTACCCGCGTCTGGGCACACGCATTTGCTGACCGTAGACTTTTCTCTCAGCCACGACAAGGTTATCCGTTGCATTGCATGGCAGATCAAGGCAGGTTGGATGCGAGTCTTGACATGGCAGCAGCTGTGATGAAGAAAGCATTGTTCTCGGTCATGGAGAATTCACCGCGCCCTGTGAACGCCCACTTGAAGAAGAGCTGGTATCTAGTAAGCAACGTGCCATGAAATTGAAATGAACGATACGCAGCGCCATTTGTCCCTGCGAACCATCCACGGAATTTGTGCTAAGCGGCCCTCAGATGAATTCGCTGCCTCTCAGAAAACGGCCCCCGCCTTGACTGCCTCAGGTGACTATTCTGTCGACAGCGGCGCCGCGGACGGGGACCTATTCACGGGCTCTGGTGTTGAGCTTCTAGGGTGCCGTCGCGGCCGCGTCTCTGGTGGCAACACCATAGAAAAACTTCGAGGCTGCTTCGATGCACTTTATTTGCCGACGTAAGAACAGCTTGGTTATGGACTGGTTTCTTCCTGGCTGCACATCCGAGCAATCGTCACAATGTGGTGGATTGACCAGCTCGTACTGCCGTTCAACTTCGTGGGTGCGCGTGCCGCAACCCAGTTGGCACCCGAGTCACGATCCTCAAGAAACCGGTAGGAAAGCAATTGCGCGGGTGCGACATATCGCCGTCCACACCACACTGAGAGCCCTCCGCTGCGCCACCAGTACTTTTTGCGCAGGTGCGAAGGGAACCAACACCCATCATGCGCCCGTGCCCACTCGGTCGTTGCCCATCCTATCTCTCACCGACGAAGAGCTGCTCATGCCCGTGCCCATGCCCCTCACCCATCATTCCCACTCGAATCCCGTGTCAAGGAGAAGCTCGGCGATGGCGGAGAGATCCCCGGGGGGAGAGCGTCGATCAATGTCCACCTGTGCCGCGACCGGAGGATTGCCACCACGTTGTGGTCTGCCCGGCTGTTGCGGCGCAGGAACCCAGCCGCGGCCTATGTGGAGATTGTTGTCTGCATGAGACGTTGCAGGGCCGAAGGATCGTCCGCATTTCTGCCACATTTGTCAGATTAGGTATTCCCTGTCGGACTCGGACTCGGACTCCAATACCACGGATCCGGCAGGGAAAGAGAGTGCGTGTGGCAGAGAAAACGAAAAAGGAGCAACATACCCAGGACCAGTACTTTGACGTGGCGTACCAGACATAGTTGTCCACATTTTGGATCGAGATTGAGTGTCCGGTGGTCGGGTCTGCAGGCTGCCGGTTGAGGTTCGCCGACTTCCACGGTCCATCTACACGACTTGATTAGCATCGACTGATCGGGTTGATGGCAGGGAAGCATCCAGAGCCACGGCCTCTTTCAGCGCGAGAGAGAGACATACAAGAACGGTCATTTGGTGGATAATCGATGATCTTGCGGATGATGTTGAACTTCCACCCATAGTGTTGACGATCATAGATGACCGTATCATAATTGGGGACCCCCTCAAAGATGTCGGGACAATGAAGCAACTCGTGCAGAACCGTCGACCCGATGGTCCTCATGTACCCGGTATCTCTGTCTCCTAGGCCGCTGCACCCCCACCCGGTCTTGGGGTTGCCCTGGGCGTCCCTGGCCCAGGCCGGCGGATTCTCCGTCCCAGCCAGATCGAGCCGGAAGTTGAACAATTCCCCCTGCGGACAGAGGATCATGTAACACGAACCCTGGAAGTCCCAGTTGTCTGGCCTCGGTGCCCGCGCATCGTAGATAAGGTATGCATTTTTGCTATTGAGCAGATTGTCCTGGTAAGCTCCACAGCCCCTACTGGGTTGGATGTCGGCGGGAACGCGTGGATAGTCGCCGAAAGTCATCATGATTTTGGACCAGTAAGGACTTAACGTGGCGTCCTAGCAGTGAGAGACTGGTGTTAATAGAGGGACGCTTCCGACGCGACAACAACAACAGAAACGCCCACTCACCATGTCAAAGGTAGAGAGCAAGGCAAGGGTATCGGCGGGGTTGTGATCCTTGGGCGGCTCGAAGTTGGCTATTCTGGCGAAGATGGACTGCACGAACTCGAAGTCTTGGTGCTGGAAGTCTGAGCACGAGGTCAGCTTTACGGCCGACAACAGAGCAAAGGAAGTGAAGGGACGACTTACACCGTAAGAATTCCTGTGAAGTCGAGACAGCAACATTAGCATTGACGTGCCGGCTACCACTGCCAGTACTTGTGTCCCGCAGTCAATGGAACCATTTTGTCCATAGGGCACGTACCGGATCGCAGTCCCTTCCGGTCAGCAACACCACCCGCGCGAGGGTGATTGCGTCTTCGAAGCCCTGTCGCATGAGGCGCGCATACGCTTGATATCTCCAGTCGTTTTTCGAGAAGGGGAGCCGGACTTGTGGACGGTCGTGATAACGAGCCCGAGGTTCAGCAAGAGAAGAAGAAAAAAGGTCGGCAGCATCTTGACTTTGACTGCGTCAAAGGCCATCTTGTTTGTCCGAGCACGGCAGGCAAAGTGTCGAAGGAGGCAACGCTGAGTCGAATACAATTCGTGTGAAAGTCGATATGGAGTGGTCGCTCAGATTTTATTCCACCTCGTTAGATCGACCCTTCACTTGTCGCGTCGGTGGCAGTGAAGCTTTGGCGAGGACGTTGCGTGAAGATCAAGTAGTGACATCGGACGCTGCTCTCGAACGCAAATGAAGGAGAGGTCAAAGCCCCCCGGAGAGTGTCTCGAGGATCGATTCATACCAGTGCATATCAACGGCGCCGCAGCGTGTATACCTACTGCGAGTGGGTGACAAGGAAATATTGAAGGAAGATCCATTCATTCCGACTGATGCCAAAAATGCGAGCGATGCAGAGTGCTGATGCTTCGTCGTATCACCGTGGGTTGGTGACATTCAAGAGAAGGCTTCAGAGGATCATGCCTCCATCCAGTCCCAATCGTATGAGAGGCACTCACCAAAGCCTGCGGGCGAGAAGTCTCTCCGCCTGTTCTCGTTGACATATTTAACATTGTCTCTCGTGCTGAGTCGATCTTCTCGCCTCCACCCAGACTACCAACATATTCAGAAGGTGTTCGCAGGCCCTTTCCAGGACTGCTCGATGCTGTTAGCCTAGCGTAGCGCCGGGGCTGCGACGTATCTCAGCAGCCCAAAAACGAAGATGACATACCAATACCATGGCCGGCTCCGTTAGCGGCGTCATCTTCATCAGGCTCCCATAAAACTCTATACCCTTCTCTTTCCCATGGCCAACGATACACATGGACCTCCTCAGATGGGGCATGTCTTCGACGACCTCCTGCACGCAAGAGATCAGCCATTTCCCAAGCCCCTGACCTTGCCATTCTGGCAACGTGTACACATCCGTCAGGTACGCGAAAGTGACCCCATCGGTGATCAAGCGAGCAAAGCCAATCAACGAGGGCTGTTCTTGGTCCTGGGTCTGCCGCCGCTGCTGCTCCACGTCCTTGGATGGCGTCCGATGGCTCGTTGGCTCACTGCTCGATGCCGGCTTGACGTGTCCAGCAATTTCATGCAAAATCTCTGCTGGGTCTGGCGCTGTAGACGCCGAGATGGCGTTATCCACGGGCGCAGGCGCAGGCGGTGCCGGTGTCGGCGAGTAAAGACCAAAGCAAATACAGTTGTCCAGCATGTCTCGCATGACTGGACCTGGCAGTGGTGAAGCCCAGTATAGCGTATCAGATGCAAAGGCTTTATTGAGGTCTTCCACGGGGATCAGTGACGAGTCTGTCGATACCAGGAATCCATCGCGTGTCCACGTCCTCGCCCCCTCGATGGCGTGGGCAGTGTGAGACATATTTGCCCAAACTCTAGGGTAAACCAAAGGGAGAGGATGAATCGAGGTACTGGTGGTACTGCCCGTCCTTCTCTGAGAAACCGTGCAATCTGACGATCACTTGAAGAAGCTGTGCTGTCGGGTCCTTGTACGCAAACTCTAGGGCTAAAAAGCAAACGATGGGAATGAGTCAAGGTCACTGGTCGTACTTAAGCTCATCTAGGTACTTTGTAGTGACGATGACTCAAGGATCACGTGATGAATACATCATACCGGCGTCTTCTTCTTGTTCAGCACGCCGTACTAGTACGGGTGGCACGTCACGGCGAAGCAGAACGACCACTAAACGTCGCGAGTTCGTCTCCTCGACTTTTAGTTGGTTGACTCTGGAGACGATTCAGTCTATTCGGCAACAAGCTCAAGACAGAATGAATCAATGGTCACAAACCCTCACATGGCAGGAGTCTACAAATGGATGGGCAGATGCCCCAACGCCGACAGAAGATCGAGCGACCCCGACGCCTAGCCTAGGCAGTGTGTTGGTGAAAGCAACAGCACGGCGCTGGCTTATTGAGCGCTCCATATCGAGAATTCTCAGCCCAATGCAGTCTGTCGGCTCAAGGCCTACGGATGCTTGGAATACAGTGGTGGGAGTCAATCAAGAAAGACCTTTGCAACCGAAGTAGGCGCTTATCCTGGATGCCATGCCATATCCCGTCAACGGTTGCGGTTAGTGAATAAATGTGCCTGCTGCGGTGGCGAAGAGACATACAGCCGTCCAAAAAGATTATTATAGACGTTAAGAATGCCACGTCGCCTTATGTTACAACTCCTCATCTCGATAGCCGGCAGATCCCCAAGGTCTCAACGTCTCCTCCTCCTCCATTTTAGCACTCTCAAACACCATCGAATCATCAAATTGTCTCCCCTCCGGCCCAAAATAAGACTTGAACAGTTTCTTTAAATCCTTATCACTGAACCGCATATGCTCGCCGGGGAGCTTGACCGTCTTCAACCCACCTTTCTTATCCAGTCGTTTCAAGCCGATCCAATCCTCGCGGTAGATGGGCCGGAGTCGAAGTGGCGTGACTGAATTTTCCGTCTCATTGAACTCGGCAAACCAGGCGCTTTCCTTGGGGATCAGGGTTGTATCGTTGTTGAAAAGTATCATGACAAAGCGTTCCAGTTGAAATAGATTGTCTGCGTAGCTGACGTTCTTAAGGGGACGTTCGTTGTTGATGTCCGCCAGGTAGTTCGAATGTTCCAGATAGTTGTCGAAGTCCTTTGTATCACGGTAGTATTGTGCAGGGACGAGGCGAGATTGGATGAAGTCGGACCACACGGTGCTGCTCTTCAAGAGTGCATTGGCGCCCTGGCATATCCAGTCTGTCGGTGACGAGCACTTCTGGAACTCCGCGATCCCGTTGTGTGGCGATCCGAAAGTGATGAGAGATCGGACCTTGGGGGCGTTACACCTCTCCACATAACCACGCAAGAACAAGCCACCCTGACTGAAACCGAGGGCATCAATGGCAGGAGCTGTTCGCAGAATGTTGTCCTTTGCAAGCGCGTGGCAGACAGAATCAATCTGTTGCGTAACGTTGCCGAAGAAGGAGGCCTGGCGATCCGCTGAGCCAGCATTGGCGCCTACCGTGATCATATAGGTATATGTGCCTGGGTTGACTTCATCCACCAACGCAGCCACTTCTTTCAAACCCTCCGCGTTGGCTGAATCGCCGAGTCCATGCCAGATGACCACAGGAAGGGGTTGATCGTCAGTGTCGTCGTCGATAGACGTCGCTCGAAAAGCGGACTTTGGTGATAGTTTTGTGATTTTGACCCATTCGTCCGCGATGATCTCCTCGACTGTGTCGCTGGACGTCGGGGCCTCTAAGCTGTTGTCCTCTTCCCTGACGAGCTGCGGTATGACGCGGCCCTTTGGCGACAGGCTCGGAACATCTGCGAGTTGGCTGCGGAAGACTTCGGCTTCGGGGAAGACAACGAAGGCGAGGATGGCCGCAGGGAGCGATAACAACATAGAGAGCTGCGTCATCCGCATTGTGGCAGAGTAGCTTCGACGCCTCGAATAATGACGAGCGCAGGACTGCGAGACTGATTCCGTGAGATTTGGAGGCCTGCCCCGAAATAGATTGACACTGAAGCGACTATAACAGGACCGAAGAAATGGTTGTTGCCTGCCTGCGATGCAAGCGCATGCTGACGAGTCGATTGCTAGTAGTGCTAGTTCATGCTCGGGGCCTGCCATTCGACGTACCCCAGATCTTGGCAGGCACCAACGCACATCTGCATTCGACCTAGAAAAGAAAAATCGCATTGTCTGACAGGAAGAGCGCTCGTGCATTGCGTGGGATATTTAGGGACAAGTCACACCGCAAGTTCAATCTGCACGGGAGCACGCGACCTCGAACCACAGGTCTTCCGCCACTTTGGTCTCGTATGAGACACCGACACCTTGTGTGTATTGAAAGCGCTCAGCTTCAATGGGTAGACTACTCGCACTGCACTCTGGGAAGACGGATGCAGTACTGTGAGCAAATCGAACTCCTGTTTCCTGGCAGGCACAGGTCAGCCGTATGTCTCAATCATTATTCGTCTCATGTCTGCTGGCGTTGTGTAGTAATGTCCGTCCTTGGGAAGCGGATGAGAAAGCCTCCTCTCCAAGACTCCACGCTAATGGGTATCATATCAAGACAATTTGCCCCCCCATTTTTGGGACATGCCTCCTAGAACGCCTAGGAAACCCCGAGTCCATTCCAACCTCCTGTGAGCATGTAGAGGTGATGCATTTTTCGTTCAACCCAGCAACCCGAGCCCGTCTTCCTCGGGGACCAAGACTCGGACCTTCTTCAGATCCTGCGTCCACCTCCTGGTAACGTGCAACCATAATTGTCTCTCATCCGACCGCTTCTCTTCGATATACTTCTCCAACGACGGCTTGCTTTGCCAGTCCTCCCATTGCCGCCCAGGACTGACGAGCATTTCGCAAGTAAGGTGTGGATATTGCTTCTTTGCCGAAGCGATCGCTTCCCTATCCGCCTGCAGACGGGCATCTTCCAGCTGACACGGAGGACAAGGATGGTCCTGGTGAGATAAGAAATTCGGCAACATCATGTAATGAGGCGGTAGGTAATGTGAGGACGACGTGCAAGAGAAGTGGAATGCTTTGGCAGAGAATGACTCTGATCGTGTAAACCTGCGTCCCAGTTCGCCGCACTCCTTGGGTTGTCGAGCCACACCAGGCAGAGGGGTGGCAAACGACTGGACCCGGGATATCGGTGAGGATGGAGGCGTGATGGAACCGTCTGAGCGAGAATCCGACGTCCCATTCGAGGAATCAGAACGTCCTCGTGATGAGACGGGTCTGAGGTTGGACCCTGACAATCGGTTCTGACAGTTGTAGCATTTGTAGGGTTGCTGAGGGAGCTTGACTCCGGTTGTTTTGAGGATAGGACATGGTCCCCGATTGCATATGTCGAGGCCCATCAGGATGCCATGGCCGCAACAGAATCGCAGGACGTGAGCCTTGCACATCTCAACGTTGTGTGTGTGTAGAGGTCTTCCTCGGAGGAAGCAGCGCAGGAAGTAGGTGGTATGGAGTGGATATCCTCGAGAGGCGCAGGTGACGGAGAAACGACTTGACGTCCAGGGTGGTCTGTAGAGACTTTCTCAACAGGCGACGTGCGGATAACGAGGCATTAGGTAGATGCTCTCGACTTTTGACGAATGCCCGGGCGAGGACCTGGTACACGCGGGGCAAAAGAGTGTGGTGCCCAAGAACAGTCGTCAGAGGCGTCCGTCCACAAATAGATGCAGGATCCCCGTGTTTCCACCGCACAACCAAACCTCTGTGCATATAGGGTGACCTGTGCGACCGGTGAATAGCGAGTGTCACAACGTCATCGGCGCCAGCAGGTGTGAATAGGTCGACGGTCGGTAGAGGTTAGAGGGAAGGATTTGGGGGTCCGTGTCCAAGAGGGCGAAGAAGACCCAGGTCATGGAGGAGGAGACTATTAACCTTTGACAGGTGGGTTCGGGAGAACCACCACAAGTGCCCGTGGGCCGAGAGTCAATATGATCGCATCGAGCATTAACGAATACAAGGAGAGGGTCGACGGCAAGCAGCAACTGGCCCGCGACAGCGTGCAGGCGCGGGGAACGAATGACGATGAGAGGAAACTCAACGGAAAATGAAGCTTGGAATCAGGCCGACCCATACACGGACCCTGGAGGAAAGCAGGACAGACTGACAGAACAAAAAGAAGCAACAACAACATGCATAAAACGGGGACGACGTCGTGAAATGAGCGAATTCTCATCGGCTGGGATAGGGTCGATGGAGGAGGGATGCGCATAGTTTGCGTTAGCATGGTGGAGGTGTCTAGACGAGGCGCTTTCGGCTGCAGGTGCTGCGGCCAAAGGTGGGATGGCTCGATGGGCAGAGTGGGAGCCATGAGGAAGCCACTCTGATCGTCCTCGGGTGGGATGTTGCTCCCTCATGGGCATGATTTGTTGAGGCCCCAGGCGTTCAAAACTTTTCCCTGGCCGACTACCCGATCCCTGCCGCCCCCGGAGGCTGAACTTCACCCTATCCTCACCTTTCCTTCGCTGTTGCGTCTCACGCTCGGCCTTCTCCCTTGATGAGAGAGCTGATATTTTTGGGTGTGTTATCTGCCTTTGTGGCTTGCGCGCTTTCTGTCCGCCTCCTCGCCATAATCCGCTGTGCGTCGTATTACCCTTCAAACGACGTACTGGGTATCTTGCTCGTTGCAACTTGGACCCGCCCGATGGGCACGGGTTGCAACTCTCAGTATGCCTGCGGCTAAATGGGTCGCAACGAGCAGGGAAGGGCATGGCGACGGCAAAAAGGGTGGTCTTCGCCCCATCGATCATGGTCCTGTCGGAGCTCACTGCTCTCCCTTCGCCGCTCCGGTGGTTGCAGAATTATAGCCAATGATGACATGAAGCGCGAAGTGCTCGTCGCAAGCACGCTGATGCATTTTATGCAGTGCTTCTCCGAGATCTTCTTTGTGTGCCTCTTCCGGCTCTTCCAGAACACACGATTGCCGGCGAAACCTCTGATGATGACTCGCGCCAGACCCACTCGGGTGTTCTGAGCACTTGGGGCTACGTACGGTGTTCATGCACGTCGACCCCAGAATTGCCATGCCCGGTCCTTCGCGATAATTGCCACATGCATCGCATCGTGGTCGCAGTTGGCCTTCTGCTCACCTTGGACGGCCTTGGTTCTCAGCGTCCAAAGGAGGAACCCAGCTTGGCTGCACAACTCACGTTCCAGCTGGGGCTGTCGACGCACATCTCCAGAGTATAACGGCCACACGCCTGATACTCGGCGATGACCATCGGGTTATGGGTCCGCGACAAGCGTTGTATGGTTTGCAGTGATAATCACAGTGGGTACGCTGTGCCGCAGGCAACCGATAAGCGGCGGCAATAGCAGCAGCCGCAGCGGCGGCGGCAATGGCGTCCTGAACATAATCTTGTCGATATCTATTCACATCCCGCTCGGCGGCTCAATCAGAGCGAGAATGGCTGCACACGCATGACCGAGGCAGTATTAATATGGTTCGGGTAGGGTGCTGGACCTGGAGGAAATGCTCATTGAGTGCTGGAGTCGAGCATGCAAGCGCTGCCTTGGGTTATCTAAGAATACCGATCCACCTTCATTCTTTATCACCACCTAGGTCGCCATGTGCTCCGCGATTACGGCAGGGCCAGACTCTTCTTGACAAGCATAGGCTCCTCACTATTCGTTCACAACATCTCCACGCGCTCGTGCACCGTCCCTGCATCGATCCCGCATCTAAACCGAACCACTTGATGCGTTGCCTGCAGTGTTGTAGTACATGGTGATGCTCTGGATTCTGAAAACATTGTCCCGCGCTGGAGGACCGGCCGACCACCCTGTCACGATGGCAATCAGAAACGAACTTTAGGATGGCGATAAACACCAGATACGTACCCCTATCGCCATTCGCCCAATTGTTCCAAACCCATGTACCTGGCACACTCGGAATGTTGACCCAGAACTTTTTCTGGAGCACTCCGTCGATGTAGAAGGCAGTAAAGTCCTTGGTCCAGTCAAGCCGATACTCATGGACGTTCGTTGTGCAGTCCGTTGGAGCATTGCCGGTCTGGTAAGTCTTGGCCATATTCTGAGGATCCACAGCCTGATTCGTGTACCACATGGGCACTGGTACGCCCGGACCTGGGTTGGACAAGGAAGATGGATCTGTCAAGTATTCGATATCGGTCTCCTGAGTGTCACTCTTGTAGAAAAAGAGGCCTGCTACTGTCAGTATCTGAGGTCATCACGAAGGCAACCGACGTGGAAACGCACCGTGAATGGTGCCAGGTTCCTGGCAGAAGATAGCTTTGGTCCGAACGCTGGCGTAGAGGATATTTTGGTCCACAGTCGTTATTTCCGCACATCTGATAGCGTAATTGTCGGCCTGCGTGGGCTGCTGGCCTCCTGGAACGGTCAGAGTGAGAAACCCGTTGCGAAGCTGAACGTTTGCCGGGTCGAACCGCTCATTGTAAGGGATCTGTGGGTTTCCATATCCCACTCTCCGGCTCTGCACAGTATAGTTGCTCTTATGGAGGCCAGCAGGTAGACTGAGTCCGTCGAATGTGTAGAGAGCCCGCTTTTGAAAGGTACCGACCCCAGGGACAACCCACGCACCATCCCTTCCCGTCACATCTCCATCGTCGCAGCTGACTTGGTGCTCGCCGGCGTTTCCATCATCGGGTTTTGGATCGTCATGTGAAACTTGGTCATTAGCAACACCTTGGATCTGGCCGATACCTCCATTGCCATTGGCTCTGTCATTCGAGGTTGCGGTCGGCTTGGCCGCAAGCCTCTCCGGCACTGTGGCACTTCTGACAGCCTGCTCTTCATTCGTTCTTCCGGCATTTGCCGTTGAATCTACCCTGAGAACAGGTGTATCTTGCTCCGTTCGGTCAGCGAATGATACCCCACGTGCTGGCATGGTGTGTGCTGATGTGCGCCGACGAGTCATGGCCACACAGGGTCGTGAAGAACAGGATGACGAAGAATATAGGAATGAATGGGTGAACGACAGTGCTGTCAGGAGTCTTGGGACCGGTCTTGTTGCCCGAGGATGACACGTGGGGGATTGCTAAGGTACGAATTAGAAATGAGCACTTTGTTGGTGAATAGCGAGATGTCACAGAGCGTGTGTGTGCTTACCAACAGGTGGCTGGGAGGGCTCCTCGCTAGGCTTTCCCGGCTGACCTTGAAAGCAAGACCCAATTCTGTTCACCCAGAGCCCTTTCAGTTGCACTTTGATGGGCATGAGCTGTTGGTTATGAAATGAGGACACACCGAGGAAGCCTGCCAACGAGGTCAGCCATACTGAATTGGCCTCCACAAAACCCTTTCGAGCTGCACAGTTGAACTCACATACATGTAGCGAGTGTTTTCAAAGGGTTTGAGAAACGATACTGGGAGAAGAGATGCTTCCTGCTGGGGTTGTGACAGAATGATAGTGGCTGTGTGGGTGCGAAAGGTGCGCGGAGATGGTTTCATTTGCGAGATGAAGTTGACAATGCAACTCGACGAGGCCGCGCCTCCCCTTTGGATCACTAGAACCAGCAGGAGCTGATGCGTAACAGGGTTGTCAGTGAGAGAGAGCGAGAGAGAGGCAACCACAACCAGATGTCTGGTCACAGTTGCCATCCCACTTGGTAGCCAAAGACAGTCTTGCGGAGAAGCTCATCTCCCGGGTCGTTCTCAAACATGACCTTGTCCATAATCTGTTCTGAAAGCTTCTTGACCACAAACCCATCGGCACGCGCCAGCTCAAAGAAATTGAGGTCTTTATCCAGCAGCCATGGTCGGTACGGGGTGAAAAAGACCAAAGCAACCGACTCGGAAGATCTTTTCAAGCACTCACGTACTGTTCGGAGCAGTTTCGTATGCTCTGAGTGGTTGAACAGAATGTCGGCAAGAATAAGGAGGTCGAAGCCTTCTGAGCTGGGATGAATGTGAGACTTCAAGGAGTGCGGCGCGCTTCCCCACAGGTAGCCTTCTGCTACAATGGTGGACTTGTTACTCAGTGTCGAACAATGCTCAATATTATAACGGAGATTCTCTATGAGATCCTGGTCCGGGTAGTCTGTCACCACTACCTTTCGAGCACCCAAGATAGCAGCAACCAGGCTGGGAAGACCCGAACCAGCCCCTAGCTCTAGAACAGTTTTGTTCTGCACAAGCTGGTGGACATGGTCCTCGAGATACTTGGCAACAACTTGGCCCGCGTTCCAGAGAAGATGCCCCTTGAGAAGTGGTTAGTCTAACAGCAAACAAAATGCAACTCCATATCACACCCAAAGAGGACTGTGCCCTACGAGCCTGAGCCTGAGCTCATCGCCATCCTGAAGGGTATAGTTGACGAATGTTGGTGGCTTCTCAGGCTGGAAAAAGCTTGCGGGCTCCTGGAAAATGTCGAGAGATGCCGAAGCTTCATCGTCGTCACTGTGAGCCATCCTGAAGACGGAAAGCGCCGACAAGACACACCCGAATCTTCGCTCGAGGGCCACGATGTTGCCGTTCTGAGCGTGCAGTGACACAAGAATATTGCTGACTGACTGGAAAATGAAAGCTCGCTCTGCGGTTGCGCGACACTTATGCGGGGCTTGGCGACGAGCCACTGCTTTGAGCTCTGGGGGTGTCTGGATACTGTCGTACTTTATGGTGTACCGTAATTTCTGCGTGCTGAGCACCCCTGCTCTGCCGGATACTGGTGGAGACGGTGCTACGGTGCCACAGCTTCACCAGCCTCCACTCAGCCACGGCGGCGTTAGGGCCGGCAAGTCCTCAACTCTGGCAGCTGGATTCCTAACCCTGAAGTGCAAGGGCGCATCCTCTTCTACTTGTCTGAGCAACGGCCGTGTTGTCGATAGATCGCAGGAGGCTGTACGGAGTACCTACGACATAAATCCGTTGGCTTTACTTGGCATGGCTGACATTCCTTTGATGTATTTCTTCCCAGTCGTGCCAGTGCACCCAGACGCCGGTTCCATCTCTGAGCTGAACTACTCTCACGCCACCACCTACACCAGTCTGACAGCGGAATGAACCATTGCTTGCTGCGAGTTAGTCGATGCTGAGCATTTCGCGTTGTGCTCGCCAAGCGCTGATAGACCGTCTACGGCTTGGTTCTGGCGTTGGCTGGAGGACGCCTCCAACGATGTCTTCGCCTACTTGGGTACAACAGGCGGCAGAAATGGAACGGCTACTCTACCATGGCTCTCATACTACAAAGCTAGCAGCATGCAGTTATCCGCAGGGTTGACACATGTGTCGCTTCGAGTTTCGAACAAGACAGCACGAGTTCTCTGCACTACAGTATGGAGTGCGGCTCGCAGCCCGTGGAGGAGCCACTACTCGTAGTGTACCTCATCCTTACCGCGAGATGTCGGAGAAGAGGATGCCGAGGTTACCTCGAGTCAGGTCTCAGGCGAGTATCCGAATATCCTGCGTCACAATGGAGTAGACACTCCTTCCTGCACGACGATGATGTGATACGATCGAATTTTTACTACTCGACGTTCGAGGGGTGGCCTGAATCGGCGCCCGTAGCGAATGGGCTCTCAGTCGAGATAAAGGCACTCGCGAAGAGGTGGTCGATTGCGTGGAGCCTGGCGTGGAGTACTCGTACTTGGATACTGTGATGTGATGTGTGCTCTGCGGCAGTTATTGAATAGGTACGACGGAGTCACTCCCGTTCCATTCGACAGTAGATGCGCGGAATCGTGCGCGAGAAGGGTGACTCGTACCTGGCCACAGTCATATGTTGCAGTATCGATCACCTCACTCTCACTCACCCATCACTAACTCTACCGCGGCGCATCGTTCAGGCGGTGAGTCCAGAAGGTCTTCGGCAGATATCTGAGCGAAGTGCAACACGTGGGATTACTGCACTCCCGTCGATTCATACATCTGTAGCTAGGATACCCGTACTTTCGATCAATGCGGTGACGTGCTGGATGCATGCTTTTTGCCCGGAGGCTCTGGCAAGGACCGACCGAGGCCGGCGCAACGTGGGAGAGCGCAGCCGGCACATCGTCGGATGGAGCGATCAAGCCTATCGAAGACTTGCGAGAAATGCCTCCCACTCTCGCCGGCTGGGCACATTGCTCGTACCGTGTATTCCCGACGGCTTCGATGACCCGGCTGTTTCTGGGGGTGATTTTCTTTGTACCTGCTCCTCGCCCACGACTCTCTTCTCCTCCTCGACTATCTCTCCCTGATCTGAAGCTGTATCTTCGATCTCGCATTCGTTTCCACGGCGGCACAGCCAGTCACGGCTCACGGCCCCCCACAAGATCAGCTTCACATTCCGGTGGCCCAATTGCATCAGCCCCGCAATCTCTCCAGGCTCTCAGACGGGCAGACGGGCAGACGGGCAGACAGGCTTCCACGCGCTCCCCCACGAATTCTCTACTTCCCTGATTGCCTCGCCTCGCCTCGCCCTTCCGCCAACACTGTCCGAGTACTCGTCCAGGACTTTCGCCATCCGGGCACTTGTCACCTAGGTGGTCAGCATCATCGACCAGGGCCGAGTAGTGAGGACCTCGCTAGGACTTGGAGAAACTGACCTAGGCAGGGCTCCTCTCCAAAAATCCTACTCACACCCGCTCGCCTTTTCCGCGCCCCGGCATTTCTTGCGGCGAGACTACGCTTGTGTTACACCCATCCTGACTCTTCCTCCGCTACGTACTTCGTCCCTGGCCTGTACTTTGTACCCTTTGGGAGTTGGCGAGTCCGCACAAGCCTTGCGATTCGAGAATACAGGTCCTCTGTAGCCGCGCGCTGTCCTTGACAAAAACACAAGACGAAGACGCAGAAGCACCTTTGAATTGGGAGGGAGCCGCCTGCTCAGCGGCTGCGTCTCTGAAACACAATCCCACGGCCTGAGCCTCCCGAAGTCGAGTTACAAGATGAGCAGCTATCCTCGCAGAAGCGCTCGCCTCTCATCACAGCATCTACATCAAGAACACTTTCAGCAGAGGAGTGGCACTCTCTCCGCTCCTGCGTTCGCAAATTCCTTCTCACAGCCGTCGAGTGCCTCGACCAGTTCGCACCCCAGTCCTGTCAGTGACAGCATGCATCCCCCTCCGCCGCCATCGACCCCTCAACAGCCGCAGAATCGTCTTCAAATACAGCCGCACTTTATGCAACAGCAACAGCAAGGCCAATCGCACATGAACGCGCCGCTGCCGTCGCCGTCGGGTGCAGAAATGGGACCCTTCTTCGGACGCCCATATTCGCAGCCGAACCCGTATGCGTCGCAGCAACTACCAGGCCAGCAGCCCTTCGGTGGCCAACAAGCGCAGATGACTCAACAGGGCCAGCAACACCATTTGCATCCTCATACCAATTCCATGTCACAAGATCATCCCGCCCATGCGCAGGCCATGAATCCGGGGCAGCTGCCACCTGATTTTCTTGCCGAGGCAGCCAAACGCGCTCAGATGGCGTGCTTGATGCGAGATATTGGTGACATCTCGCTCTGAGCCAGAGTGTTGCAATGTTTTTTGGTCGCTCCATATGCAATATTTCTACGCTACGACTCATTCTACTCTGCCGGGGAAATACGACCCTCTGGTTTCTGGGGGTTATTCCGCATTCTGGCCGCACAAGTGTTTGCCGAGGAGCGAAATTGGCTGACATGTGATTGACGACCACGATTGTTCGGCACACCCAGCTCCTCTCGTCGCTGTCATGACTGCAGTGGTCTGGAATCTATCATTACGCGGGTGGTCAGCAACCGACGGGCATGTTTGTCCAGTTACCGTTACCGTTATCGTCACTGTCACCTTCCCAACGCAAACCGGGCCGAACGAAAAGAGTGGATATTCGACCCTCCTCGAGCTGTTGCCCTTGACGTCACGTCGATCTCCACATTCACGACATTTTTTATGCGAGCAACATACTTGACGTACTCCTCTCAACCACCTACAGTTTATGAGGTTTTGTTATCTTCTCGGGAGTCGTCACGGTTCGAGTTCTTTGGACGCCGATACCCCATGACGTTTTTGGCTTTGTTTGGTGCCATACACATCCCATCGCCGGACCTTAATTTATTTCATTTCATACTGGGGGAAGAGGATGTGATTGTTATTGAGTTTTGAGCATGGCCCAGGTGGCGACTGCGGGACCTTTTTATCCACTCTCTGTGTGTGTTTCTGATCTGATAGAAGACGGGCATCCTCTCTGGAGTTTCCATCAGAACGACGGCTTGCATGCATACTATCATCGACTGGGGCACGGAGTTTGCGGATCTCACTTTAGGAGAATTTTCCAAGACGGATACATCCAAGACGAGACTCTTAAGTGACGCAAAGGTTATGTTGGGTCTTCATTGGGGTGACATGGAAGCTAGGTGGGTTTGAATCAATTAGTTACGACCACAATCGAGAACGAGGATGAGAACATGAATACGAATACGAACATCAATATCAATATCAATGCAAAAGCTCTTGACAGAAGTGGTCTGGTTTCTCCATCGAGTGCATGTGCTTCTCGTTGTCGGAAGTGGAAGTGTCGAACCTATCTTCTCGGGGCGCGATGAAATCGACAAGACCAAGGATTGACTGGAGATCCCTTCATCTCACCAAAGGCAGGGAGGGAGAGATTTTGTGCTGCAAACCCAGCCGTTGATCGATCGGATTCGTCATACGCAGGCAGGTAGGCACGCCATCCATCTCATCTGATCTGATCTGATCTGATCTGATCTGATCTCATCTAGCGTGGGACATTATGAAGGTCAAGCCACTCACTCACTCACTCATTCACTCACTCTACGTAGCACTCGTGGCTGGATGTCCTGGTATGTCTTGAAGTGGACTCGCCTTGGACGTGGACTCGCCTTGGACGTGGACTCGCCTTGGACGTGGACTCGCCTTGGACGTGGACTCGCCTTGGACGTAGACTCGCCTTGGACGTGGACGCCACCTTCGCCATCCAACATGTATATTGTGTACTCTGTATATATATATACACTCCTTGTCGAGGTCCTAGTCTAGGTCCTAGTCTAGGTCCAGGTCCAAGTCCATGTGCAGGTCCCCATTCTCGCGCACACCAAGTCTGTAATGCGTCTGGTGATGAGCATCAGAGTTGAGGATCTCGCAGGGTTAGAACTTGTATACTTGCAGACTTGCATACTTGCAGACTTGCATACTTGCAGACTTGCATACTTGCAGACTTGCAGACTTGCAGACTTGCATACGTCTACACAGCTCACAGCTCCAGTCCGTTCCCCCCATGCCCTAATGTAACTGCGCTTGACTCACACTTTCACACTCACTACCGCACCCTCGCACCGCCGTAACCTCACTCCTCATCCCACTCATCGGCCAAAAACCGCACAAAGGACTCGACGACCGCCCTCCGCCCAACGACATACCCCTGGCCGTGCGCGATTCCGCCCCTCTGGATCTGGGTGTATTTCCTCCGCAACCGCTGGAGCATCGGCTGGGTGAGATTCACGCCGGGAGGGACCCGTAACGTCATGTGCACTGCCGATGCGTCTGCATTTGCTTCTCCCACTTCTTCTGCGTCCGCCTTTTCTTCTCTTTCTGCTTCTTTTTCTTCCTCTTCCTCCTCAGCAGCAGCAGTAGAGTTATCGGCGCGTTTTTGTCCACGCACAGGCACTGGCACAACAGGCACACGCAGATCCACCTCCCCGCCCTCGCCCTGCAATATCGCCGGACTTTGGGCCCTCGTTTGTGCGAGCAGCTGTCTCACCACCTCCATGGTCGCGGACTCGAGCGTCTGCAGGGCGTCGGCGCCGGTCGCGCGCGGGAGGACCGTCGCGGCGTGGGGTTTCACTCCTGAAACTCCAGGTTTGGTGTCTTCCGCTTTTGTGGCGTGTGGATTCGCGCTCGCTCCCGCACCCGCATTGCCTCCTCCGGCTCCTCCGGCTCCGTTTCCGTTCGTGGCGGAAGTGCTCGCTCTGAAAGGAGGTTGTGGTCCCAGCTGGCTTAATGCCTTCTTACTCGTCGGTCTGGTGGGTGGAGGGTATATCGCGGTCCAGATGTCTTTCATGGGAGGGGCCATGTCCGTGGAGGGGACGACGAAGAGGGGCGTATCCCACCGGGAGAAGGGGGAGGGCGGCTCATAACGCATGCAGAGAGAGGCGAGGGTCGATGGACTATAGGGAGGTGAGGCATTCGATGGTGGTGGTGGTGTCGACAAGGGGATTGGGAGTGCGACACCCTGTGAAGGTGAAGCTGAGGCTGAAGACGAGGATATGGACGCTTGAGGTCGACGTATTCCCGTTGCTGGGGCCGTGTCGTCTCGTTCGCCAATGTAGAGAGACTTGAGCGTCATGGTCTCGTCGTGCGGCTGTCTCGCTCGAGAAACATCCCCTTCCATGCCGTCCAGAGACGACGATCGCGACCTGCTGGATCCCGTCTCCCTCACCCCGCGATCGCCATACATGGCCGTATGGCTTTCTGGGATCAACTCGCCAAGGACATTCTCGCCGTGTTTCTTCAACCCTTGCTCGTGTCTACCGTGTTCGCCACCCCCATCGGCCTCTCCATCAGGTCGTTCGCCTTCAGTTTCCGACTTGATTCCCCATGCCCTCGCCCGTTCAGCATTCCAGGCCGCACACTCGTCCTCACGCGCCGCCACATGGACGACGCAACATCTGGTCCCCACGGCCTTGGCCTCGCACCACAACTGGTATCTATATCCCTTGATGTAATTCAGCGCGTCCGCCACGACGACATTATCCCGACCGAGCGCGCGCTTGACGGCCGAGAACTCTGCCGCCCGCGCATTCTTCTCCTCCGCCGCGGACGTGTAGATCTGGTCGCGGAGTGATGAGGCCTCTTGCGCGATTTCAGGCCCAACGCCGCGACCACTGTGAGGACCGGCTCCGGGATCGGAAAGGGCGTGCTGGGACGGGAGGAGTTGGACGGTGCGCTTCGAGACGGTCGGGTCGGCGGACGACGAGATGAATTCGGTCAGGGAGGCCGCGATCTGTTGGGCGCGGTGGGTCTTGCCGGAGCAGGGGAGGCCCGTGACGATGATCAGCTAGAGGAGAAGATTGTGTCAATATGGACATCGATGGGTATGGATATGAGAAATACGCGTCGACTGTCCTGTCAAACGGATACTGGTGGCGGGCGGACTCACTGGCATTGCAATTCCTCGCTTCCAAGCAGGCTTGGAGATGGGAAATTTGGTTGTCGGCGGGGTTTTCGGTGCCTGTGCTGCCTGTGCTGCGGGGTCCACAGTCGTGACGAGCCCACGGAGCGAAGAGGACATGAGTCTTCACCAGTGAGGCAAGGCATCCTGAGCATCATGTGCGTCAAGGCCCTTTGCTCGAGTCAGGATTGCGGGACGCGAACAGAGAACAGAGTGTATCTAACATAGTACATTGGAAGTCATTATTACTGACACTGCTGTCAAGTATCATCTATCTATGTATCAATCACTGTGGTTCAGGCTTTGCACCGTCGCAAGACAGCTGGTGGAGGACGACGAAGTCATTCCTGTTCCATCAAAAGTCAGAGCTTCTCCGGTTGGCGTTCAGGTGTACACTGGTTTGTCCGCGGGCTGAGTCCTGGCTATTCCTTGGGAACAATCCTGGGAGAAATATCTTGGCCTGTCCATGGATTTGCGGTAGTCCGCTCCTGTGGAAAGGTTTCTCCTGGGCAAAGCAGTCTACACTGGCCGTGTCACAGTTGCGCGCAGGGCGTAACGGTGTGTGAAATAGACTGGGGCTGCATTGTTGTGGCACGGCCCTGTTGTTCTGTTACACCTCTGGTATGTAGTCCTGTGAGAGGATGATGGTCTGGCTCCACGGTGAAAAAGATGCACAGTCAAGCGAAAGTCAGAAACAAACGTCGTCCAGTGGGTTAATCGCACAAGGGGTATATGTAGGCATGATTTGAATCATCTGCGCTAAAGAAGAACAGAAGAAAGGGATTCAAGAAGGATATACCCCGGAGTATGATGGCGAAACCCTGGATGTCCTGGATACGGCGACCGTCTGATGGGAGAATTGCACTTCGGCCATGGACACTGGCTGTGCCGTCATCGCGTTGTAATCTTGCGCATGGCTGGAGTAGGCGCTGGGAGCGACATACTGGTTCCGGCTGATTGGCCCATAGTTGGTAGGTTGGATGGAGGCCTTGACCATCGCATGAGCCTTGGACACTGTCGATGAACTCGATCTCCTCATCGGGACCGAGGTTGGCGCGCTCGAGGCCTTCCGTCTCTTCGACTGGCTTTGGCTGCTAGGGCTCTTCTTCGCTGGCGCGTCAATTTCCTCATATTGGTGGACTCGTTTCATGTGGTCACGTTGGTTCCATCGGCGGGGGAATCCGTTTCCCTCCCGGGCGCGCTCACAGTCCGGGAATTTGCACAGGTACGGGTTCATTCCGTGGGTATGTTCTCCATGGGCCTCTCTTTCATGGCGAAGAAGGCAGGCATTGGACGAAAACCGGAGGTCCTCACATTCGGGTCGATCCGTGAACTTGCAACGGTATGGCCTCAAATGGGAATCCACGTATTTGCTGCAAAGCAAGGGCATGGTTAGAAAAAGTATCAATGGTGAGTGCACCTTGGTGAAAACCTACTTGTAGACACACCTCTGCGTGGTGGATTGGTGATTGCAGTTGCCTTCATGAGCCCAAGGGCAATGGTATTTTCCGTCCTCATCGGGTCCGCGGTTGTAGTATGGATGAACTCTGGCCTTTTCCCGGTTGGATGGATCTTCCTTGGGAGGGCTCCTGACTTCAGGGGGAGACGTGGACGAAGCACAGTATTCGCTGACTGAAGCGTTCCTTTCCGAAGCCGATCGGATGGGGCGGGGTCGTCGCACAGTCCGATGGCTGGGGCTATTGCTGCATTGGTTAGTTGGTATATTCGCAAGGCTAGGGAAAGCGCGAGGGATCTGACCTGGCAGGCTCCATGTTGCATGTGGTGGCACTCTCGGATATCGTGAGATCCTTGTCCATTGGGCACAGTTGGTCCTGGAAAACGTGTCCTGAGGGAAAGCATGTCTGCAGGTACTCCTCCGGTGGTGGGGTAGGAAGCCTCGAGACGTCGGTGTTAAAACTGGGCATCATCGTAGGCATGTAAAGTGAGTCCATGGGCATGTAACTGGTGTTCAAGTGATCCGGGGAATTGCCTTGTCCTGGGTACTGGGAAGGTACGAAAGTCAAGTCTGTACAAGAGTCGCCTGAGAAAGCATCCTCTGTCAGGAACTCAGAGGCGAAATCGGCATCGAAGCCGCTCAAGCTGGACAACATAGGGCCGGCAAACGAGCCGTCAGAGACGGGAATGGAGCGATAAGCCATCCCTGAGGATGTGGACAAGAAGTAGTCATCGCTGTCGGGATACGATCCGGACGATGGAGCAACGGGCCTTGAGCCGTGGTACCGGCGCGATCCAAGAGTGGAAGATGTCACAGCATAGTTTCCACTGGGCACTTGACCAGCCATGGAGGCGTGGTTAAAATGAAGATCACCCGGGGAAATCAAAGGCATAGTCCTTGGTATCCGGCTTTGAGTTCCTTGGGAATGAGTGGCCAATACCGGACTTCTCCTGGTTCTTGAATTCATTGCGGGATAGTCGGCCCTGAGTAGGTGGTACTATCAGGACGACAAAAGTTAGTGCTCTGCCCATCATACAACGTGGCGTCTAGGTAACATCAAATTGGAATAAATCAGACGGCAACGAGGGGTTAGTGCAGTTCGGTATTCCTGTGGGCAGGTTGGCCGGGAGTAGGCATGAAGAGCGCGGGTTAAAACCAGGCTTGGGGCTGATAAGCTGCGAATCCTGCGAAGAGTTGTTGCCAAATTAGGTGCCAGGCCTAGCGCGACGGCCACAAGAGGGTATATCCGGCAGCAGGGACCAGTGGGAAAGAATACATCTGGTTGGCAGTTTGGTGGTAGATCATGCTGGCCGTTTCATTCGTGGCAAACTTCGTCGGTCCGGCCTAAGAGCCCGGTGTGAACAGTGAACATGATGCTGTCAGTGTTGTCGGTTGATCTCCTAGGGGCAGTCGCTTTCGCAATCCTCGGGTCAATCCCTTGGGTAATCCTTTGGGAACGAAGATGTCACAACTGGGAAAAGAGTACGGCCTTAAGCTTCATGATGTCGCCGAAGAGTGCATGTAGCGTATTTGTGCTGGACTGTTTGGTCTTGGGTTGATCGGAAATAGGGTGAAATGTGTGGTGTTTGTCGGACAAGTAGCTGTCGAGGTAGGATTTGCGATTCAGTCGAGACAGTCTCGGCATCACACAGCATTGGCGTATCCAGTAGTTCATTCCAGGTAATCCATTCCACGGGCAATCCAACGGTAGTCACATCCGGGATCATAGTGGCTCCATTCGGTTGTCCATGGGGGTCCGCTGAGGCCGGGCATTGAGCAACATTCATTTCAGAAGCTTCGAGGTGTGATCATCGATCGCCACTCTGAAGCATGCGTCACCTTGAGCTAAAAGCCACAAGGGACCTGTCGACATGTCGGACAGCGTCCGCACGTCAGGGACACCGGCAGGTGGGAACAAAGGAAAATCAAGCAGAACAAAAGGAAACAAGAAGGAAATCTGTAGTACCTCAAGAGATGCTGATAATCCGGCTGGTATCAATTGAGGTTGGTTGTCGATTCAGATCCTGTGGAGAGCAAGTCCCGGAGAAGAGCTTGAGGGTAGCAAAAAGCAAATGAAGCACTTCCTGGATGTCCGGAGTAACTGGGTGTCCTGTGGGAATAATCCTAACGGCCAATGTGGACTGAGTTGGTTGACGTTGCCTGGGAAAAATTGGGTGAAGATGTTGTCGAGAAATTGGTCACGAGCTTTAGCATGTACTAGAGAGGTAGAACGAGTCTGAAGAAGATGAAGAGAAGAGGACGGGGCGGGCTGTTGGTTATAAGCAAGCCGCTGCCGCGCACAGGTCAGAGAGAGGAAAGTGAGGTGAGCGAGAGGTGAGCGAGAAGTGGGCGAAGGCGGTGGGAAGGGAGCCAAAAAAGTGGGAAAAGCGGGCTCTGAACGAGTCGTAGCCTCACTCTTTGCTCACGCCGACCTTTGGTCATCCCACCGCCTGCCGCCATCACGACAAGTGAGTGGACCGCTGGCTGTAGTTTGATGCAACTTGCTGCGAGTTTCGCATGCACGTTGCCCGGCTGAGCGCAGAGGAGCGCTGCATCCAAGGAAGTTGCACAGACTCTGAGACTCGCAACTTGCCTGTCAGGTCCGTCGCGACCCGCCCTCGGCTGCAGCCAGCACAGTCTTCGAGCACACCAGCAGCGAGTCAGCATCGACGTCACACCCGCAGTCCAGGGGTTGATTTGCTCTGTTCGTGACGCTGGCGGAATTCCCACAATTTGTTCCGTTTCACTGGCTCACGCCCGCGTCCTCAAATGGGTCGGTGATCAGCAGGGGAATGTCCATTCGTTGTCAATCACTCCCCGCCATGTCGGTTCAGACAGGGTTCCCACGCTTCTGCGTCCTGGCATGCACGCTTGGCCACTTGTCGTCAAATTGACTGCAGTGACGAGAACCACCGGCACATGCGGCAGGACGGAGCACACTGACGTGGCAATCTCTCGTGGCAGCGAGATGTTCTTGTGACTCGCACTCCTCGAGGTGTTGCAGCATCATCCTGTGGCAGCCTGCTCTCTGTCCAGCTCATTGACCAAAGTTCTACAGAGCACACTGTCTCCAGTGTTGGCAGGACAGAGTACCGTGCAGGATATTTTGACGCAGAGGATATGGCTGGCATGAGCTGTACGCATCTGCATAATGGCCTCGAAGAAGCATGAGTAGACATGGACGGTCATGTGAAGCTGGACGCCCTGTGAGGTCTGACGTAGGTAGCTTCTACATCACTCTTGTCGACGTTGCACAGGTTGCAAAATTTCCCTGTTGGCGGGCGCAAAGAACAGAGTTTGTGTGATTTCAGTAGCGGGGTAATCCTCAAGTCACGAAGGTCTAGCACAGTAACAGCGTTGTCGGGCGGACAATCGACCGACGCAGAGAAGAAGACGCCTCAGACCTCATGGTGCAAGCACGAGCGGCCTCAGCCTCGTCACTTTTGTTCGCTGTGGTTGAGATGCGCAGGCGTCTCGACAGATGTCATAGACAATAAGGTTTACAGTGCAAACTCCAGAAGGCCCTACGAGTACAATGCAATAGACCCGTCCATCTTGTCTCCCTGCGGTTACACAGGACGGGCTACGAGGTAGTAGCTAAGTAGTCGATCACAAGCCGATCGGACCCCTCTGGACGGGTTCGAGACAGGACTAAACTCGGATC